CTAGTCCTCCCCAACTTGTCTAGGTGCGCAACACCCCCCGCCACTACACCCCTGAGAGTCAAAAATTCGAACTGTAGAACACACCCAAAAGCCAAAAAACTCGAAAATTTCTAAGTCCCTAGGGTTCCAGGCAACCCAATAATAAAACCCAACCCAGGGGGTCTTGTAACCCTAACCCTAACCCTAACCCTAACCCTAAGCGACGGAAGGTGGCAATCAATGCCTGGTCATTCCACGACACATCGCATTGCAGCTGTCGGAATTCAGCTACATACGCTGTTGCTGCACGGGTTTGTCGAAGGTTCTGGAGCTTGTTTTCGGACGTGCGGATCCTGTCGCTGTCTCCAAAGACTGCTTGCATTTGCTGGATGAAATCATCCAGGTTCGTAAGGGAATGATGGTCTTGTTTGACAAGGGGCGCCAGCCAGGCCTGGGCGGTGCCAGTGAGGTAGATGCCAATAGTTCGTATCTTGGTCTGATCGTTGGGGTAGCGCCTGGGTTGGAGGGCGAACATGAGCCGGATCTGGTTGAGGAACCCACGGAACTTGCTTCGGGTGCCATCAAATTTGTCTGGGAGACTGATTTTGGGTTCGGGGGCGTGGGTGGCAGGGGCAGTGGTCTGGGTTTGCGCTAGTTCGGCTTGTAGGGTGGTATTCTGTGCTCGAAGTTCGTCAATCGCATTGCACATGGCTTGCCAGGCTTCGGCCGTGAGGGGAAGGGCGTCGGACATGGTGATTTGGCGTGGAGGTACAGCGGCTGGGGGTTGTTGAGCAGATCAAACTGTTATGAATGGGCGGAGCCGATGGAAATAGAGGCAACTTGTGGTGCAGGTTGTTGACAGGTAATGGTATCCAGACCGAAACAAGAACTAGAACAAGACTAGGAAGAACTGGTGTTGATCTGCTGGGGGATCAGGAAGTGGGGAGCTCAGGGGAGGCGGCTATTTATGTTTTTCTGGGAAGGCTGGGGAAGCTTGGGGAAGCAGAAGGGTACGGAATGAGAGGGAAGCCAAGAGAAGCGCCAAGGGTGGGGAAGCATAGAAACAGAAGACTGGGGATGGGGTGGCTACGCTGAGGCTGTGGGCGGGTACGTGGGGAAGTATGGAAACAGAAGACTGGGGATGCGGTGGCTACGCTGAGGCTGTGGGCGGGTACGTGGGGAAGTATGGAGAAGGGTTTGTAAGCGCCGAGTGTTGGGAGGTGTGGCTATGTGCGGCTGCGTGGAGAAATGAAGGCAGTGGCAGGTGTGGGGTAGCGCGGCTGCGTGCGGCTGCGAGGTTTGGCAGATGTCAGGTTCTGACAGGGAATTGACATTGACTGACTGTTGGGATGCTGTCATGAGGTAAGCGCATGGTATGGACGCGTCGTCCATAACACGCGTCGTCCATAACAAGTGGCAATATTGCAAGAGGATTGGCGAAATGAGAGGAGAGAGGGGGAGTGGCATTGACATTGACATTGACACTGACATTGACACTGACATTGACATTGACATTGGCGTTTGACATTTGGCGGTTGACATTGGCGGCTGTCAGTAGGTAAGCTTATGGTATGGGCGCGTCGTCCATAACACATATGACACTGGGGCACGTGACATCACGCGTTTGCTGTCAAAAACCTACAACTCTGGTTAGGGTTAGGTTAGGGTTAGGGTCACGGTAAAAGGGTTAAGGGTTAGGGTTGGGGTAGGGTTAGGTTAGGTTAAGGGTTATGTGAGGTCACCGGTAAGGGCACGTGACTGGCTGAGGGTTATATGTGTGTCATATGCCTAGTGAGACTGAGGGGCATCTGGGGCATGACTCGGACCGGCCAAGTATTCCGAGAACCGCCGCTTGCATTAGGTGTACAGTAGCACATACCGTATGTCCTATCTGTATCACTTGCTGCAGAAGTATTATATGTACATATATGGGATGGAGAGAGCGGAGAGAGCCACTGCAGGGTGGAAAGAGTTGCGCCTGCCGGTCGAGAGGACCGCACCCTTCAAGAACTTCCCATCTAGGCACCTCACTCCCACCTGGACACGCCAATGTCGCCTCTAGAGGCAATTCTTTCGGCGGTGCTTGGAACCCTGCTCCTGCACCTGTCGGCGGTCCAAGCTCAAGCGACCGTGCCCCTGGGATGGAGCCTGAATTGTGTGGACGCCTGTGCTAGAGGGGCCAACGGGGGGACAGCTCCTTTTGTGGCTGCCCCGTTTTGTTCAGGTGGGCGGAACTTCCGGATATGTACCTCGGTATGCTCGTTCGAATATTGCAGACTCTAATTATGTTTTTCCTCAGACACTCTTGAATATTATAACAATCCGCAATTTTACAACCTGGCGTACGGACCCGAGAGCAACGCGCCAAGGAACAGGTGTGAGAATGTGGGCTTCGCCAACCCGTTGCCCACCTATGGTACGTCTTGTAGAGGTTTTGCAAAGCTCTGTCTTTGCAGCAGGCCTCGCTGACACAAGTCTGTCCCATTTTCTGCAGATATCAATGTCTGCTACCGCCTCTTCATTGGTTTGGGATCCGCCAAATTGATCTACCGCCGCCTTTCAAATGGGACATTCCAAGGGTGCTTCGCTGGGGCCGACTCCGGCAGTGTGACTGTTCCCTGCGGGTGTGGCGCAACGTCGCCCAGCCCATCGCCTACCTCGCATCCCATCACCTCGGTCTCGTCATCGACCGGCGCCTTGGCCCCTTCATCTACCAACGACCCTTCAGACGCCGTATTGCCGATCGGGACCTCCCAACAGACCCCGTCGGGGCCTATAATAGGTGCCGCGGTTGGAATTGCGATGCTGCTTGCCATTGCCTTTGGGGTTTGCATTTGGTACCGAAAGCGGCGCAATGTTGCTGGCGCGAGCAAGGTTACCGGTTCCGGACCCCCGGCTGCTCCAATTGTGTTTGATCGCTCCCCGGGATCAGAGGCTGCCCAGGCTACAATCAACGGCGCAGGCGATACCGATGACGCCCTCACTACAATCGGAACATCGAAGCATCCCGCGCACTTGCCCACATCATTCCAACTCTCGCTTTCCCAACCTCCCGTGCCATTCCTTCCGGCAACACATGCAACCTATCAGCAAGCGCAGGTGCAGCCACCCTCCCATGCTCCGTCAGAAGCCAATCCGCCCTCCACCGGCGCCAGCGATACGGATGACGCCCCCACTAGAGTCGGAACATCGAAGCATCCCGCGCACTTGCCCACATCATGGCGACTCTCGCTGACCGAACCTTCCGTGCCACTCCTCCCAGCCACAACTGCAACCGATCAACCAGCGCAGATCCAGCCGCCCTTCCATGCTCCGTCCGAAGTCAGCGGGCCCTTCACCGGCGCCCACAGCACGCCAGTTATCCAGACCTTACATTCGCATCAAACCCTCCACCTTCCCCCAGCCTACGAGGAGACGACCTGGATGGCGGATGTCCCCGCACTTGAACATGACGGTCAGCAGCTCCCGCTCCGCCACGCGGTCCAGGACCACTTTCCGAGTCATTCGACCGAGCTGGGAATGAAGTGCGGCGATGTCGTTGCGGTGGAGCAGGCTCTCAACGCTGAGTGGTACATTGCGCAGAACCGAACAAGGGGCGGTCGGGGGTTGGTCCCGTGCAGTCTGTTGTCTGAAACGATATCCAGTGGCCCGTCACCTACTGTGGCGGGGAAATGATTGCCCGAGATGGAACCCCCTGGAGACGCGATCTGTATTCCGAATGGATTGCGTTCGGAAGGTTTGCGCTGACTAAGGAATCTCTGAAGCAGCCAATGAAGGAGCTAATAGGCTTTCGTCAGGAGCTGCTGGACGTTTATCGCTCTAGAAAATGAACATAGTACCAGCGAGGACGCACGCATTCATCATGAACTTGACCGACGTGGAGAGCAGCTTGCTCAACCCTCGCCGCACAGTCAGTGTCTTGGGCGATTCTGAGATTTCTACGTCTTGAGCGATCTACCGTGTCGGAGTAGAGCTGGATAGGCTGGAAACCTACGGCTACGTGACCTCCATCCCTTCCGGCGTAACAACTTCCGTGCGAACTTTTCCGTAGAAGATACCCCTTCTCCTTATTAAATTGCGAAAGGATTGTACAGTCACCTCGCAAAACTCTGTACCCTAAGTATTGTTCTGGAAGGTGATTTTTAGTTGACTCCGCTAGCAGGGCTCATACCCTGTTGTGCTTTGAGAGTCGTCAATGTAGATCAGACTTAACGATCTTGACTGAACTGTATATACGGATTGTATATAGAACGCTTAGAGGCGAGTAGTGCGTACAAGAAGGAGCGAGGGAGAAACTGATCTAGCCTAGTCCGAACCTCGTTCGGACAAGGTGGCTATGCTGGCTATATACGCGTGTCTGACTATACCCTTACCTAAGCAAAGTTGTCGGGATGCTGCTCAAGTTACGCTTCTCAACACATCGGAAGCTGTCAATACTTTAGGGCGTGCGGTGACGCTGCCTGACTGGCAGAGACGGTTTGTCGTGGCAATGTAGCAACGTTAGAGCAACGTTGGAGGGTGAGCGACCGTCACCAGCGATGGGGAAAGAGAAGGACCGTAACGCGTTTTTCTTCTTGGCCCCGCCCGTTCGAACATTTGCAGTCGGACCTCATCCGTCGGAGCAAGTACTTGTCGAGAACATGAATCCATGTACATGCCTGTCTATGTATTGACTGTGAGCAAGTAGACCGGGCCCACCCAGGGCTGTTGCCACCTGAGAGCATCCGCACCAGTGGTCCGTATTCTGACAAAATCTTATATCATGTCATACTACTATCGGATCATTGCCAGCCGGTAGTCTTGGTCCTCGGATCTATGATTATGGTGTGCCGACTAGTAAGTTGTCTCTGTTATTCTACACTCTGCAGTGCGCGCACTAGTTCCCTGTGTGCGCTCGCTCACTTGTCCCCCATGGTTTCCTATGTGCGCGCCTTTGTCCAGATACATTGCCTATATGTCCAGACGGTTCGGACATGAACGCAGACCCGCGCCGTGCCAACTCTCTCTTGCGTATATATATAGACGCGTACGTCTCTGAACCTGCTCGCTCCTTCGTTCCCCAAGTTTTACTCACAAATCCTAAGCGCTCATCTCACAATGCCTAAAACACGCGCCAACCAGAAGCTCAGAGCCTTACAGGTGCCGCGGGCTCCACCACACGATGTTGACACCCTGTCTGCTTCGGACGACAACGGCTCGGGAAGCGGCACAGAGTTCGAGGTTTTGGGCCCTGGGGTGTACGCGTCAGCCTTCCCTGCCGAAACTTGGGCAGAGTATGCGCAATACCTGCAAGAGAAGAAAGAAGAGCTCGAAAAGCACCCTAAACGCAGGACCACAAAATTTCGATCCTACAAACGCTAAGTTGAGAAGCTCTTGAAGGTGGGTTTTGAAAGCAAGAATATCCCTTCGCCGTTGTGAAGACGCGAATCCGCTCGTATGCAGGTGGGAGGACACCAGATGGCTGACCCAGCTGTATCGTGTTCCCTGGGCATGGCGCAATATGGCCAAGTGGGCACATGTCTGTCCGTGGGGTGGGAATAACTGGCCCTGGCCGCAGATTTTGTCACCCTCAGTGACTTTCTGTTGGGGGCCCGTACCGCCATCCGGACCGCTTCCTTTGGTATTTTGCGCATCCGGACAAGCGCAAACTCCCAAAATCTTCTGGTTCAGAATCAGGAAGGAGCAAGAAAATCAAACTAACGGGCCATGCACTTACATCGGCACCAGCAGACAACGAGCAGCCAGTCAGCGGCACGCAGGCGGACGAAGCGGTAGACACCCCCAACGTGGTAGAGACCATAAACCCCACGGACGGTGCGGTAGATACCTCCGATGTGGTAGAGACCCCGGAACTGAGGGGCCGTGAGGTAGACACCCCCAACATGGTGGAGACCCCGAAGTCTCCTGACTGTGCGGTAGAGACCTCGGATCTGACGGACCGCGCGGTAGAAAGCTCAACCTTGACGCTCGGCGGTAAAACAAAGATTGAGGACACCGCGGCGTTGGTCAAGTTGCTGCAAGTCGCCGTTGAACCAAACAGAGTCTTGCTGGACGTGATAGAGGCTCTGGAGGAGATTCCAAGCATCATCGACCTGCGTCTGGATGGACCGCTCTACGCAAAGCTTCCGGAAAGCATCAGCCTACAGTACGACGATTACATGGATGCGTACACGACACGTTTCTTGGGCGAAAAATACGGTGCTTGGTTGCGAAACTTTTTTGTGGATCAAGATTTGTCGGCAAGACAGTGGCAAGCACGCTTGGATGGTGCATCATCCCAGGACGAGGACGTCACCTCGCTTATTCGGGTTGTTAGGGCATCATTACCAATATTGTGAGTGGTTGCCAGCGACATTGAATCGCTCCCTGCCACCATGTGATGAAAACTGAAGCATCGCTATACTTTCCACAGCCTAAAAGCATTCCAACTGGGGCACGAAAGTCCGTTGTCGGATGTCAGCGTTCAAGAGAACGTGCACTTGAACTCCTTCGTGCATCCAACACTAGAAGCAGCATGTTGGCAAATAGCCAACGTGCATTACCCGTGCCAAGGTCTCGTATCATACTCGCCCGAAGTCGCGCCGAGGGCGCTCCGGCGACACTCTCTTCCAGCCCGGCACCCTGCAAGAGAGTGCCCGGCTTCACGCACCGCGGGAAGTACCGGGTCGAGTATGATACGAGACCTTTGGGACGGGTACGTGTTCGGAGAAATTCCCTTGAAGCGGTATAACATCTCGGCAAAACAGAAGTCTGATGGCCTCGGCGTGACGGATACCCCCGATCGCTTCCCTGTGTGTACTTCGAAGGAGCCAAGCCGGACACGTCAAAAAACAAGGATGCAAATGACCGAGCAAAAATCCAGGAGAACTTGCGTAGATGTACGGGAGACTGGTCATTGATCAAATTGAAAATCGTAGGCGCCTCCCGCGCTCGCTGGTAATCTTTTCGGGTCAAGCCGTGGCCCGCAGAATCAGGCTTTCGTACTTACAGTTTTCCCAGGCATTTTTCACGCATGAGGTTGATATGATAACCCTCCCTCGAGCCTTGACTGAGATGGAGGATTTTGTCCGTTTTTATGAGGGAATTCTGAAGTGGGCGCTACTACTGCGTGAGACGGTTAGAGCCTTGAAGAGGAACAGGTTGACCGGAAATCCAAGCCGCAAGTCTTCGGGGGCCGCCCTCAAACTTTTGCACCAAGTGAATCATCTTCTGGAATAGCGAGGGAGAAGCTTACATTGGGAGAGCCCATACAGGAAGAGTCCACACAGGGATGTCCCACAACGGGATGGCCCACACAAAAAACCCCTGCAAGGCGGGTGTATACTGTTTATTGTAATATGTGAAGATGCTGCGTTCTTTCATCAAATGCGGGTTTCATGTGAAATATATTTAGGTGTTACCCTTCCCAGCTGTACGTTGATTCAGATCTGACTCAAGACCTCTCCATCACCGTCATGTACAGTATTTGTAAGCCAACCTTGTAGAAGCTAAATAAGGACTTTCCGTCCTCAGTTCTTTGGCTTCAACATTGACACACCGCGAAGGGCACCAATGTTGATCTTCAAGCAGGATGTAGCGGGTATGAGGAACGCATTGCATCTTGTGTCAAGACAGCCGAGCGAGCCTGCGACGGGTCGTGGGGATGGCTTTGATGCTAACTTTGACAAAAGAGCGCATGCCAATACGCAACAGAAGCGCCCTAAACTAAAAGCGAAAAAACAAGTATTTGACCGTCGGGGTTGGAAGTGTCAGCCGCATCGCTGGATCGTTCCCTGAGGGGCTTCTGCGCCGGCAGTTGATGGAAGATGGGGCGAGCCGTTGCACCAAAGGCACAACACTCTGAATGCGAGCACAGCGAATGAGTGTTTATGGGGATGTAGAAGGAGGGGGGTGATGTGTGGGTGAGGGCCGTATTGGGTTCGCTCTGGAGGCCCGAGCGGCGACCAGAGCGACACGCCCTTCGCGAGCGAAAGCGGGGCAGCGACTGTCGGCGAGCGAGCGGGTCGGATCTTCTGCCGACACTACGAACCCTCACAGCGGATGCTTTCCTAGCCATTCTTTTTTTCCGCTCGCCATGATTTTCCAGTTCTCATCCCCGTTAACACTCCTTCGGATCTTTTGCAGGAATCGTCTTCCCAGCCCGTCCCAAATTTCCGCCCGCAAATACTGTACGTCCGGCGACGTCCGGCAAGAGCGGCGGATGCCCCTCGTTGGCTTCGTGTGCGTTGCACCTACATCAACATCACCACCAAGCTTGCTGCGAGGAGGGAAGGCGGTTAAGAAGGGAGTAGAGTGGGTGTGAACTGGCAGGGTCGATGTAGATTTGTAGGGATGGGGATGTAGGGATCGGTAGCTGCTTCTGGGGGGAAATCGGAAAAAATGTGAGGGATGCCTGGTGGATGGACATGTACGCAATATATCAATCGATCCGTCCTGTCAATCCATCTGTTCTATTTGGGGATCCTGCTTCAGTTTCCCTCCCAAAAATCACCCAAAAATGACACTACCCCTCAGCCAAAGCGAAAACAACCCCACTCCCCGTCTAACCCAAAAAGTCTACGGGAAAAAGCCTCCCAGCTACAGCTACAAACCCACAATCCACCTTCATCACCCTACTTCTTCTTCCCCTTCTTCCCCTTCTTCCCGCCACTTCCCATCATCGCCTCATTACACTCCCACACCCCCTCAAACACCTCCTCGCTCATCCGCTCACTGATCCACACCACCAACCCCTCCGCCTGCTTTTGCCCCACGAGCGCTTTCCGCGATTTGAGCATGTCGAGAATGAGGAGGCCGCCGGGGGTGCCGATGTGGTTGCCGCGGAAATCGAGGAAGGTGAGGGTTGTGTTTTGGGTGGCGAGAGCGGTTGTGAGGGTCGACAGGGGGGTTGGGCGGGTGGTGGTGGTGGTGGGTAGCGGCGGGGGGAGGGCTGCTGTTGACAGAGTTGGGGCGCCGCCGCGGGTGGTGCTGCTGCTGCTGATGGTGAAGGTGGGCTGCGGAAGCGAGATATCGCGGTTGATGATCTGGTTGGTGGCGAGGCTCAGTGATTTCAGCGTCGTGTTGGTGCCCAGAGCGCGCGCGAGCGCGAGGAGCCCGGCGTCGCTGAGCAAGTTGCCTTCGAGGTTTAGGTCTCTACATGAAAAAAAAAACGAAATTGGGGGTCAAGAAACCCACCCCCGTTCGTTAGATCCCTCCGCCTCATTCAATGATCCACCCCCCCACCACCTCGAGACGAGTACTCACATCAACCCCTTACACCCCCCCAGAACCTCCCCCACCATCTCTGCCGCCCCCGCCCCCGCCTCACAATACCTAAAACTCGCCCTCACCAACCCCGCGCCGTCCCGTCCACCCTCCCTCATCCCCTCGAAAACCACCCTCACCCCCTCCTCCCCCAACGGATTATGATCCGCACACAGCACCCTCACGCCCCTTGCCTCGCGACATATCCTCGCCAGATGCCCCGCGGTGGCCGCCGTGAGGCCGCAGTCCATGAGATGCAACGTGGAGACGGTGGGGTGCGAGATGAGGAACCCGGACAGGGATTCGAGCCCTTTGGGCGCGACTTTCGCTCGCCAGAGGTAGATCCCGCTCAGCGCGGCGTACGCATCGAACGTGGTGGTGAGGGAGTGGATGTCGTTGGGTGTCAGATGCAGCTGGGTCAATATCAACTGTTTTTCATAGTTCATCCCTTCATCAGCACCCATCCCCTCAATTGGTCACAATACACCCCCTGTGATAACTACCATTACCTTGTCGATATCCTCCCCACCCTCCCCCTTCTTCAACTCCCCCTCGATGCGCTTGACCAGAACAGGTATAGGGTCGGTGACGAAGAATTTGGCGTTGGCGCCGTAGTCGGTTTTCATCTGTTTGAGGGCGGTGAAGCGGGCAAGCGCGAGCGCGGCGGCTTCGGCTTCTTTGGCTTTTTTGGAGGTGGTGCCGCCTTTCGCTTTTTTGGGGGGCATTTTTTTGAAGCGGTGAGCGAGTGGATATGGGTGACTGGGATGTTGGGATGTGGATGCTGCCCTATATGCATTCTTGATGTAGGCTTCGAGAGGGAGTGGAGAAGTTTAAAGGCAATAAGCGTGTGTGAGATGGGCCGTGATGACTGCTGGCGTCTCGCGGCGGTGATTGTCCTTTCGCTACCATCGCCGCGGAGGGTGGTCAAGGCCAAGCTGTAGGGAATGGATGCAAGTGGATTCAGGGATCATGTGCGTCGAGATGGGATGGGGGAGAGGGACAGATGAGAGGACGGTTCAAACGGGTTTTGTGCAGAAGGGGGCGAAACAGAAGGGCATGAGGTGTTCCAACGCGTTTCCCGACGCCTCCCACTTCTCTTCACATCCAGGCCTAGTCAAGGCTGTCCGTCGCAGAGGATCTTCGTTTCAGCGCCGCAGCTTTCCCTTTCCTCATATGAATCTCAGTTCACACCTCGCTCAGGTATCTATTCTTTATTGTGTATGACTTTACGTGTATGTTTTCGGGTATTGCACGCGAACGTGGGAGTGCTGTGTGTGTGTGGGGGGGCTGGCTGTACATGTGTGTGTGTGGTTTACGTGATGAAAAGAGTGTGAAGATTGCGTTGCTAGCCGCACATGGGGCATCCATCGCAAACGCTTCTGATTCCCCCACTCAATCCCGATGCCCAAGCTTCCGATCCCTCCACCTCTTCACCCACCGATTAACCGTCGCCGCCGCCACCGCAATCGTAATCAACAACACATACGACGCCTTCACCGCCACAACAGGGACAGGGAGGCACCACCCGCCCAGGTAGGCGACTGCGGAGGCCATCGGGGCTCGTGACGGCTGTTGCTGTGATGATGATGAGGATGCTGGGGCGGTGTTTTCTTTGCACAGGGCGACCCAGAGGAGTTGGGTAAGGGTGACGAGGGCGTGGGTAGTGACGATGTTTGCGAGGCGGGTGGACATTGCGACGATGCCCGGACCCTCGGCGGCGTTGTGGAGTGAGGAGGAGGGCTTGCTCATTGCGGTTTGGTACATGTAGGCCACGACCAGGAGCACGGGGCTTCCCAACCCCAACACGAACGCCAGGGCTCTTTCGACGACATTTATCCCGTGGTGTCGCCCGGTAGCTTCGGAATCGGTCACGTCCCGCCCACCGAGCCAGGATGTCCACCAGAGGAGGAAGTAGACGATGTCGATGAGGAAGACGGCGAGGGCGGTCGCGACAAGGAGGCGGGATTGGGTGGCCGAGAGCGGGTGCCTGCGTTGTGGGTGGGTGAGGGTCTGTGACGCCGAGGCTGATAGTGACGACACGGCCGCGGCGGATGGGAACGGGAACCTGAAGCCGGCGTGTGAATGTTCGGTGCCCAGGACGTCGGCGATCTTATATATCGGGAAGGTATTCACCCTTGCGCTGAGCTCGACGAGGTCTTCGTGGGACTGGAGGTGGCGGGTGTTGATGTAGCGTTTTTTAGTGGCTTGGATGGTGGGTTCGAAGCGGATGAAGGAGTACGGGCGTTGTACGGCGTGCACGGGCTGGCTGGTGTGCCGGGAGGAGGGGGTGGCGAGGTCGGAGAAGAAGGCGCGGGCGAGCTCGGTTAGGTAGCTGAAGGCGAGGAGGCGTGTGTAGGATTTGTCGGTTAGGACGAGGAAGATTATGCCCGCTTCTAGGATGTAGCTGAGATGCATAAAGATGAGTGAATGGTCAAATGGATGTCGGAATGACAGTCTGCTCGATGAACTGATGAACGATGGATGGATCGAGCGAGCTACAGCGAGAAAGATTTGACCCTCGCAGCATTCCTGGGCATATGGACCATCCTCGAGTACTCTGTTCCGCTCCGCTCTGAATTCCCCCTCGCTACGGCTCGGCACTTACTGAAAAGTATACTCGTCAGTCCCAACACTCGCCGCCTCGCCACTCAACCTCATCGCACCCGGCGGCGGCACCGCGTCTGGCGACAGGGCCCTAATCAAGTTCTTTGCGAGTTTCTTATGCCCAGCAATCTGCTCCTCGTCGCGCTGAGTCTCTATGCTGCCGACGAGGGGGAGGCCGTCGCCGCAGCGTGAGATCAGGGTGTATCTTATCATTGTCGTTGTTTAGGTGGGCTAGATCAGGGAGGCAGCGGGATAGACAGGTTTTTGAGCGGCTCCTTTTCAGGCGGTGGCGGAGCGGGTGTGGAAGGACGAGTGCAACGACAACGAGTGGGATAGAGCGGGGCAGAGGAGCTGTAGTTGTATGGCGAGTGAATGCTGTGGGGGGGCGTGCTTTGTGTTGTTGGGGAAAGTGCCTTCAGGGGCGACGGCGCGCATCTCTCAGCTCTTCTTCCCCCTTCGCACCAGTAACCACGGCTGCACACAAACTAACTACCCCACCGCACATCTACAATTACACTACATACACTCTAGCTCTGCCGCTCGGCCGCTCTGAAGCAAACCTGCCCACACCCACCCGTCTCTCGCCCCGCACAGCCGGAATCACAAAGATCCTACCGTACTCCAACCACAAACACGCACAAATACAATGCCCCCGAAGCAGGAAGTCGACGTGTCGGTATGTATTGCCCTCAACCCACAACTACTAAACACACCAAGAGGTCACAGAGGCTGGAGCCTCTCTTACGTGCGGGACGGGAGAATCGGGCAGGATGGAGGGAGTACACCGGGGCAGATGTGTGCGCGCGTCGGATTGGGAGCGAACGTTTCCGAGGACAATCTGCGCGCGTGGGAAGATTGGGAGAGAGAGTATACTTCTGATTGCTTTGTGAACGACCAGCCTGGGGTTTAACAACTCAGAGAGCGAAGTTTAGTCATGCATGGGAAGGGCCTACCGCTACGAAGAAAGGGTTACTGATGTTAATCAACTTCACACTCGTCTCCCGCAGAAACTCGGCCCAGAGGAAAAGGCCTTTTACGAAAAGTATGGACGTCTGCCACCCGCAAAGAAGGCCATCCTCGGTCAACGGATGAAGGTAACGGTTCCCAATCCACTTCAACCCACCTCAAATCCATCTTGAAAACCCCCCATCTTCTCACACACCCCCTCCCCTCCCTCGTCATTCCAGGGCGGCGACCGAAAATACTTTGATTCCGGCGACTACGCCATGTCAAAAGCGGGCAAATCGTCCTCGAACGAAGTCGGGTCCGAGCACCCTTCGCCCGAACGCATCCCGCACTCTGTGCCCTCCAACATGAAGAAGGACGCAAATCCACCGGTCGAGTCGAGCTTGATCCATGAGGCTAATTTGGAGACTAAGCCGGCTGGTGCGGCTGCTAGTACGTGAGGGATGGAGGGATGTTGGGTGGTTCTGGGGCGATGGGTGGCGGGAGATGGATGAGGGCAGGGCTGCATCGCAGAAAAGAGAGGGAGGAAACTGGAGTGGTATTGCGAGTGGAAGAATGGAATATGGATAGGGAGAACAAAAACGTTAGGCGAAGACCAAGATTCTTTGCAGATGAGATGCGCCCCCATGAACATCCCACACACAGTTCCCTTTCCCATTGCATGGGATTACAAATCCCACCGGTCACTCGCCCTTGTTTCGTTTTGTGAGCTTGTGGGTTCCCTCGTTCCTTTTTTCGAGTGATTTCTTGTTAATTCTTATACCATTTTCATTTGAACGTGCTGCTGATGTATGGGGATGAGTGCGATGCAGGACGTGTGGGTAGTGCGAGAGTTGGGCGGGGTGCGAAGGGAAGGAGACTCGGAAAGCGTTGAATCCACGCGGCGGAAGGCAAACGGCAAAAAGGCAGGCCCACCTTCTCTCCCTTTCGCACATGTTGATCTTTTGCACCAACAAACACAAACCACTGTGGAAAAGAACTGGACGCTGGGCGCTCCCTCGTCGTTTGTGCCTTCTTCAACCACACGTAATACACCAGTTCCACCACCACCACCACCACCACCGCCGCATAATGTCAACGGCCGACGACAACTACGCCTCATGGTCCAAACCCGCCCTAATCGAGCGCATCCGCCAGCTCGAAGCCCGGGGATCCCAGGGCGTCTCAACCGCTACAGCCCCTGTTTCCTCAGCACCATCGGCCCCGTCATCCTCCACCTCCAGAAAGCGCGCGAAACTCCCACCCCGCCCCTTCGACTTCAGCCTCCATTCCGCACGCCCCATCGCCCTCCAAATCGCCTACCTCGGCCACAATTACCACGGCCTGGCCTCGCAAGAATCCGACACGGTGCCCACGATTGAGTCGCATTTGTTTGATGCGCTGGTGACGGCGAGATTGGTGCCGGGGAGGAAAGAGTGTGGGTGGAGTCGGTGTGGGAGGACAGATCGGGGGGTTAGTGCTTTTGAGCAGGTTTGCGGGGTTTGGGTGCGGAGTAAATTGGGGAGGGGCAAGGGGAGGGTGGGGTGGGGGGAGGTGGCGGGGGCCAAGAGGGCGGGTGGTGTGAGTGCCGGGGAGGTGGAAGGAGGAAGGGAGATGCAAAGCGCAGGATCCGACGAAACATCCCCCCTAGAAACATGCTGGGAAACCGCCAACGAACTCGACTACGTTCTCCTCCTCAACCGGCTCCTCCCCGCCGACATCCGCGTCCTCGCCTGGTCGCCCGTCCACCCAACCTTCGACGCCCGCTTCCTCTGCACGTATCGGAGATACAAATACTTCTTCCCCGCCAACGGCCTCGACATCCACGCCATGCGCACCGCATGCAAATCATACATCGGCACACACGATTTCCGCAACTTCTGTAAAATCGACCCCGCCAAATCCCTACAGAGCTATCTCCGCACCGTGTTGCACGCGGATATCCGACCGTTGGGGCGGGAAGACGATGTAACTTACCCTGACGTGGACTCCGACTTATCTCTACATGCAACAACCGGCCGCGCGCAGGACCCACAACAGATATATGTATTCACCATCACCGGCCACGCCTTCCTCTGGCACCAAGTCCGCTGCCTGACCGCCATCCTCCTCCTCATTGGCTCGCATCTCGAACGCGTTTCTCTCACTTCCACCCTCCTCGATCTCACCCTCCACCCGCCTGACGCTGGACGGCCCGCGTACGATATGGCGAGTGAGATACCCCTCGTGTTGGTGGAGTGCGGGTATAAGGAGGGCACGTTTAGGTGGGTCTGTGGCGAGGGGGAACGGAGACGCGTGGCGGAGGGGTTGAGTGCGGTGTGGGAGGGGTGGGCGGTCCGGGCGGCGCAAGCGCGGTGTCTGATGGAGAAGGTGAATCCCAATCCAAAACCAAACTCAACTGCGACGGAGCGGGAGGAATATTTCTACCCGACGCTTGGGTACGGGCCCACGACGGGCGGTGGTGGGCCCACGGGGGGCAAACGGTACATCCCCGTGATGCGCCGCCCGCGGTGCGATTCGGTGGAGGTGAGAATTGAGAAGAGTCGGGTCGCGAAGGGGCGGAAGGCTGGTGGTGTATCTGAGTCTGCAGCTGCGCCGGTGACGCCGACGGAAATGGATGTGGATGGCGATGGAGCTGTGGATTTGGATGTGGACCCCCCGTCACCGCTGCCGACTACGACGACGGCTAAACGACCGCGGGTGGGTTGAGGAGGAAGCTTCAGACCCCCCGACCGTTCTCGCGGCGCTCAACCCGGGACTGTCAATAACGGGATATAGGGGCTCGCCATCTTCATTCAGAAGCGTATTCGAGGGCACTGCTATAACCAGGAGGGAAAACCATACGCAGCCGCCTCTCTGACATACATACGAGAGACGCTTTAAGCCACGGAAGTTTGTGCTCGGGAAGGTTATGTTTACCTCCTATAAACAAACCTCATAAACTAGGGGTCGGAAGTGTAGATATGTACAGGGACGGGGTAAGGCGAACTATTTACGTTGGTGGTATACTATCAACGAGTGAAGGGGGCGGGACGTCAGGCATAGGATCACCCCACCGGCTACATCAGTCGCTTGAGTGGCCGTCGACATCAAATATGGAGCGGCCGTCGCTTGCCTGGAGCAAAAACGGCAGGTTCCGGTAGCAGTGGCCCGTGTCATCAGACATGGCAGTTCCCGATGCTCAGCGGAAGTGGGGCTAGTGGCCTGCGGGCAGAACGTGACTTGGTGCGGAGAGGGAATATAGCGGGTGATGGGAATGCCGCATGACCTTGGCGTTAGGTGAATGTGTGATTTTTTCTAGTACTGCCTCGCAAACTGGCCCTGCTCGATTTTCTGGAAATGCGGTCGGGCGGCGTTGATGTTGATTTGCGTTACGGCTGATTCTAGAAGTAACATACAACGTAGTTGCGGAATGTTGTATCAGCAAATCAGCCTGGGAGGGGATGGGAATGGACCCGAACTTACGGATGGAAGGGTCGGATGTGATGACGAGGACGTAGGTGTTGGGCGTCAGGACGTCGATGTAGGCGGCGAAGGTGGTGGATTTTACTTCCATGCATGAGAATTGGGCTTGTGATTTGCTAGGGAGGTGGAAAAGGTGGGGAGAGCATGTTAGAGGGAGGGGTGTGCGATTTCTTCCGATCAAACGATTGTTCGCTATCGCTCACATTCACTGCTCGCTTCGCTCGCAAAGGCGTTGGCGACGTCGCGGTCGTACTCTCAAGGATATCCCCAAGTTTCTTACGCACCTGCAACTCAGCTTAAACTGCTTGATGATATTCGACACCTTCTCAAAGCGGTGGATATCAGGATGCGGGGTCTGCGTCGCATGCGAGATGACCAAAAACGTCGTCCTCTCAAACAACACAACCTCATCGGCCTCACACACGGCACTGAACGCCTTCAGATGTTCCTCCAGCAGGCGGACATTTGGGATCAACGAGTACACGATCGACGACCAGGCCTTATACAGCGTCTCGTCCCAGATACTCGTCGCAAACGCGGTGATATGCAGCGGCAACGACCTCCTCTTCAGATCCGTCTCGCGCTCGGCAAACACGGCCGCGCGCTGGTCCTCCTGCACGAGATCCATCTTGTGGACGAGACAAAAGACTTTCGCGTCTTTGCTGTTTCGTAAGATGGCGTCGAGGCAGGACTGATAGTAGTGCATGTCCTTCTCGTACTCGCGCGACTCGACGTCAAACACGTAGATGAGGACCTCGACGTTGCGGAAGATGTGGTCGCGTTGGGCGGCAATGTAGTTCTCCATAAAGACTTCTTGCCCGCCGCAGTCCCAGAGATTGAGGACGAGGTTGCCGAGGAAACGGACGTTGGAATGCTCGACGTCGATGGTGGCGCCGAGCCGGCGGGTGTCGCGGGCGATGTAGTTGGCGAAGATAATGGAACGCATGGAGGTCTTGCCGGACCCGCTTTTGCCCATCAGGAGCACCTTCTTTTTCATTGTGGGCGCTTCTTCGGGGTAGTGGGATCTACGTGGGGGTGGGTGATATTGACCGCGGTGTTGCTATATACTATCAGTGAACAGCAGTCCTGTTTTTGACGCTACTCTCGTCCTACTGTATTTCCAAACGGACTTCTCGAAGAACGAAAGGTCCTCGGCTGAGTTCACGGTGACTGTGGGCTTTCAAGGGCTCCTCAGTGTGCTGCGACGGCGGGAGATGTAGAGTAGAGGAGGCCAGTTGTGCTGCTTGCGGAGGGACTCCGAGGGAGGCGAAGGAGGACTTGAGGTGTTCCGTCCTGCAGCGTTTTCCGTCGCAACCGCAACAACTACGGACTGTCCCCGATCTACACAACGCTATATGTACAATGTCCCGACGCTTCCGGACCCACATAGCCCGCTCTCTCGCCTCCCTCCTCCTCTCCTCCGACTCCACCAACCCGCCAGAAGCCCTCGACCCCCACCTCCTGCCCCTCGTAATATCCAACAAGCACAAAGAGGCCGACGCCTCCGCAACCCCGTACGCAATCTCCATCCACCACCTCCTCCGCCTCCTCCCCACCCTTCCCTCCATCTACACCCTAAACCCGGAACTCACCTCCATCCATGCCGCCCCAGACCTCGCCCACGCCATCGCCGCCTCCTGGCCGTGCGATGACCATGTCGAGGGCGCGGCGGCTGCGGGGGGGTTTGTCAATTTCACAGTGTGCAGAGGAACGTTCATGAAGGTTGTGTTGACGGAGTTGGGCGCGGGGCGGATTGTGTTGCCGGAGATGGACGAGAACCCAGGGGATAGGAGGAAGGTGGTGATGGTAGAGTACGCTTTGCCTCCTCCCGGGCGTTTGTATGAGGCGACGCATTGGCGGTCAGCAGTAGTTGCAGGGTTTGTTGTACGCGGGTCTAGGGCGCGTGGGTGGGACGTGAGGAGTCGAAGTCGGTGTTTGGGGGATGCGGGTGAGGAGGTGAGGTTTGATGTCGATGTGGGTGCGTTGGGATCTGTATCTGGAGACGAGGTGCTTTGGGCTTTGCGGAAGGCGGTGGTCGAACAGGGATCATCATCGACGGCCACGGAGGTCGATTGGGATATATGGCGGGCTTGGCAAGCCGCCCATCAATCGCACCTGAACAGCATATCCTCCCCTCTCTGCGTAACCCTCGACTGCCCCACCACCTTCCACGCAAGCTCTATCATCACCGCCACCGTAGCCACCCTCACAGCGCTAGGCGGCCCCAAATCCACCTCCCAAACCCTCGACCTCACCCCCTACAACCTCGGCACCCTTCCCCTGCTCACCGCCACCAACCGTCCAACCCGAGCACTGCGCGACATCATCCTCGCCCTCCAAGCCGCCGATCAGGGAGTCACGGACGTCTACTGCGTGTCCAAGATGGGCCGGCGGTACGCGATCGACCAGGTGCAGATGGCGACGCGGTTACTCGGGTGCGGTGTCGTGCTCACAGATATCCCTGTAGCGGCGATCGCGGGCATGGCGGCGTTCGACGCCCCGCGAACGACCGACGTGGTATCCTCGACAACGTATATCTCGCGTACGACACGGTGGATGCACCGCATCATGGCAGATCGACTCCCAGACGAGGAGGGGGACGCGGACCGTGACGCCCCCACAGCATCAGCAACCCCGCGCGCACTAGCCCTCACAACCCTCCAAACGCACACCCTCGCCCCCAAACGCACCACCGCCTTCACATTCGCCTGGCCCGCCCTCCGCGCAGGATCCGACGTCGGCGTGTATATCCAGTACACCCACGCTCGGCTCACCTCCATCCTCGCCCACGTGCCCCGTTCATCACACCCCCCACAATCGCAAGCGGGCGACCTCGCCACCGCTCGGGAGGCATACGCCCTCGTACACCTCCTCTCCCGCTACCCCGCCGCCCTACGTACAGCCATAGCTGCCCACGAACCCGCGATCCTGCTCACCTACCTCGTCGAGCTGTGCACGAAAGTTGGGGGGGCGTTGGGCGGGTTGAGGGTGAAGGGGATGAGGGCGGATGTGGCGAGGGCGAGGGGGCAGGTTGTGAGGGTTGTGAGGGGGGTGGTGCGGGAGGGATTGGCGGTGTTGAGTGGGGTGCACGGGGTGGAGAGGATGTGAGGCCTCTCACATCTGGGGCGGGGGTCCTATCACCGTCAGGTAAAACGCTCCCCCACTTACTCCCTCCCACGAAGTTGATCTTAGTCCGTAGGACACACTATCACGCATTCTATTTCCTCCCTGTGCACAACCATATATACAAAAAAAAAGATACGCCCTACACTACCCCCTACACTGCAGACTAAATGATTTAAAAAAGCATATCTATATCCACCTCCCCAATGCTCAACTGTGGCGCCGCATCGGTCTTCATCATGGTCGCGTCTCCATCAAGGAGCGCGTCCTCGTCTTCGACGGTAGTGCCGTTGAGATCGCCTTTTTGGGACATGCGTTGGGTGGTGAGGAGGTATTGGATGTTGTGTGTGTTGTCGTTGCATCTGGGGGTGATCACAAGAGGAGAAAGGGTGGATTAGGGAACCGTGAAACATGACTAGGGGGGGAGGGAAACAGCACCCCAAAAGAAGAATGTGACTACAACTTACACATGATTCAACTCGTCATACATCCTCCCCATCGCCTTCTGCAACCCCCTCACGACCCCCGCAAACTCGTTCCTCCGGTCCTTCAGATACCGCCCATGGTGCCTCAACAGCGACGTCGCCCACATCAAACAGAACTGGATGCGCGGGCTCACGTCCATGTACGCCACCAGAAAGCCCAGCATGCGTTCCAGGTACTTTACCGGCAATTCACGGGCGACGAGGGTCACGTCGTCGGCGGGGACGGCGTCGAAGACTGTTTGGGTGACGGGTCGCTCCCCGAGCCGGAAGGACATGACGAGGGCGCGGAGGTACTGTGTGTCGGTTAATGCTTCGGTGATGGATTCGGGTGTGATGTCCATCTCGAGGTCGAAGGGGTCGAACAGCAGCTGTTCGTCGAGGGAGTAGACGATCAGACCTTCGGTTGAGGCGGCGGCCCAGGAGCGGCCGGTGGGGGAGAAACGGACGCCTTTTGTGCGGACGATCGGGCGCGTTTTGCGGAGGGATGCGTCGCCTTTTTGCACGCCCGGGAGGGAGGTGTCCATGCGGTCTTCAAGGTCGGAGGCGTCGCCCGTGTCGTCAATCAAATCCCGGGGCCCGGCTTCGGTCATGTTGCGGGAATTCAGAAGCTCTTGCATGCCGTCCATCGACAGGTTGTGGGAGATCTGGAACCGTTTCAGGAGCACTTTTGTCGGCGCGTCGTAGATGCAGACGTATTTGGAGTTGCCGCCGGCGAGGATCCCCGTTCCGTCCGCGGTGAAGCAGATGGACGTGAAATGCTTGTCCGCCGAGTTATTGGCAGACGTGATCCGATCCGTCGATTTGCGCCCGCCGGATATATCCTTCCTGCCCTCAATCGACCCAATCTGTTTTGCCTGCGCCACGTTCCAGAAGATGATCTGCCCATCCAGCGTCGAGGTCGCTAGCACCTTGCCGTCGGGGCGGTACGCGATCGACAACACCTCCGCCTGGTGCTCGAACCCTTCCTGCTGGACATCCCGCCCAAACACATCCCACAGCCGCACGCTCTTATCCCACGACGCGGACGCCAGCGTGCCCTCCGACGGCGAAAACGCCAGACTCGACACGGGGCCTTCGTGTCCCGTATAGATATCCAGCAACTTCCCCGTCTGCACCGACCACACAAAGATCTCAAACGTATCCGAGCTCCCCGCACACACAACCTCCCCGCTCGGGTCCACCGCCAGACACGAAAACTGCACAGGCGTGGGCGTCGTAAACGTCCGGAAGTTCCTGTACCTAATCAGATCAAACGCGCGGATGGTCCCATCCGACGACGCGGAGAAGACAATCTGGCCCTGCTTCGCAAACTCCAGCGCGTTGATGCCCGATGCGTGGTCGGTGAAGGTGACGAAACAGAACCCGGTTTGCGCGTTCCAGAGTTTGACCTTGCCGTCGTCGCCGCCGGTTGCTATGAATTGTCCGTCTTGTGAGTAGGAGAGGCAGCTCATGTCGTGGTGGTGGCCCTGCTGTTTCAGGACGTAGGACTCGGACTGCCATTCCCAGACTAGCAGTTGGCCTAATGACGATGCGCCGAATGCTAACCATTCCCCCGTTGGGTTGATCGCTACCGATGTAATCTTCTTTTGTGAAATGCTACCGTTTCACGGAAAATCAGCTTTCCACCTACGATTTTGATTTCCCTCGACACGATTACTCCCCTTACCTCAGGGTATGAATATTCGTAAAATCCGGCAACTCCCAAATCCCAAATATCCCCGACGTAAACCCCACAACCAACAAACTCGACGCCGCATGGAACGCCGCGCTAACCACCTTCGCATGATTCTGCATAAAATAATGTCGCGCAGTCGTCCGCCACGACTTGATCTTCGGTCGTGTAATCTCATCCGTTCTCCGCTTCTTATTCGGCTTGGCCGCAGCATCTCCACCCTCATCGCCACCCTCCATCTCCGCCTTCATGTTCCACTCAAACAGCGCCCCGTCACGGCCGATGGTGTACACCGTCTCCATGTCCTTCGAAAACCACGCGCCGAGCACCGTATCCCTGTGTCCCGTCAACACCGCGCCCGTGAACCCCTCGACCATATCCACGGGGTATATCCGCGCAGTCATGTCCTTACTGCCAGTGATAAAGAACCTGGAATCGGCAGACCACGCGAGATGCACCACGTCGTCATAGTGACCCGGGTACCGTTTATGCAGCACAAACGGCGCGAATTCAAGGGTGAACCCCGGTGTACGCCAGACCTGGACGTGTTTGTCGTGTGTGACGGCGAGGAAGCGGCCGTTGGGGCTGAACTGGACGTCGCGGACGGGGGTTTTGAAGTTGAAGTCGTGCAGGACGGTTTTGCGGGGGAAGTTGATCAGGAGGGCTTTGCCGTCTTCGTCAATGGTTATTAGGAGGGCGCCGTTGGGGGAGAGGGCGAGGCGGACGATGTCTTTCCGGTTTTCGAAGGGGAGGGTATACGATTTGTTGCTGGGGGGTGTGGAGACTGTATCAGTACCTACGAACCCCTGCGGGGAAGATCCAATTTCGGTGCTCACCCAATGAGGTCAAACACCGACACCCTATTCCCAACAGGACTGACGACGGAGTTTCCGTCGGGAGTGAACACCAGGTTCCCCTTCTTGTACACCGTCCCACATAGGTTCGAAAACTGCGTGGGGCAACGTCTGTCAGCTCACAAACACCTACACCTTTCAGCCGCAAACAAGACGCCTTCAGCATACCTTGTAATTGAGCTTCATGACTGCAGATAGTTGATGAATACGCCCCCAATGTTCAATATACTCCGGTTTCGAGCGCCTGTCCCAGTTCCAGCTCGCTCAATTGACACAGACCGGTGCGAGTTGCACAGGATATGGGGAAAGTCTGTCTAAATCCGGTATCGCCGCTCTCAAAGCGCTTGCTGAATAAACTCGTTTCGCCCACTCCGCGGCGAAAAAAAAAAGATATGGCTGCTCTCAGTGCTCTGAAAGTAGGTCGCCGACAGCGCATTTCACACGTAGAAACGCTGAGGGCAAAAGCCCAACGACGTGTGGCTTGGACGGGAAGCGACACCGAGTCACGTGGCCCAGACTTTGTCACTTTATTCCACCTGTTTTGACATCGCATTGGAAAAGCGCTCCATGCCCCAACCCCGGCAGGTCGTCGAGACCCCCCAAGCTAGGTAGGTACAGGCATCAATGGGCCTCCTAAACGTATCCGAAATGGCATTCAAATCCTCATACAAATCATCTCATTCATTCAAACAACAAAAACCGGACCCGCTCTACGGACCAACCAAACAAACACAATCAGGACCAGCCAAAGGGAAAGCAAACAACCGAGAGGGGATATATACAAAGGTGCGAAAACCAGTCGCGCGCGGGGAGGGGTTGTAATCTCTCTAGCAGTAGGGGTTGTGGGGGGATGGGCCAGCCAAAGAGGGGGCGGGGCGTACGCCGACTGTAAGGTTCACTGCATTGTCTACGGTTAGGGTGAACTAGACGACGCGGGACACAAAATTGGGGGGATAACTGGGTATATCGACAGGGTTTGAGAGTGTGCTTCACCAAGCGGCGTCCTCGGTGATGAAACACCGTTTTCTATGGATTTTGCGTTGGAGAGAAGCATCGCCGGCGATGTCGACTTTGTCTAGGCGGGTGCGGAGGTGTTCCCGTTGCTCTGCAAGGGTTTCTTGTGCTAAGAAAAACCAATAAAGACGTGCTTAGCTTAACATTTTGAGAGAGTTGCGAGTGAATGCACACGCGCTTTTACTCACCAGCCCACTGGGACCAAAAATCCGGCTGCAGGGTTGTCAACGCCCCACAGTTTTCCTCGCCAACGATATGCCTGCGGTGGTCTTCGGGCGAATGGCATTTATGGCAGATCGGGAACGCCGGCGGGGTAACGATCGCGGTGGGTGTCCTTGGCCGCAGCTTCGACAATGACGCTCGGCGTTGGGAGAGGTGGTCTTCCTTATTGGCATCGACGGGTGAGACGGGCGACAACACCACGACCTCCGCTTTACCGCCTTGTAAACGAAGGTTGGGGGCTGAGCTGGTGCGCAATTTCGTGAGATGCTGGGCACGTTCTTTCCGCTGCTTGATCTCGCCGGTAGCCTGCACGTTCTTCGGGCGTTGCTGCTGTTGTTGCTGCTCCGGGTTTTGCTGCCCGGCCGCAGGTGACGGCGGTGGTGTGATCCAGGCATGCGTACGTAGGTTGGAAAGAAACTGCCGTCTCCGCGATTTCTGCAATTTATCCTCCCTCAACAGCTCCATATGCTTATCATGCCAGTTCCACCACCGCCTCAGCCTCGCCTGGTCGAACCGGCGAAGGGTGGCCTGTTGATGGAGGTTGCGCGGGCGCTTGTAGGAGACGCGGTGGACTTCGGGTATGCCGTGGTTGGTTAGGGTCTGGGTGAGGACCTGCTCATCGGGGGTAGGCAAAATCTTGCCCGGCACAGCCGAGGCGTTCTTTGTTTGCGATTCGCGGGTCTCGCGAGCGATGCGGGCCGCTCGCAGCTTTAGCACCATGGCGTTTATTGGGGACAGGGGCGACTCCTGGCCTGCGGGAAGCTCATGGTGTGTTTTGGTGTTTGTGGTGGTGGTGGTGTGAGCGACAGGTCCCGTGAGTGGGGGTTCACCCAGGAAGGAGAGGGCGGCCGCTCGGGTATCTTCGGGTGCAGCTTTGTTCCCGATGCTGCAGAGAAACTCGCTGAGAAGGCGTAGGGCATCTTCTCGTGGGTCTGTTTGATAAGCAAAAGTAGCATGAGTATCAGAAGAAAAGAGGGGTCTCGTTGTCAGGGTGGGACGGCGACGCCACCAACACATACCCTCGTTACCAGACCGTGTCGCTTGCCAGTGCTGAACCCCGCCAGCGGAGTAGGTGGACTGCAGTACCACCGAGGACGACATTGTCGGAGTTTATGCTGCAGCTGGAATATGGCGTAGTGCGTAGTATAGTGTGAGCTTTCTTAAGCGAAGCCGCACGACCGAATGGCGGTGTCCATTAGGAGTGCTCTAGTGCGAATTGCGGGGTGCTGGTGCCTTCTATTGCGACGAGTTGGGATATATGGGGGGGGAAGCCGGCAGGAATGCGAGTCTATGGGAGAACAGGGCCTATACGATTATACGAGACCAAGGACGAGGTCGAGGGAGGGGAGCCCAGGGAGTTATATGTATTCTTTCTGACGGGTGTGTACAGTATGTATAATATTCTATGCACGTATAGCCAGTGGGTGGGTGCGTGTGTGCGTAGCCATAGTGCCAGGGAGGATACCCCCCCATATGATTCCCCCATGCAAGTCCAAGGTCCATTGGCAACGGCCCCCCCCCCCCGCGAAGTCTCCTCCACCGACCGCCTTTTTTTGATTAGGCGCTTGCTTGCGAGGGCGGGGCGGGCGAGGGAGCGCGTCGGAGGCGGGGGGCCGGGGGTTGACTCCAGTTTCGAAACGACAATCGCCGCCGGCTAATCATTATCTTATTCATTCATTCATTCTCATCCACTCCCAATAAACCCGCCTGCAAACCCCCCCATGTCATAACTCATCATATCTCCCATATCCGGGTAAATTTGAAATCCTGCCCCTCTCCCTCATAAAAGGTTACCTACGTACTTATATACTACACGCTACTCTCCGTCGGAGGCGCTCGCTTCTCGTCACAGAAACCCGGGGACCGCGACCGTGCTCTCCACGAGGAAAAAACAGCCGCGGTAAGAAAGGTAGCAGATATCCGGGTGCGATCACTGTGTACCGTCTCCACTCTCTCCCTCTTTCGACGGGCCGACGTGGGCCAACCGGTCCATTCCTGAACCTTCCTTCCTCGTTGTTTTTCCTCTCCTATAGCAAGCATTACCAACAAAGTCATGGCTACCTCCCAGCCCGTCGAACTGACTTTCCAAGCCTACCGGCAAAGCCTACCGGCAAAGCCTTCCGACTACCATCTCCGAGGCGGATGCGTACCAAGGCTATCTTATCTAAACGCAAGGCTATGTTATAGATAAGAAACGGATAAACGAGGAGGCCGTGTTGGCAAAGCGCCTGCAGGTCAGCCTGCAGGTTGAGAGAGAAGCAGAAGAGCCTGCAGGTTGAGAAAGAGAAGCAGAAGACACTGCGTATGCAACAAGGACCAGCCAGTACGTACCGTTCGACTTCGAGCAAATTTACGTCAGAAACGCAACCCCTCTTACAAGGACATTGAGGTAGGCAGATCTGCAAGATACACTGCTGTGGGTATTACCCTGATCTTTCCAACCCTCATTTTGATTGCCTGCATGTCCGCAGGATGGGAAAAGGAAACAACATGGTGGTCACCAGAATTCTGGGCGCTTTTTCTCACCTCGCTCTCGACCGCCCTTGGTATATTCACGGGCCTCACCGTCATACGCGTCGCCCACGACAACCCTCAGCAGTATGTTAGGCTTCTTTGGGGATATCAGAAATGCTTTGGCAAAGATGCGCGCGGTATGGTGTTGCGGAGGGTATGGAGATGGAGATGGAGGATGATTAGCGCAGGCCTGAAGTATATCAAGGAAATGCTACATAAAAATCTCGAATTACATATCCCCCTTGGTCTCCATCCCGCAATTTTGTTATCCCCCAGCTGTCCACTTCCCAGCGCTATGGGATGAATGTATACTGTGAAGATATTGGAAAACCAAAACGGAGCACAACCCTGTTGTCACACCACGTGAGTCTATGTCATGTGCGATGGGGCTATATGATATGCTTGTCTATTTGTAAGTTACAGAACTATGAGATGAATGTGAAATGAAAATGATTCCATGCAAATGCAATACATAAGAAACTGCAGGCTCGAGAGAAACAGGGACTCGGCTAGCACACCTCGGGGTGGGGAAACCTCCCAATTACGCCGTCTCACCCGCACGCTCATCCAACGTCACCTCCTTCACCCCCACTAGAATGACATCCACATCGCCTTCCTCCTCCCCGTCCTCCTCCGTGCTCTTTCGAAGCCGTTCCCTCTCCCGCTCCTCCTCCTCCTCCCGCACCTTCTCCGCCCGCTCGCGTTCCCGCATCACAACCTTCCTCAGCTCCTCCTTGCCGTCCGCCTCCCCATGGTCATTCTCATCATCCTCCTGCTCGTTTTCGTCGTCGGCAGCCATGACATCGAGCATCAACAGCGGGTCGTTCTCGTAGCAGGGGAACAGATACTGCGGGTCCGTCCACACCGGCGAGTCCTTCGGTGGGAGGGAGGTGAAGTGGTTGAGGGAGGTGAGGTGGTGTGTGAGTTCGGGCATGGTGTCGAACGGCGTGGAGCAGGCGTGGCAGGTGCAGTGGGCGGTTTGGTGGCGGATGTAGTTGATGAGGCGGATGGAGGCGTAGAAATCTAGGTCTGTGGGTATATATCAAAGGGTTGAGTGAGTGGGGTGCCCGTGGGGTGAGTAGGAGAGGAGGGAAGAGGAGAGACGGCAGTTGAGGGGGAGGCATGTTGTACGCACCATGCTCCTCGCGAATAGCGCGAAGATCGAACGAGTGCGCGGCTTTCATGTGTTCGTGGGCGCTCTCGGCAGAGGGGAACACGGACTCGTCGAAAAGACACATTGTCGAGTCGGCTGTGCTGTCTTCCTCGTTCCAGTCTTCCCATTCCCTAAAGAAAAGAAAGGAAAGCATGAACACGCGTGAGAGACAGGGTGACAAACGAACAATCTAAAGCAGCTACGTACTCCTCCTTGCGGTCCTCATCACTATCATAGCGCTCATTCTCAAACGCCTCCCAGTTCTTCCCCGGCTCCAGATAGTTGATGATGTAGAACCGGTCATAGCCGCGATTCCTCGGGTTGATCTTGAAATGCTTCTTTTTGCGCATATGTTTCCTCAGCACCGCGCTGGTCTTGAAAATCTTTTCGCAGTACAGGCACTGCAAGCCCGCGAGCTTCTTTTGCAGGGTTTCGAGGAACTCGGAGACTTCGACGAGGTTGTCCGGCAGCCCGATGTTGAACCCGTGCTCGCTGAACATGTGCTTGAACAGGAGGGAGCGGTTGTCGCAGGTGACTTTGCAGAAGAGGCATTTGCGCTGTACGTGGGTGGTGTCCTCTGCGCGCTCCTGTTCCTGGATCTTGAGCATATGGTTCAGCTTGTCATGCTGGAGCCGCTCGCGGAAGGCTTTGTCTTCCAGGTTGTTGTCGTGGCCGAGGATGTAGACGACTTTGCCCGTGCCGTCGGGGTTGGTGGTCTGATCGGATTTGGTCGCGACGGAATCGAGGCCTTGCTCGTCGATCGCGCGCGCCCAGTGCTCGATGTACTTGTCGAGGTACGGGAGCACGTGGTGCGGGTTGCGCACCTCGATGCCGTGTGCGGCTTTGAGGTGGTCGAGTGCGACGGTCGGGTTGGTGGTGGGTACAGTGTCGGGTGGGCAGTCGGCCATCGGGCAGAGGAAGACGATGTGGGTCCAGAAGGTTAGCGGGACCGAGGGAGGTGGGGACGGGGACCGCTCGGCGTCGTCGTCGTCGGAGTCGGAGGAGAGCGCCGAGTCGTTGGAGTCGCCGCCAGCGGAGGAAATGGAGGGTTTGCGTTGCTCAACACGGGCGGGTTTACGGCCGCGGGGTTTGGCTGCTGTCGTTGTTGTTGTCGTCGTCGCCGTTGTCGCTGGGGCGGAGGAAGAATGGTGTGATCCGCCGCGCCCACCTCGTCCTGCGTCGCCTCCACCACGCCCCGCTGCTCCTCCGGCGGCCCCACGCCCCCGACCCCTCCCACGACCCCACTTCCCTGCGTCTCGCCTGCTGTTGCCGGCCACAGTCGTCCAACCTGGAGAGCCCGGTGATGCCGGCGGTGCGGCGGCGGCGGCGGCGGCGGCTTGCTGCTGCTTGGAAGCGGCGTCCTGCTGCTGCTGGTGGTGGCCCTTCACCGGGGTGTGCGGCGCCTTGTCGTTCGTCATATTGCTTTGCCAACTTTTCACAGTCGTCGTTGTGTCGGTTGTTTCAAGCGGGGCAACGTTGGGCAGTTGTGGGGAATTCTCTCGCTCTCTTTCTTGGGCCAAAACGCGCACATTAAAACTCACTTCAGAGGCGCACGTGACTTGGCTTCTGGACCTTGCCACGCCCGTCATCGCAACGCCGACCCCACATACGATTATCGATCGAGCTGCTCGACTTCCGCTCGATTTAGGGCCTTCCAAAGAGTGGCTGATGCACATTTCAATGACGAGGCCTCGTGCCCGCTGCTACTGCCGCTTGACTAGTACATTTGCATCTTCATTAGGTCTTAGGCCCGTTCACATAGCCGGGACTTTCCGTAGCCCTCTTAGTAGAGCGATGCAATTTCTCCGCGTCTGAGTTTATGTACTATACTGTATGTAACGAGAACTGAATGGAAAGCCATATTGCACAGACGACATAAAGCACACGCCCCAAAAACTCATATATTGCAAAAACGGCTTTCGTTCATCGATAATCTCCCCCACTACCCGCCCAACAACCCCCTGACAACCTCCACCCGCCTCCTCACTTCCCCCCACACCCGCTCCCGCTCATCAAGCACATGCAGCAGGCCTTCGATGTACTCCGCCATGCCCGCATCATGGAGCTCACGGGCCTCATGACGGTTTCGCGCGCTACGCGCCCCCGCGCGCATGGCATCAGCCACCAACCCGCGCTCGAACCTCATCAGGTCGGTGTTGGCGCGCATGGCGGAGATGTGTGTGTTCAGGAGGGTTTCGTGCGCTGTTGTGAGCGTGGTGGCGGGGTCGGTGGCGGAGTGGGAGTCGGTGTCGGTGGGGGGTCGCGCTTCTTCCCAGTCGCCTTTCCCGTCGTCGTCGGTGGCATCTTCATCGTCGTCTACATCGTCATCGGACTCATCATCATCATCATCATCGTCGTCGTCGTCCTCCTCATCCACCTCCACCCCCCTCACCTTCCTCGCCACCTCCCCACCCTCACCCCCAAGACTCTCCATACTCCCCGCACCCGCACCCCCTCCAACTCTCCCCCGCCTCTTCATCTCCTTCACCCTCCAAGCATACCTCAACGTATTCAGCGAATGCTCCCCGGAATTACTCCCAGGACTCACCGTCGCAATCATCACGGTCTGCGCGCGCTTCCCCACAAACGAGTCGCGCAAGATCTGCGTCAGTTTGCTCGCTCTGAACGGAATATGTGTCGTCGTTGTCGTCATACCCGCCCCAGAGCGATGGAGGGCACGGATGCACTCCTTCAGCGCCAACAGCGACTTGTTGATCTCGGCCCCCTCGACCCGTTCGCGCTTGCCGACCACTCCGCGGTCCGTCGCCCGCTCGCTGCCGGCGAGATCCACCATCGAGAATTTGCCCACCACCTTCCCGGTGACGGTATCACGGACGCGTAATTGCAGCACGGCGTGCGAGCGGGAGGAGTCCGGGTTGGCTTCCGTCGTCCCGGTGGTCCGCGCTTCGTTTCCCAGTGATACGAGACGGAGTAGGGAGGGGAGGTCGGGGGGAGATTCTTCGGTGAGGCCTTGGATGCGGATGGCGCCGGTGTGGTCTTCGAGGAGGGTGATGCGGGATTTGTGGGAGAGGAGGTCGTAGACTTGGCCGGTGTAGATTTCGAAGAAGGAGGCGTGCAGGGTGAGTGTGTGGGGTGAGGCGGGGGAGGAAAGGTGGTGGAAGACATCGCGGCAGGCGTAGAAGCAGAGACCGGGAGAGGTTTGGGAGCCGAAGACTGTGTGGGTTTTGCCGCTGCCGGTCTGCCCATAGGCAAACACGGTCCCCCTCCCCCCCTCAAACATCGCCTCCACAAGCCCCCGTGTCGTACGCGTATACACCGCCTCATTCTCCGCTGCCTCATCAAACACCTCGTCGAATGCGAATGTCTGGGTGTCGATGTCCTTGGAGAGGTCGACGCGCACTCTCGGCTCGTGTAGGTGGATCAGCGCGGTTTGGGTGGAGAGGATGTCGAACACGGCCGGATCGGCGGTTTCGCGGGCGTTGAGGGGGCGTTTGCGGACGCAGACTTTGATGCGGACTGTTCGGTCGTCTTGCTGCGCTGGTTGTGGTGGCGGTGGTTGAACAATGTGAGTTCCACCCGCGGCGAGGTTCTTCTCCCGCCACGCGTCGATTTTCCGTCGATACAGCACAGAGTCGAGGTCCCCGTTGTTAGCGACGGCCTCATGCTGCTGGGCTTTGCGGGCGAGCTCGGATTGGCGGCGGCGGTTGTCGCGGCGCTGGGCGAGGAGGGCGATGGATTGGACGGTTTTCGAGGCGCGGGTGCTTGGGCTGGCGGTCGTCTGAGCAGGGGCGGGTGTTGATGTCGCTGCTGGTGGTGATGGGGCGGCGGTAACGGGAGCGGGACTACCAACGGGTGTTGTGGTGCTTTTCGGGTTTGGCCCCGCCGCGGATGGTTTCTGTGGACTCTGGGAGGAGGACGCCGGCACGCTGGTTGTAGTACCCAAAGCTGGGCTCGAACGCTCTTGCTGCAGAAGACGGATCTTGCTCTGCCTCGCCATGGATGCCTGGACAGGGAACAGAGAAAGAAACAGTCTTCAGCCCCCAAATCTGGCGCAAGAGGGTTGTGGTGTTCAGGTCCCGTAAACCGGCTGTAGATCAAGATGTCGCCCTGAACTCCCATCCTTCTCGTGGCATCACATCAATGCCAAGAAGGCCGTTCGGATGCTTTGTACAGCCCAAAGTGCAAGAACCTTCCCGAGGCGACATATTTTCTCCCTGACCCTGGCCCCGTCAATCCCTACCTACCTGTAGTAAAGCCGCCGGCGGCTTGAACCCACTCATACCCAACCCACTAGCCAGCTCTTCTTCGGAAGACGACGGATTGCTCATGTTTTTGAAGATTTCCCCCTCTATTCAGGTACAGATTGCCCACTCTGTCTTTTGCCCCCCTCGTTTAACTTTGTTCCAACCGATATGCGAGGGAGTTGCGAGATACCGCTTTGGTGTCTTGCTTGGAAGCAAAGCGCTGGGAGTGTGACGCGGGGACCGGGAGTGTTCCGACGGATGGGTTTGGTCCGTTGTTTTGACATTTCGACAAGTGCTGCACTGGCAGGTGAGGGTCGGGTGGTTGCTGGAGCGGGAGGCTGGCGGGAGGGGTATGCATATAGGGAGGGGGAGGGGGAGCGCAACTGGGTTAAGCTTGAAGTCTGACGTTGCGGACCCTGTGTGGTCTGTGTGGAGGGTCTGGGAGAGGGCGTGCAGTTGGTTGCAGACGGACAGCGCGACGCTCCTCTTCTTTCCCTCCTGTTTCCCACGTCCATTCTTTTCATTCCACTGCTTCCTGCTCCTCGCAACAACAACAACATACCCCCCCCCCCCTCCCCCCCAACGCAGCACAATGCGTCGAGCACCCGCTCTCTTCTTCCGTCTAGCCGCCCACACCCACAGCAACCACCCGCCCCGCCGGCCGCCGTGCATGCAGCAGCACTCCTCCTCCTCCTCGCAAGCAACCGCTCAGGCAGAACCCCTACCGAAACCAGCAGAGTCGGCGCTGAAGAGACCACCTTCGCTTTCGAAAGCAGTTGTAGGACAGGGACATGGATCGACGCAGCGAAATGGGGAGGTGGGGGGGACTGGCGACGGGTTGGAGAATGGGGGCGCTGCTGGGCGGGCCGCCGGGATGGAGGCCCCATCGACTCCCGTCGCAAACACAGACCCACCCACAACATTGACCCCCACCACCACCACCACCACCACATCGCCCACCGTCCCCCGCCTCCCGCCCACCCCCAAACCCTCCAAATCAAAACACAAACACCTCACAACACACATGTCAACCTACCCCTGGCTCCTCTCCTCGCTCCCCGCCCGCCGCCCGCGCCCCACATTCTGGTCCGCCCTCAAAGAAAAACACTTCCTCGCCCTCGGCACCGCGCGCGCCCGAAAGCACCTCCACCACCCCACCTACGACTTCCCCGACCAATTCAACATCGACGCCGCGGCCGTCACCCAAGAGCTCCTGACACTCCTAGGCGATCCCCGGACGGCGGGGGACGAGGACCGCCTGCGGGACGTGATGGTCAAACAGCTCGCCAACCGCTTCGCGGCCGGGTACAGGTCCATGCAAGCGAAAGGCCAGGACGTGCGGTATACACTCACCGGCACCCCCAGAGTCACCGTCTCGGGCCTGCATTTCCACTACGGCCCGTACCCGCCGCCCGAGGGTTACGCCCGCCAGCAGTGGTGGCAGTTCATCGAACTCGTCATCCCCGCCGAAGACGCGCAGTTCACTTCCCACCCGCGGCAGAAGGAGATCATGAAACACGCCGAGGACGACGGCGTCTACTTTAAGATAGATACCCGCGTCGATCTGGACCTCGAGTTCGTCGTGGTGGATAAGACGAGCGGGATGCCGCTGATTCGGGATCGACGACGGAGGGTGGAGCTGCAGTTTGTGAGCCCGCATTTCACGCCGTGGGATGAGGTGTTTGAGCTGGATGCCGAGGGCGAGTGGTTGTTGAGGTGGAAGTGGAGGGTGAGCGATGTGGATTGGTTGGTTGAGAGTGGTGGGGATCTGTGAAAGATGGAATGCAGGGTGGACAGAGAGAGTGTAGACGTAGATTGCGGAAAATCGTTTATGTATATACAGAGGTGCTGTGATATCATTCATATATATATATATCCCCATTATCTATCGATGAAATGCTCGAGCGACTTTTATGAAGGGAACATGGAGAAAGGTTTTCACGCGTGCTACTGTACTCTAAGTATCTACCTGTTCCAGAGGGAAGCCCCAACCCCGACACACCTAAGCTGGGCGGTCAGGAGATGGAAGCCCTACTTCGTTCCCTCCCGCTTCACCAACCCCTCCAAAACTCTAACAACAGCCTCCACCCCCTCCTCCCCGACCTGCCAATGAACAACCAACCTAACCTCCCTCCCCACCCCGCCAAAAATCCTCACACCCTCCGCTTCCAACAGCACCTTCAACTCATCAGCAGACACCGGGGATTCAAACCACACCATGTTGGTATCAGGCGACTTGGTCAGGGGGAGACCGAGGGATGTGATGCGAGTGGCGAGGGAGGTGGCGATGGCATGGGTTTGATGGAGGGTGGGGAGGGTGTGGGAGAGGGCGTGGAGGCAGGCGGAGGCGAGGAGGCCGGCTTGGCGCATGCTGTTGGGGGACGGAGAAATGGTATCAGGAGATGAAACGGGGGATGGGTAGGGTGAGCCCAAGGAGTAAAGGACTTACCCGCCGCCGAACATTTTGCGGAAGTGTCGGGCTTTTTTGATGAAGGCTTTGGAGCCGACGAGGGTGGAGCCGACGGGGGCGCCGAGGGCTTTTGAGAAGCATAGCGTTACCTACTCAAAAGGGGTAAGAGCGAACGTTGTTGAGCAGCAGCTCTCCAAGCGCCCACACATGCAAAGAGATCGCCCTACCGAATCAAAGTGCCCACAATACTCCCTCAACTCAATCCCTGTCTTTACACTCGCATGCCACAACCTCGCCCCATCCAAATGCGTCCTCACCCCCTTACCCCTCGCCAGCGCCGTGACCTCCCTGATATTCTCAATCGGGACCACCTCCCCATTCAGCGTGTTCTCCATGCAGATCAACCGCGTCGGCGTGTGGTGCACGTCGTCGTCGAGGACGAGGTGCGGGGTGATTGCCGCGGCTGTTAGGTGGGGGTGGTCGGGGAGGGGGGTTACGGGGACGAGTTGGGCGCCGGTGAGGTAGGAGATCCCGCCGGCTTCGTAGTTGAAGACGTGCGCGCGGTGGTCGCAGATGACGGAGTAGGGGGGGCAGGTCAGGTGAGTGCGGACGGCGATCTGAAAATGAGAGTTGGATTGGTTGGTCGACGGCTTGGTTGAACGGTACCTCCTGTTCATCCACTTGCGACAAGGTGTTGTGCGACTGAAAATGAAACGACCATTCGCCGTCGCTCACAGAGGAAGGTAGGGGCTCGCTTCGCTCGCCTAGAAACCACTACCGTTCGCTTCTTGCTCACATTGACTGCTCGCCGCAGTACACCCCATCCCACTTACCACCCGCCCTCAACAACCCTCTCCGATTTCCCCATCTACCAACCTGGTTAGACATCGTAGCAGTCGGCAAAAACAAAGCATCCTCATGCCCCGTCATCTCCGCAACCTTCCTCTGCAGTTCATTAATCGTCGGATCCTCCCCAAACACGTCGTCGCCGACTTCTGCGGTCAGCATGGCTTCCCGCATCGCTCGGGATGGGGTTGTCACTAGAATGAAGCGAGAAATGGGTGAGCGTTTTCGGGGTGAGTTGCAATTGAGAGTGATGGTCACCCCACCTGTATCGCTACGAAAATCGGCTAGAATCTTCCGCGCCGGCTGTTGGTCGTTGGGCCGGGCCGAGCCCGAGCCGTAGAGTTGGTTTGTGGCGGACATGTTGGTGAATTGCCTGCTGATGTGGGTGGCAATTGTTGGTTTTGGGAGGGCTGTTTTGAAGATGCTTTTTGGGAGGCTGGAGTGGAGGCGAGATAGCATTTCTTGGTGCCCGGGGGAGGGATGCGAGGAGGGGGGCTGCCTTTATGCTGCGTACTGTGTGTCTCTGTATGTAAAAGGGCTTTGGACACACCGGCTATACACACCGGTTGTTGTTTCCCACGGCAGGTTGTTGTTTCTTTTTGGATGCCGGCGTAGGACGGAATGCCGCTAATCCACAGGACGCGTAGACGGGACTACAAACTCCCTCCAAGGAGCACGCACGGGTGGCCACCCACCTCGCATCCTCGCTCACCAGCAGCACCGGCACCAGCAACAGCTACAGCCATGGTCAGAGGAATAGATGATTGTCCCACCGTAATCCCCTCCCTTCCTCGAGGCGTCCCTCTGCCACACAGCTACGATCTAGTGTCTACGGTACATCTGGTAGCGCTTAACTTGCTTCCTGTTCCCTATCTGAAAGGAGAAGGAAAAGGACACCTCTGATTGAAATACAGTAAAAAGGGCTGATCGTCTCACTAAGGGGTATTAAGAAATGCGGCCATGTCACGGGCACCGATATCGTTACTCCAACAATACTGGTCGGAATGTGGCGGCCCGTATCAAACAAAAGCCAAACATCGCCTCTCTTCTCTCTATGCGTACACCACGACGTTCGAGGGGAATAAGGGGCGGGGGTGCATCGGCTTTTATCTGGTCGCTTGCCGGTTCGGTCGACGTTTTGGGTATTTGGAGTTCTGTGGCATGTATCTACCTACTTCTTGAGAAACTACTGTTGGTCCATGAGATCAAACGAGGGAACCGCATGGAAGGCCCGCAGAAGGCCCGCGCGCTGAGTCACGCACGAGAGCGAGAGCGAGAGCGAGCTGGAAATGTCGGAACTGCACACGCTCTCAAACCGCTCGGTTCCCTCCCATGCACAGCACAACCATACTGGATTGCTCCTTGGTGTCATCCACTGCAACAGACATATACTGTACAGCACTACCGTCTGTCTTTACGTTCCCATAGCTAGTCCGTCCCCGCTTCCACTCCACTGCGTGTGTCGTCCTTCGCAACTATCTTCTCCGCTCCGAAAGACAGCATTTTCCCACCGGCAATGGACGTGAGTGACCTGCCCCTTCACAAACGTCGACAAAGCGAATACTAACCTCTTTCTTACTCACAGCGAACCGCTCAGTCTTCCTCTGCCGACGCTTCTTCGAAGACCGTCCCACCGTCGCAAATGTGCACGGGTGAATGTGACAACCCAGTCTGCGAGGAGGTTCTGGGCCGATACAGGGATTTGTTGTCGAAACTGAGCGCTTTCGCTCAGGACCCGCATTCGCATGGTGTGTCAGTTACCGTAGCGGCAGCTGCTGTGCCCGTGGTTGACTCGCTACCAGAGCCGCCCATTGTTGTTGTGGACTCGAGCAGGACTGATGCCGGCCGTGGGGCAAACTCCGCTAATGTTGAAGTGAGGGGTGTGGACGAGACACCGCAGGTGGAGAGGGAGAGACCCGCATACGCGCAGTCAGACTATAACGAAAGCACCAGTTCCCCTACCTTCTCGGAGCCGGCTGCACATCAGTCGGTGCTGGCAAAACGGAGGCGGTCGACAGGTGGTGCCATACCATTGACAAAAAAGCGTAAAGTCGATTCAGAGGATGTGCTAGGGTCGTCCACGGCAGAGGAGACTGATGCGGTGGAGACTCCTGCGGCTGGTTCTCCCGCTTCACCACCGCAAAAAGAGAACGACGCGAAATGCCACTGGGCGACATGCACAGCCGAGTTCCGCACCTCCGACGAGCTCGTCCCGCATATCAGCAAACTCCACCTATCCGCCAACCGCATCGGCCACGTATACAAACGCCTACAGCCCCATGGCCAGGACGAGAGTCTCACGATGGTCGACACGGACACCTCTGAGGATGAGAGATACGCTACCGATCACAGTTATACCCCTACCACCACCAGTGGGGCCGCGGGGCCAAGCACCCAGACGGTGGAACCGACCGCGAAAGCACCGGCCGCGGCTCGCTCGTCGTTTTACCACGCATGTAAATGGGCTTTGTGCAGTCTGTCGAGCTTCTTCTCGGTCGATGAGCTGTTTCAGCATCTGTGCTCGGATCATTTGGATATGAAAGCGGGGGATTTGGATGCGCATGGGTGTTTGTGGCGGGGTTGCGGTATGTATCACACCTCTCCCTACATCCATTCCCTTTTTATCTCGAAATACGTTATCGCTGACCAAAATACCATGGTGTTTTCCCGCATAGGCCAACGCTTCCACACTTTCGACGAACTCACCGACCACGTCTCGGAAGAGCACATTGGGTCCGGACAAAGCGAATACATCTGCCTGTGGGAGAACTGCGACCGCGACAGGAAACCCTTCACCCAGCGGCAGAAGGTCATGCGGCATATCCAGACACGTGAGTTAACACCTCTTCGCCAGATGGTCGTTCCATCCCCTGCGGTTTTGCTGACATTCTTCTTTTGGGCAGACACGGGCGACAAGCCATATCAATGCACAGTCTGCAACCAACGCTTCTCAGAAGCCGGGATCATGACACAACACATGCGTACCCACACAGGTAACCTCCCCCACCCTCCCGATCCCCCTCCCCCCCCACCTCCCTACTAACCCCCTATCAATAGGCGAACGCCCTTACAAATGCCCCGAACCCGCCTGTCTCCGCGAATTCGCCATCGCAGGCGCCCTAACCATCCACAAACGCAAACACACGGGCGAAAAACCGTTCAAGTGTAAAGCGGACGGGTGTGAGAAGAGGTTTGCGGAGAGTTCTAATCTGACCAAACACGTAAGAGACCGCCATACCTCCATTCCTCGTATTTGGGGCCCTGTGATTTATGTATTTTTTTTTGTTGGGTAGTTGAGAGTCCACACCGGCGAAAAACCGTTCAAATGCCCCGAACAGGAGTGCGACCGCAAGTTTGCGAGGCCGGACCAGGTTGCGCGGCATCGGAAGACGCACGAGAAGCCGGGGGCGAGTGGCGGTGCTTGAAAAAGCAACTCGCTTGCCCCGGCTAGACTGACTCACTGCTGCTTTGTATCATTTTCTTCTTTTTTTTTGGGTGGGGGTGGGCCGCATATACCCTTGTTGTACATAATGGCGGGAAGCGGGTGTCTGTTGGGAAGGGAAGGGTTTGGTATGACTGCTTGACTGGTGTGTTACGTTAGGTCTGGAGGTGCTGAAGACTTCTGCATGGATTTGACAACTTCGAAAAAAGACAGATAAGGGGCGACATTCGATCTCGCCCGGGTGGCGTGCTGTGTGGGGGAAAGGGGACGAAAAATGGAATCTTTGGGCTGGTATGCCTTTTGTATTGATGCAAATCATGACATGAAAACGAAAACCGGAAAAAAGTCGAAAGTTGAGATTAACGATGCGATGAGAACAACATAAAGTGGGGGAACATGCACGGGGGATCAAATGTCTCCCGCCGTGTTCCCTTTGTCCATGCGGACCGTACTAACTGATGCCCATCAACAGCTCTACAGGGGCCACGAAAAAGGAAAAAACTCTGGAAATTGAGCTGGGGAGGAAGGCGGTAATTCACTCTTCATCACTCTCCTCCTCCTCCTCACTCTCCTCATCCGCCTCCTTCAACCACGCCAAAAACGGCGCAGCCCGCTCCCTAATCTCCTTACTAATCTTCCTCTCCACAAACTTCTTGCTCGGCTTCTCCCCCCACGCCAAGAACACCTCCTCATCCACCAAATCCTCATCATACAGCGCTTTAAGGATCATCGGGATCTTGGGCATGAGCTCCTTGTGCGAGACGCCGACGAGACGCTCGATGCCGCCCAGAAGGTTCTTTTGCGCTTTTTCGGTTTTGGAGAAGGTGCGGATCAAGGGGGCGCGTTTGGGGATTTCGTTGTTGGTGAGCACCGCGGAGGTGAGGAGGACCTGGGCGAGGACAGCGCAGGCTTTGTCCGGGCGAATGGAGAGATTGGTGGCGGCGGTATGGAGGTCGCTGTCGGAGGCGTTGGGGTGGGTGGTGATGTATTCGGCGAATTGCTCGAGGGGGTCTGTGTGTGGGAGATATAGGGTCAGCAAAATGAAATAGTAAAGGGCAGAACGAGAATGATTGGAGATGATTGGAGCCACTGGCGACACATACCATCTTGGTCATCCTCATCATCATCAGCTTCGGTAAGCTTAGCGACGGCGCCCCCAACAGCCAGCTCCTTCATACGGGCAGCGACGGCATCCTCGCTGGTGTCAACAGCCCAATCGTCATCGTCCACGTCGCGAGAGACGGGAAGCGCGGCGGCCGCGGCGGCTTCGGCGTCCATGAAGGCCGTGACGTCGTCGGCGTCTTCATCATCGGAGCCGTTGGAAGCGGTCTCGGGCGGAGTGGGCATGCCCTTCTTGCCGTCAGCCCCGTTCTTGGACCTGTATAAAGCGTGACGGTTAGTATATGAGAGGAAGTATGTCTTCGAAAGCGTAATCAAGAAACATTACTTTTTGCTCCTCTTTGCATTGGTTGGGGGGTTCTTGATGATGTAGGTAACCAATTTATGGCGGTTGTCGGCCATAAGGTTGGCACCACAGGCTTTGCAGTCCTTCATAATAAAGTCATCTTTGGTAAGGACCTGCACAGAACGAGGGAAAGGAAAGAAAAGAATCAGTATGCGATAGGCGTGACAAGCAAGGAGACAGCTTGCAACATACCAAGACAGTCTCCGGGTTCTTGCACGAAGCGCACAAGACGAATTTCTCAATGAAAATGTCCAAAAGCTTCTGCAGCTTCTCGGCGTCATGCGCACCGTTGACGACGTAGCGGTCGTTCTTGGCGTCGCAGTTGACCTGAGCACCAAGTTCGCAACCAAAGAACTTGGTGGTGTAGGTGCTGGGACGGCTGAGGGCCCTGGCAACTTCGGACATGTTGGGAATGACCGTCTTGATTCCATTGCCTTTGCCTTCGATCTTTGAAATCAGCCTACGGAAAGTGAAAAGTGAAATAGGATGATAATGAGTAATGTGCATAGCAAGGGTGGCAGAGATGGTTGGGTGGTTGGCGTCGGTTGACGTATACCCAGCTCGCTCCGCTAGCAAAAAGGAGGTTAGGCTGGGTAGGTGAGGGGAGTTTTACGCCTTTGGCGCAATGTTGTGATCGCTTCGCTCGCAAAGAACTGACGCTCGCTGAGGCTCGCTAAATGCCGTACTTAGGGGTATTGCGCCTTTGGGGCAAGGAACTCGCTCCGCTCGCGACAGGCGTTCGCTCTGGTCGACCTCGCCACGCTCGGGCTCCCAGAGCTAATCGAGACCTCCCGCTCCACCCTCACTCCTTACTTTGGCATTTTGTAGCGATAGAATTTGTCGCTGACATCACGACGAATGTTGATGTTTGCCGACATGTTGGTGGAAAGCTCAGATCGGTTCGGTGGGGAAGTTGGGTTCGTCGAAAGTTCGTGCGAGAGAGGAATCGTTCTCTAACCAGTTTGCGGGGCAGTACTCTCAAGAGTTACACCTAGGGGTGTAAGGACATATATTCCGTGGGACGGTATGGCTGGGAAAGGTATCCTCGCTAAAAAGGAGACAGAAGACCGAATGCTCGTTCCAAACCAAGCTCATGAAGCGGGTTGGGGGCAGGTGGAGGGCGAGCGAGAGTGTGTTGCCGGGAGTGCGACAAGACGGAGTTGGAGTTGTGTGTTTTCAGATATAGAGATCTGAGAACAGTGGCTTGAGAATTAGGGCGCCTGAGAGTGCGGAGGGGTTGCGTAAAGTGGGCGAGAGTGACGATTTTGACGTCAGTCGGAGCTGGTAAGGGAGGGGAGCAGCGGTGAGTATGCCTCTCTTCAAAGTTCTGTGTGAGAAAACGGAAGGCGTGGTATGTGGTTCTGTACCTGTTGCGAAGCCTGTGCGTGAATGCGTTTGCGTGGGGAATGGAAAGAGGCGGAAAGCCCTTTTATACCGCCGAGAGGGGAAGCCTTGATTTGCGAAGAAGAAGCTTTTCCGAAGGCGCGTCAACTTGCAACGAGCCTTGACAAATCACAGCAACGATCGCAAACAACATGCCTGCTCCAGTCCGTCGCACAGTAAAGACCCTCGCTGCCGCAGTCTCAACCTGCAGCGCTCCCGTAAGTCGCTTATTTCAAGCTTCCACTTTTTCTACTTCATGCATATCCATGCTCACGCCAAAACCACTCAATTTCGTTCAGGCCGCAGTCTACGGCCAATGCATCAACAAAATCTTCGGCGACGTCCAGAAGGACTCCTGCCGCGCTGAGTTTGTCGCTTTCAAGGAGTGTGTTACCAAAGCGGTGAGGCTGATGAGATGGAAGACAGTATAGGTGGCACTCCCGGCGGACTTCTACTGAAATTTTTGCTTCCCTACGTAGATGAAACGAGCCTGAAAAAGTTAGCTGTGGAGCAAACTACCAGCCGATTTGGAACGAATCTAAATGCTGGAGAGCGCTAGTATTGCATCTTGTTGCATCGACGTCGCAGTGTCGGCTCGACGATTACCGTACGGTCGTGCAGATAGCCGGGCTGGGTTAGGTCATTCGGCGAGAGGCCGCAAAACATCGCATTTACGAACCATCCACAGACATCGATGGGAGGAGCTTTCGTACAAGCTCACCTCAAACACAGGGAACGGCGAGCGGCCGGGGCGAACAGCCCATGTCATCTTGACCATAAACCTCCCGTATCCGCCCCCGCGAGCCCGAATCTGGATCTTGCGATAACTGGCATCAGTGTTCCGTGGGGAAGGTAGAGGGAGAGGCAGGGGAAGCCGCGACCGCCACCTCTGTCTGGTGTACCCCTAACGAACGCTGTCGCCCATCAAGATCCCCTCAAACTGATACGCAAGTCTCGGTCTACCAACTTCTCACTGCGCCGGCAGCGACCCTATACATAGATAGCATCTCCCACAAATCCTACATAGAATCATCACAATCCGGACCATCACAGATCTAAACAACATCGCTACACTACACCGACCCTGTATATAACCTACACCTTGCATCCTAAGTAGATGATAACGTGGAGAATCAAGATGCTCGTCGCTTCCCCTTCTTCTTCTTCTTCCCCGGTTCAGCCGCACCACCGGTCGTCTTCGCCACAGTCTTAACAGGCACCTGAAGCCCCGCCTCGAGCTCACTATGCTGCTGCTCGGCGCCGGCCTCGGCCCCTGCTTTATTGCGCCTTCCGCTTCCAACAGTAGCGTCGCTCACAGTCGTCTTCGCCGCACTGGGACTAGGCGCCGCCTCAAGCTCACTATGCTGCGGGCTATCCCTTCTTCCATCTCCGGCCTTGGTCTCATCGCTCCTTCCAGTTGCGCTACTTACGGATACGGGAGCAGGCACGACGACGGGGAGGTTTTCCACAGGTGAAGGCGATCGCGCCCTTTCTAGGGAAGATGCAGAGGATGTTGATATCCGCCGTTTCGAAGGTGATGGGGATCTCGTCGTTCCCTCTACGGCCGCATTTTTTGCCAAAGAGGACGGGGAGGATACCGATACGCGCTTCACGGGTGAAGGCGATCGCGCCGCCTCTCTTCCCACAGACGATGCGGAGGAAAATACGGGCTTCGATGGCGACGGCGACCGCGCGGCATCTCGTCCCAAAGAGGATGCACCGGAGGAGGATACGCGTTTCACGGGTGAAGGGGATCGCGCCGAAGACGCTGAATAGTCCGAGACTCGACCCTTCACAGGGGACGGCGACCTCGGTCCGCCCAGCGCCGCGTCTCGTCCCGGTAGGGGGCATGCTGAGGATGCAGGTACGCGTTTCACAGGTGAAGGCGACCGTGTCCTCTCCTCCTGCGGCCGCTCCTCCACCGACACGCGTTTCGTACGTGCCGGACTCCACGAAGAGATCTCTCCTTTATCTTCATCCCTCCCGGCTTCACCGACCACTTTGACGGGACTCGGCGACCTACTAATCCCGTTAACATGTCTAGCCGGCGCAGGGGACGCCACAGCCACGGGAATACTCGACGAAGTCCGCGGCGTGGGGGTTTTATCCGCGTCTCGGAGGGGTGGTGGTGTTGATCTTGCTGTGGTACTCGGATTCGCTCTGGGTAGTACGTCGTCGATGCGGGGGTGGGTTGCCAAGCCTTGGATGAAGGCATTGTTGTTGTGGCTGCTGTTGTTGACGCCGGTGTGATTCCCACCAACGCCCGCCGCATCCCTCACCCGTTTCCAGAACGCTTCCTCGTCCTGTTCATCCTCCTCACTCGCCTTTTCCTTCCCCTTGCCCTTCCCACCCTTCCCAATCTCCTCATGCCCATTCTCCGTCCCCTTCTTCCCCCCAACCCCCTCAAACCTCCTCCTAACCTCCCTATACCTCTCCAACTCCGCCGCCGGCACACTCGGCACCAATTCCCGCAGTGCATCCACAAAATCTTGCTCGCCAACAACCACATCCGTCTCGCCCTCCTTCACACAATTCTCCAAATAATACATCGGCGTAATCGGGTGTGGGTGCGGCGGGGTCGGCCCCTTCTCATTCAACTCCCGTATCCGCTCATCGACACGCGCGATGGTCCGCAGGATCGCTTTGAGTTGCGCATCGGAACATAGGGCGTAGAAGTCTGCACCGGTGTAGTGGAACGGACACCGTGCGGCCACATTGCGCAGGTCCAGATCCGGGTCGAGGGTGAATTTGCGCGTGAGGGCCGTGAGGATGTTCAGCTGGTCCTCGTGAGTCTCGCTCACGCCCAGATACAGCAGTTTGTCGAACCGGCCTGGACGGAGCAGCGCCGGGTCGAGTAAATCCGGCCGGTTGGTCGCGCCAATCACAAAGACGTCCCCTCCACTGCTCCCCATGCCGTCGATCTCGGCGAGTAACTGGGAGACAATCCGGTCCATCACCCCGCCCGAATCGCCCTTCTCGCCCCTCTTCGGCGCCACGCTGTCCAACTCGTCAAAGAAAACGACACAGGGCCGAGCATCCCGCGCCTTCTGGAACACGCGGCGGACGTTCGCTTCCGACTCTCCAATGTACATATTCAACAGCTCCGGCCCTTTCACACTCAAAAAGTTCAACGAGAAGTTGGTCGCGACGGCTTTAGCGACTAGCGTCTTTCCCGTGCCCGGTGGGCCGTAGAGGAGGATCCCCGAGCGTTTCTTCATGCCTGAAGCGAAAAGCTCCGGGTGTTCAAGGGGAAGCTGGATGGTGTCATAGATGTTGTCTTTGACGTGCGCGAGGCCGCCGACGTCGGACCAGGTTACGGTAGGGATTTTGGGCGCGCCGATTGAGTCGGCGTGGAGGGAGCGGACGGTGTCGAGGGAGGTGGTGAGGTCCGGGAGCGTGAGGGGGATGCCCGCGTGGACTAGGTCGTGTTCGGTTAGGGTTGGCGACTCCTCCCTGGTGACCAAATCTCCAGTCAGTTATGCGGTTCCTGGTCATCAGCACACTTGTGAGAAGAGGACTTACAAACAACGCGCAGCCCTCAATCGCGCGCTAAACGCCGCCCTCGCAACCACATCCTCCAAATCCCTCGCAACCAGCGCCGCAGTCTGCATCGCAAGCGCCGACAAATCCACATCGGGGGTCAGATTCAACCGCTCGGTCAAGCAGGACAGAATATGCAGTCGCATCGCTTCCGACGGACTCTACCAAAAGAAAAAGAAAAGAAAGTCATCACATAAGCCCTCACGTCCCCGTCCTCACCTTGACACCCCCCCCCCCCCCCCACACCACCACATACCTCCCACCCAACCAAATGCTGAAACACACTCTGCATCCCACTCGGAACCCCCTCCATCTCCGCCGTCGTCCCCACAACAATCACCGCCTGCCCACTCTCCTTAAACGCGCGTGCAGCCTCCTTCACCAACCCTTCCAGCACAGCCGTGATCGCCGGCTCCTCGTTGCTTTCACTCCTAGATTTGGCGAGTGCGTCGATGTGCCGGATGAGGAGGATACACGGCGCAGACGCGACGGCTTTGTCGAAGTGGGCGGAGAGGTGAGCGGTGGTTTTGGCCTCGGTTTCGGTCATTATATCAAACGCGTTGATCTAAGGAGGGAATCATCACACAAAAGAAAATAATCAACAAGTCTGCTACGCGCTTTCATCGGGAAGAACACGCAGACGCACACATACCTCAATCACATCAACACCCACACCCTCCCCCACTGCCCTCACCATCGCGCGTTTCCCGCCCCCTCGAGGGCCATGCACCAAGATATTGCAGCTCAGGCCCAGGGAATGCGACACGGGGTGGAGGCAGGCAGAGACCAGGGCCTGCATGTTCTTGAAGGTTTCTGTGGCGGTGGGTGGGGGTGGGCGGGGGATGGGTGGTCGGCCTGCATGCGGGGTCAATATGAGCGGGATACGGGAGATACAAATGGCGGCATAAACAACATACCGTCGTTGATGTAACTTTTTTGACCGATGGGGAGCCGGGAATGGAGGATGCCTGATTGGACGATGCGGGTTGTGAGGGGGTCGATGCGGGCCGTTGCGGGGTCTGCGGTAGCGGCTGCGTCTGTGTCGGCGCCGATTCTGATAGTGGATATTTGGAAATAGGCCGGTTCCTTCACGGCCGTGTCGGCGGCCCCCGTCGACCTGGAGAGGGGGATATGCGAGGGTGAGATATCTCGAAACGTTGGGCAGGGCGAGATCCGAAATTGGGAGTTGGCTTACCAAATGGAATTGGGACCTTCTTCGCCGTCTTCATCAATGTCAACGATATACGCCTGCATTCGCGCTCGTTCCTCTACCAACCCATAATCCATCGTTAATACACATAATCGCGCGTCCACAACCCCTCAGGACAACAAAATGGACCCACCATCAACAGCAACCCCCACTAAATCGCCCTCACACACCACCCTCTCGCAAGCCTCCAGCCACCGCTTCAGCGCAGCCAGACAGACCGGGAACAGCTTCTTGTCGTTAATAAGGCGGCCGGCCACGCGCGCGATGGTAACTTCTGTCGCTACCGATGGTGGTGGTGGTGAGGAGGCGGGGGCGCGGAGGGTGAGAGTGGATCCGGAGCCGGCGCGCAGGTTATGGAGGGTTAGGGGTGAGGTGTAGACTTTGATTTTGGACGGGCTGGGGTTGAGGGCGGGGCGTGAGTGGGGGTGGGCAGATATGATGAGTGTGTCTATGTGAGATGGCTGCTTACCTACGCGACGCGGACGTCTCCTCGAAACCGTATATTGGAGCCCAACGGGCGGGTCGTCCTTCGCTGGAGACAGAAACCTATCGCGCAAAGATGACGAAACAGCTCAGCACAAACGTGCCTCGAACCTCATTGTGCCGAACCCCCGGACATACCGAACTCCCGCTCAGCACCCCCATCGTCATCAAATTGTCAAACGAGGTCCAAAGCGCCGCGTCCAGATCCACATCCCCGCTGGGCGTCGGGGTCGTGATATGCGGCGGAACGGGTGCCCTGAGCACCGCCATCGTGATTTCATACCCACGGTCCGCGCCGCCCGCCCACTGCCATACACTGTGCGCCAGGTCCCGGTCCGCGAGGGGTGAGGGCGCGTTGTCCAATACGTGGGCCGGAGGAGGGACCGTTGGTTTTGGTTCGAGAAAGACTACCCGCGTATCTTTCGAGACGGTGCCTTGCATGACGGGCAGGCAGAGTATGACGTGGAAAGAGAGCTGTTTGCCGTGTAAGGTGACATTTAGAGTGCTGGATTGGCGGAGAACGGTGAATTTGGTTTGCATGTGTATTTGGAGTGAGCCGCCGCCTAAGGGAGGGATGGAGGAGGTGCAAAGTATGTTTATGAGCGACGCGAATCGATCATAGAACTTCGACCATCATCAACCCATCCAACCTTCATCGTTAAAATCCCATCATCAAGCACGATGATGCGTGTGTAAGAAGAACAACCGTTCGCTGTCGCTCACAGGAATTGCGCCGACGGCGTCGCTCGCTTCGCTCGCGTAGGCGTTCGCCTCATGGCTCGCCTGCCTCAATCAACCCTGCGCCTCGCTTCGCTCGCGTCCGCACTGCTTTTGTCTGCCGCAGACAACCACCATCGCTCGGTTCGCTCACCCCCTGACCACCTCCGCTGTCCATCGCCGTCACTCCCTCGCACAACGCTCCCTGTCGCACGCACAACTCACCTTCCCCAACCCCCTCATAATCCCCCCTCTCCACCGCCTCCAAATAAACCTCACTTAACTCCACAAACCCACAAGGCTTAACTTCACACAGCATCTCTCCCCCGTCCTCCCACTCCCTTCCCCGGGCCGTATTCCTCTCCAAGAACCCTCGTGGTATCAATACGTCGGCGCCATTAGATTGAGCGGTTTCAGTGAGTTGTGCCGCGTGGACGATGAGCGCTCGCTCCGGGGGTGTCGCGGTCGTGGAGGATACGTAAGGAGCGAAGGTATGGATTTTGAAGGCTACCAAAATTCGCTGAGCTGCACAGGACAATAAACGTTAATAGTCTTCTCCAAAGTGTGATACAATAAGGACCATAGCCAAGAACCCAATGCACCTTCTCCCTTTGGCGCGGGCACTCTCTTTGCGCCGGTTTGGATGAGAGAGGTCCAAGTTGCGGGCGTGAGGTGGATGATGTCTTCGTTGGGGGTGGTGGTGACGACGGTTGCCCTGAGTATTGAGGACGAGGGAGCCAGCGGGGAGGAGCCGCCTGGTGTTGCGGCTGAGGAGCCAGCAGCGGGAGGCGTCATTGTTGCAGGGGCTAGTGGGTTGTTGTTGTTGTTGAGGGGGGGGTGGGTGGGCTTGCTTTCTGCCCTGTGCCGAAACTGTGCCCGAAAGCCGTCCCTTCTGCGAGTCGAGCGACGCGTTGGGGCCTCTTCCTCTCTTTCCCTCAGCGCTTTTTTCTCGCAAACAAAACCCCCATTCTCAAACATACTTTACTGACGCCTCCCATCTGCCAGATCGATACGGGAGCACTACAGAGCGGCCTGCTGCAGGTTTTATCGTATTCATCCATCTCTCCCCATCCCACCAAAAACACACCGCATGCGTCTCCCATCTCAAAGACCAGCACGACGATGATCGCAATGTCAACACACCACCTACACCCAACGTTCAACTCCCGCCTCCGTTCCTCCCACCCTCCCCCTCACCACCACCACCCGCAAGCAGACTCAACCTACTCGCAAACCGCTGGGACGCGCAAACTCGCAAGACAGCCTGTTATGCCTATTCCTGAGGTGCGTTTAGTGTAAGGTGTGACGAAACTGGACAAGGTACATATGAAAGTGTTCTTTTTTGTTGTAGTATCCGACAGGCAAGAATAGGTTTGCCAACGACCCGTTGTATCCCGTCTGGTGGGGACATCGAGAACACGTCCCTGGCAAGTCAAAGCCCGCAACACACGCTTTACATTATTGGTCATGTATGAATTCTGCTAGTCCCTGCATCAAAAATGCGATGTGCTAAAAATCCGTTGTTGTGTTGTGTCATTTGCTGTGCAGGTCCAAAAAGAATGATAGACGAAACAACGCAAACGCTTTCCAATGCATGTATCCGGCCCCCAGCACCACCAGCACCGCGGCGTCACTCGTCCTCTCCGGAACATGGGAGGGAGTCGACACCGCGTGGGTTTTATACTATCCCGTTCCGCGATGGTGGGGGCGAGGAGGTGGATAGGAGTAGGGATGGAGAGGGGCGACGGGAGGCGTGGACGGATATGGCGCGGGAGGAGAGCGGCAATGGTGGGGAAGGGAATCATGCAGATGGAAAATCCCCGCAAGCGGCTTCTACGCAGACGGGGGTTGAGGACCCGGCATCGGCCGCATACAGCCAGAAGGACGTCGGAGAATCGTCATCGGGAAAAGGGTCGAATCAGGAATCGGAAAAGACGTCCAATCATTCGCGGGACGCATCATCACACCGAAGCCGCCACGCCCCATCCAACAACTCAGATCGCCCCACATCCAATGCCAGTTCTCATAAACAGTCGAACCCGCCGTCACCGCCACGGTCGACATACCGCCCAATAACGAAAGAAAGCAGCACGTCCCCACTCCGCTCCGTACCCCTCGAAGTCGCCACATCGTCCGCCGTCCGGGATACAGATACATCTACACCATCCCGCCGCGACACTTCACATAGGGCTCCGACGACAGCTGCTGCACCTGTACAACCGCAACCGCAACCGCAACCGCAAAGAAAGGCGCCCGGAGCCTTCTGGGTGGACATCAAAAACTTGAAACGGTCCGTGGATATCAGCACGTCGGGTGGGGACGTGCAATCGGGGAAAAGGGGTCTGGGTATGAGCGGTGGGGCGAGCAGGTCGGCGCATGCTTCGAACAACAGCGCGAGGATGTCTCATCTCCCCGGTACGTATATCCCGTCTCCGTGCCGTATATCACATACCGGTGGCCCCATATCTCACACACCTCCTGTCCTTTTTCCGCACATCACAGTGCCCACGCCACATCTCACCACATCCCACACATCCACGACCCCCTCCTCACATCCCGCCGACAACCGCCCCCGGATCTCCACCATTCTCGACACCTTCCTATCCAGCGACGTCGTCCGGATGTTTGATCTGACCCTGCTGCCGGAGCACTTGAGAGCCGTTGTTGGGTTGGACGTGGAGTAAAATCCACCCGCATTCGTTTCGGGATCTGTCGGGATGTGTGATGTGACCCGGGGATGTGTGACCCGGGGATGTGTCCACACGACACCTCCCCCTCTCTCTTTCCCCCCGATGTGTTTTCGTAGCCCCATATTTTTGTTTCTAAACAAAACAGATTCGCTACTCTAAATACAGAAAACGAGCGTCCCCCTTCCGGCACACCGTCCAAGTCCCGCCCCCATCTACCATCCCGCGTCTATGCATTCTATGTCCATCCCCCTTCTACTTAAACGACGCCTCATCAGGCACCGCCGCCCCCGGATGCTTCGATTCCATGTGCTGGACTAATATCTTGTAGCCCGCCATGGGACCCTGTCCAAAAAACACATCAACACCCCAATAAGTGGGGAAAATGACGAGATGGGTGGATTTTTGTTCCCCGTACCTTACAACTAGGACACACAATCGGCAACCCCGCCGCCCGGGCTTTGAGCTGCGAGACGCCGCCGGCTTTTGAGGCGGCGAGTTTTTGATTCTTTTCCCTGTTTTTTGTCAAATGTGAGGTTTTTTGGGTGGTTGACATTTGCTTGCTGGGAAAGGGAGAGACTCCGATTTTTTTTTTTGAGGGGAGGTTTTTACCTGGCTTGCTGCTTTGCTGCTCCTCGGACCATGGTTGATGTTGTTGCGGTCTGCGGGCGAATTCGAGTTCAAGGCTCGGAAGGCCGCCAGCGCCTCTGGGGAATTCTGGGGAAGGGGAATGGTGGACGTTTCGCTTTGTCCTGACGCGCCTGCGCTTTCCGTTCCAACAGATTCCACACCCTCACTCCAGGTACAGGATACACAACACATGCGCAAAATAGTCTCATTGAGCCCCAAATATAGACGGAAAAGGGAAGGAGGCACAGGCAAGCAGGCAGAACGATTAAGAAAAATAGAAGGTACAAAACACCCCACCCACATCTAAGCGTTCCGTAACCCCGTGCCCGGCGCGCCAACCTGCGAAATCTCACACACAGAGCACAACCCGCCCGCAAACTCCGGCTTGTACGACGCCCGGCAGTACGGGCACGTCGTCGTCGGGCTGCCGCGGTAGATGGGCGTGTACGACGCGCCGCAGACTACGAAGGGGTTGAATTTGTCGTACTCGATCGTTACGGCGTCGGTGGGTGTTTGTTGGGCTCGGTCTTGGAGGGCGCGGGCCTGGGTATTGAGAGATCGTTTAGTCGGTATGCACGCGCGGTAATGTGAGCGCCCAAATGAGACATACCTTCTGGGCGACACCAGGCGAAGGGTTCATCTCCAGCAACTTCTGCGCAAAATGAGCAGCCGTAACAAAGTTCTGCAACCTGAACGCCAACCCCATCGCAGCCTGCAGACTGAGCTGCACGTGTGGCGGCTGCAGCTGACAGTGTGTGAAATATGCGGCAAGTTCCAGCATCCGTGGGGACTGCGTCTCGGGGCTCAGACCCCGCCTGTTGAGTTCCATTTGCAGGCCGAGGATGTATTCGCGGCAGGAGTCGACTAGTTGTCCGATCTGTAGAACCGAAACGAAAGGATTGAGTTACAAATCCACCTATCACAGACCTGCATATTCGAAACTGACCTCGGCAACTTCATCCTCACGGTCGACGACGGTAAGGATAATTTGCTGCAAGATCACCTTGAAGGTAGCGAGCGCTTCCGAGAATCTAAGAAAATCACTCCAAAGTCAGCCGATGCTCTCATCACACAAAATAATCATGCACGAGAATATTCCTACCGTCCGCCCGTAGTCGCAGCATAAGCCTCCTGCAGCTTACTCAACAAAGACGACAACGTCAAAGCCCGATGCGGCAACGGCCGTTCCGACGCGCGCTGCAGCGGAAGCGCAACGGGCGCCAACGGCGCATTCATCGGCATATACACCCTGGATCCTTGCCACGCCGCGAGGAAAAGCGGCTGCAAACGCGTGAAGTTCGTCGCGCCAATCTGTCTATTCAGCAGCTGCATCGCGCTCTCGAACGCTCCGGCTGCGGCATGGTCGGCCGCCAGACCGGAGTTGCGCGCCCACGTGTCGTTGAAGTTTGTTCCGGGCGGCGGGATCCGGGGACCGGCGGTGGATGACTCGGTCGGGGACGCCGCTGCGGGTTGGATGACGTCCGGGATACCGAGGTCTTCGTCCAGACCCCATGCGTCTCCCGCGGCACCGTCGAAGTCCACGGCGGCGTTGACGGAGTCGAGGCGCTGTGCTTCTTGCGGGGTTTCGTGCACTTCTGCCTCTTCATCCGCCCAGCCGCCGGTTTCGCGCATGACTTGGTTTTCCATTGTTGTGGGTGCGGCTTGGCCCTCTCCGAGTAGGCCTTGCTCGAAGAAGCCTTTGGAGACCGCGAGTTGGGGCCAGTTGCCTTGGCGGAGGAGTGGCGTTGGGACTTTGAGGAGTTGCCCGCCTCTTGGGATATCCGGCTCGGACTCCAAGCCGGCGGCGGCCAGGATGGAAGCAGCCTCATCCGTAAGTCCGTGGGTTTTCGCGGCGAGGTAGGCAAGAGGTACTGGAGGATATTGTATCAGATATCCGCTTTCAACCGACAGAATCAACCATCAACAACCACTCACATTGTCCGACATCCTTCAACAACCGAATCTGCTCCTCGATATCCCCAAGATAGAGCGCATTATGGTACCGCGACATAGTGTCATTTCGCTTCTCAGCAATCTTCAGCATCCTCCGGAGCTTATCCGTGTTTCCCGTGCTGAGGTACAAGAACGACAATCGCTCGTAGTTCGCCACCTTCTGATACGCCATTTCCAGAACCTAGGGATCAGTGGAAGGTCAGCCACAAGTAAGGACGCATGCCGGTACAATCGGTGATTATGAACGCACCTGGTGATTTCCTTGCTTCAAAGCCTCCTGTGCCAGCTTCTGCCAGCATTCTTCCCTATTGATGGCCTGCGCGGTCTCGACAGCCACAGCAAGGTTACCACACTCGATAGCCAATTCGAACCGGGTTTTGGCGTCTTTCACAAAGTGCAGTGCGACCTATCTCCCCATTAGCACCATGCCATGTACTCGAGACACCCCACAAAAGATAAGGACACAAACCTCCGGATACCCCTTCTTCTGTAAATACGCAATAATCGACTGTCCGACCAAATTCGAGGTACGGATCAAATGTAGAACTTCATTGTAGTTCTTGCGGACGAGAGCAAGCTTGAAACGGTATTCGGTTGGGTCGATGGCGATGGCGCGGACCTTGCCGTCGCGGTCTAGGCAGTGGACGTTCTTGCCCTTGATTCTGGTGAGGTAGACGGGTTGCTCCACTGTTCGGATGATGCCGTTGTCACTAAAGAGATGCATCGCTTAGCATTTCGTTTGCGATGAATAATCGGAAAAGTGTTTCTTACCCCTGTGGAAGCGCGTATTTGATGTGGTTGAGCGTCGAATACAAGAACACGCCAACATCATCCCATGTTCCACTCTTGATCTTGATCGTCTCGTGTATGAGACACAGTTGCTCCAATTCCTTGGTGGCAATGACGATTGCTGAACGTGGCAAATTAGCAACGTCTCGCTGTCGTGCGCGAAAGAACCACAAGCGACACTTACTGTGCTTGCTAATGAAAGCAACGACCGACATGTCCGGTGCCCACACCACATAGCGTACGCCAGTCACGTTAAGCTCTCCGAGACTCGTTCGGAGTTCGGTGTCGAACAGAATCACAGATGTACTGGTAATGAGGAGAATGTTTTTGGAGCCAGCGTACTGAATATCCTGGACGGTAGACGGTGGCTTGAACTGCTTCACCATCTCGTTGCGCAGGTCTTTGATGTAGATTTGCTTGAGGAGCACACAAGTGTCAGTAGCGGTGTAAGATCGCTAGCCAAGCTTTAACGCGACAAGTACCTGGTTCGTTTTGTCAAGAACCGCAAACCGATTTCGCGCCACAAACACAGCAGACGAGGCCGTCCCGCGCTTCGCCTCAACGCTCTCCCCAGTTCCCTGCCCACGTGGGAGGCTGTAAAGCTCGTAGATACCCCCGTCCTGCGAGGAAGTAATCAGAGCACAATGCTCTGCTGGGTTGTATGATAGGGCGCGAGGTGGAGGCACTTGTCCCGTCGCACCGCGACGGATGGTAATGAGGGGCACGTCGTTACCGGTCTGGAAGTCGTGCGATCGGAGGAATTTGTCCTTCACGTAGTAGAGCATGTTTTGGTGGGTTGCGTGAGCTGGACGCTCGCGCTCCAGTTTGAAAACGATGAGACCGGTGTCATGCCCTGCGTGCAACTGCGTTAGACCTGCATTCCCTGGCCCCCCGGTTTATTCCAAAACTTGCCTGCGGCGAACAAATTGAGCTCAGGATGCGCGGCCATGATCCAGAACCTGTCGTGCTCCCTGCGGAAGGTCTGTAGCGCAGTGCGCTTATTCAGATCCCAGATTCGAATGGTTTTGTCCTCCGAGTTACTGAGAATCAAATCTTGGCGTGGGTGGAACAGAACGGACGAGACATTGTTGTAATGCCCACGACATGTGTCGACCTCCCAGGCGCGAGTTTCTATGCAGAGGAATGTCAGTCCCTGTGCGGCCAATCCGCCAATGCCGGTCAAAATCGCTACCATTCATTCTCCACAGCTTGATCGTGCGGTCATCAGAACTCGACACAATCAGGGGTAGATTTGGGTGGAAAGTCGCCCAGTTTACTCCTCTGTCATGACCCTCCAATACGTATTTCACCATAGCATCGGTGTTCCCAAAGAGCTCCCCTTGCCCTCCAGGCCCTCCCATCCGCATATCGTAATCGACAGGGCCGGTTCCTGGTGCTGCCGCATGTTTTTTCCGCAAACCTAGAAACGCAAAGAGATCAGAGCCTTGTTCCGCGGTGTATGCCCGTCCCCCTCTGTAGTCCTGCCTACCAGAGATGTCCCAAACTCGGATGGTCTGATCCAGGGATGCAGAGACGACCAGGTCGTCCTTCGGGTGGAATTGTGCAGACATAACGTAGTGATTGTGACCGGTCAAGATGGAGATACAGTTGCGAGATTGCCAGTTCCAAATCCGAATCGTCTGATCGTCGGAAGCACTGAGAATCCAAGGGCTCTCGTGGTGGAAGGACAAAGTCCTGATATAGTCGATGTGCCCGTTCAACGTGAAGAGGCATCTCCGCGTTTTCCAGTTCCAAACTTTGATTTTGTAGTCGTCACCACCGGAGACAAACAGTGGCTGGGTAGGATGAAACGCTACAGCGCGTACTGGGCCTGAAAGCAAGACAGGTCAGCGCCGATGCTTCTGGAGGATGCGGCCTCTCTTCGACCGCTTGACGCGTGGCGTACCTTCGTGCTCATCGAACCGCTCAATGAGCGTTCCCATTTTATAGTCCCATAATTGAACAGAGCCATTGTGAAGCGACGCCAAAATCCAGGGGCGCTTGGGGTGAAAAGCCAGACCTTTCACCCGATTCGACTGGCGATCGTGGCGGGGATTAGGCGACGTGCATTAGGAACCTGCGCAGAGGATTCGGCGAGCAAACTCACCTTTGTCTCGAACTTCGACAACATGGTTTCTAAGATGGCAATGGAGCCCAGGCTCGGCGGGTGAGTGTGCCAGGTAGATGCCTGTTGCCTGTAAGTCTATATGCGTGGGAGTTCTGTAACGTGGCGGCGATCAGCGGGAGCAGGGCAATGCGGCGAGCATGGGAGCCTTCCGCAGGCGCAAATGTGTGCCGCCCGTCCATTTAATTTGGTGCAAGTCACGTGGAGGATTCACATAAAAGCGGATGTTTGTTGTTGCTCCCACCTAGGGCGACGACCGCGTCTTGTGTGTTGAGAAGTACGCGAGCTTGCGGTGGACTGGCTGGAACTGCCTTGCTTGCACGATCGCTGAAATTCACGGAACTATTGGCGTACAGGGCGCTGCCCAGTCGACTTTTCTATTGCTTCACGTTCCCGCAAACAAAAACACATTCGCTACGGAACCTGCAACATCTATACGAGTCTACGTACAGTCACAACCGCGGCCCCGTCCCCGCCCATCACTTTGCTACCCCAGTCTCTAACCCATGCTTTTTCGCAATCCGGTCAATCACAAACGCATAGTCAGCAGCCACCTCCTTCAAGTACGCGTACCGCCCGGAATGTCCGAAATGGCCGGATCCCATCTTGCAGTCGAACACGATCACGCCGTCGGGCTTGATCACGTCTGAGTCGCGGAGCTTGGCGACCCATTTGGCGGGCTCCCAGTAGGCGACGCGCGGGTCGTTGAGGCCGGCTTTGACGAGGATGTCGGGGAGCTGGTCGGTTGGGGACGGAGAACGGGGAGGCGGGAGGATTAGTGATCTGCACTGAGGGTCTGCAAACTTGCGAAAGAGAGATGCGTACCTTAGCACCCTTCTTGACATTGTCGTAAGGGGAGTAAGACAACATGTAGTCAAAGTAGTCCTTCTCATTCGGGTTTCCCCACTCCTCGTACTCATTGATAGTCAGAGGTATCTTCTCGTCCATCATGGTGTTGATAACATCGACGAATGGCACTCCGGCAATAGCAACCGCCGCCAGATCCGGCTTGAGGTTGACAGTGGCACCGATGAGCAGACCACCTGCACTGCGTCCCTCAATAGCCAACCGGTCGTTCGACGTGAACTTTTGCTTGACGAGCTCCTCACCAGCGGCGATAAAATCCGTGAAGGTGTTGCGCTTGTTCTTGAACTTGCCCGTCTCGTACCACGCCCGCCCGTTCTCGCCACCGCCGCGAATGTGCGCAATGGCGTACACATAGCCGCGGTCAACGTAACTGAAAATCTGGGACTTAAAGACCGGGTCGATCGTGATGCCGTAGGAACCGTAGCCGTACAACATAGCGGGGTTGGTTCCGTCGCCCTTGAACTTCGTTTTGTCGTACACGATCGAAATGGGGATCTTGTCGTCGACGGGCGTGTCGAAGGGTGCGGTGGCTTTGGTGGATTCTGGGATGGGTGCGTAGACGCGCTTGAGGACGTATTTGGAGGCGTCGTAATTTGGGACGGGTGTCTGCTTGAGGAGCTTCTTCGATTTGCTGACAAAATCGTACTCGAAAATTTGGGTAGGCGTGAGCAGGGAGGAGTAGTTGAAACGGAGGACGGTGGAGTTGTAGGTCTGTTTGGATGTGCCGGCGTCGCTGGCATGGAAGATCTCCTCCGTGAAGGGGACTACCCAGTTATCACCCTTACCGTCCACTTGACCGTCAGATCCTGCTCCGAGCACCCGGATGCGCTGCAGAGAAGCCGATCGCTCGTAGAGCACAAGGTGGTTCTTGAATGGCACCAGGTCCACAATCTGCTTCAATGGTTCGTAAGGGAGGATGTCCACCCAGTTTGTGGCATCGGTCTTGTCAACCGGGCACGAGCAGAGCTTGCCGTTCAGGTACTTGCCACCGCCGTCGGTCCGGATGAAGAAACGGTTGCCCTGGTGCTCAATGTCGTACTTGACACGGAACTCACGCGCATGGAACAAGCGCAATTTGGCGTCAAACTTGTTTGCGTCGAGAACATGGTACTCCCGAGTCAACGAACTGGACGTGCCGATGAAGATGTATTCACCAGAGTTGGATTTCTCCAGACCCACTCCGAACTTGAGGTCGTTTTCCTTGTATATGAGCTCATCCTTTGCGGAATCAGTTCCCAGGACGTGCCTGTAAATCCGGTCCGTTCGGTGAATGTCATCCAGCATAGTGTAGTATAATGCCTTAACATCGTTACTCCATTCGGCCTCAGCGGACGCTCCCTTGACGGTGTCTGCCAAATCTTTCCCCGTTTTCAGGTCCTTGAACACGATTGTGTAGATTTCATCTCCCTTGATGTCGATAGAGTACGCCAGAATGGAATGGTCTGGGCTGACCTTGTAGAATCCAAGGTCCTGATATTCGTGCGTGAACTCATTCTGGTTCAGCAGAACCTCCTCAGTGCCCTCCATCGTGTCCTTTCGGCGAGCGTAGATCGGGTATTGCTTGCCCTTCTCCGTCCTCTTGTAGTAAAAGTACGGAGCGCGGAACACCGGCACATCGACATCATCTTCTTCCAGGCGGCCGATGAACTCTTCGTAGATGGTATCCACCAATTTCTCGTTGGGGGTGAGGTGGAGCGCTTTGGCGTAGTCGTTCTCAGCGTTGAGAGCCTCAATGATCTCCGGACGCTTCTCCTTGTTCATATCCTTCAGCCAATGGTACGGGTCCTCCGTCTCGATACCGTGGTACTTGTGCTACAACAGGAGGGCAGTTAGCTGTGTCCGCAACCAAAATTCAGAACACCCATACAAGCACCGAGACTAACCGTGTAAGGCTGCTTCTTGGCGATTGGAGGCACGGCGGGCTCGGCCGCGACGCTCATGAGGTTAGCAACGACGCTGGACATTTGAATGGTTCCTCTTCGCAATTGTGGGAAGGCGATGGAAGGAACAAGAGATCGCGATGGGTTGTGAGACTGAAACGAGAAACGGTTGACGTTTGCGCCCTTAAGTAGTCGTTCAAAGTTCGGCAAGAGGGCCCTGTGCATCACCCACGGGACTTTCAACGGCGGACCACGACGATCTGTGGAGCAGCGAATGTACTTGAAACGGGACCACAGGGACCACCTTCCGCGGCAGCATGGGAGGTCCACGAAAACCGTGGCGGCCAACATGGTAATAAGGTTGATATATGGTTGACACATTATCAGTTTTGTGCAGCCCTCATGGCTCAGTTGGATAGAGCGTCTGCCTAGTAAGCAGAAGGTCCCGAGTTCGAATCTCGGTGAGGGCATTTTTTCCTTGGCGTCGCACTTGTTTTTGCACGCCGGCAATTCTTTATAGGAATAGATGCAAGTGGAAGAAAGGAAAGTGATTTGCTATACGTATCGCCTCAAAAGTATCGAATAAATCTCCTAGAAAGCTAATCGTACCCAATTCTCACACAGCTCGCATCCCTGCACGACGTGAGACAAAGATAACTGTACGTATATAAAGCACTCCCGACATTTTCCTTGTATCCCTTACACGTGTGGTCTTCAATTGGACTATGATTGAACTCTTGCATCCGCCACAAAATTGGCATGTGCGAACGATCAGGGAGTGTTGGAAGATTGGTCACATACAGCGCACCGAGGTGCCGCCTTCTGACCCCTGTAAACGAGACCTTGACCTCCCGATCATACAACTCTGCATAGTGCAGGTATGCGGCCTCCAAGACCCGAGTTTGCATCGGCGCGGAGAGGCGCTTGAAGCAGTGATCTTCAAAAACCCTTTTATAGGGTACGTTGGTGATTGGGAAGCGATCAAATGCGATCGAGAGTCGATGTGTTTCCGCAAGGTAGAGCGTGTGTATGGGATATGTGCGCGAAGCCCTTCTTAAGGAAGGCATGGCACTTTTCTCGGAGAGGCCGCATCCGCGGGTCACCCTCGATGGCTTGCTTCAGAATGTTTTCCACATTGTTCCAGGTTATGGGGTATTTGGCCAGTTCTGAGGCAGCTCTGGCCTGCATCATTTCGGCGGCGAAGAAGGTACTCATCTCCAGTAACACCAAGAGCACGTCCTCGCTAGTCCAAGTCGATTCCAGATTGAAGGTATCATATAGGGCAGAGAGGAAACACCCGACCTTGTGCACTGGGTGCCCCTTCAACTCAATGCGCTTCGTTGCCGCTACCGTATCACGACTTTCGACCCAGGGGTCAGCGAACATCGTCTCGAAGTATTTGCAATTCAGCTTGAGCCAGTGTTTGTGGACTTTGAAGATGGTTTCTTCAACCTGAATCTCGACGTCGGTGTCAGGTAAGTCGCTCCTGAGAGTGGGCAACTTCGAAGTCGCGGCGGCAGAACTCTTCTCTTCAACCGGCATGATTTACGATGGGCCCCGAGATTTGGAGGCGGTCTTTCACGGTGGTAAGCTTCGTTTCGAGATGGGCGATGTTTTGTAAGATGGTGAAGGGGTGACCGGTAGTGAGACATGATGAACAACGCCAGATAAACCAGACGGATCTCTGCGGTGTGATATCGAGACACCGTCTCCACAAATTTTTGCCCATATTCTCCACCGGTCCACCCAATCCGCATTGGGGTCCTCAGCTCCACCCGTTCCCCCGACTTGTGCCCGCCCCAAACTTTCGAACTTTTGGAAATCCTACAACAGTGCGACCTAGTAACTAGACGGGACCATGGGTATGGCGCAACGCACCGAGAGTGCAAAGCGCTGTTGACTCCTGGTATCTTCTAGAAGAGGGGAGCAAAAACCGGGAATGACAGGATGGGGAACGCGCTGTCGAATGTCGAAGGGTTTGACGGGAACATCGGTTCCTAGCTCCGTCGCCTCAGACTAAGCCGGAACATCACACTCAGATACAGACTACACACTCACAGCGTTCCAATCAAGGTCAACTAGGAACAACCGGTTCAGCATTGTTTTCTTCCGGTCCAGATTTTTTTTGTCAAAGCAGCGCTTTTCGATGACTTCAATTGTTTCATTCCTGTCTAATGCCTCTTTCCTCCCTGCGTGCCACTACTGAACTATGCTGCTTGTGCTCCATACAAATCGCCTCGATTTGCGCAATGCCAAACGTCTTCCAATAGGCCTACATACCGTAACATTTGCATCTTTGTTTTGTTATTCCAGTTTCGGACATTGTTCCGATTTGCGCGCAGTGAGAACATGTCGTCGATTTAGGATCATCGTTCGCCAGAAATTTGAGCGGGGGTGCCGTCGACAGCCGGTGCGTTTGAGAAAGATACAGCGTGCAGATTGGGTCGTCAACGTAGCATTCCAGGAATGATATGCATTTTTGAAGACACGACCGAGAGATTCTGCTCTGTTGCCTTTGTGATACACGCCTCCACATTCTCCCAGTAAATCCCGGGAAGCGTCTCCACAGCTTTGGCATCCACTATATCCGCAGCGAAGAAGTCACTCATTTCGACGGAAATGACCAAAACCCACAATAGGCCCCAGAGATTGCTTCCGGCACAAAAGTCGTAGAAGACAGCAAAAAAGATTCCTGCTTTCGCCGCGGAAAGATCTTTCAACGTGATGCGCGGCAGTCTTCCCTGCGAGTAGGGCGGCACGACCGGTGCTTTCGGTAGAGTAGGCTTTACCTCCCACTGGTACACTCGGTCCTTCGCTACATTCGCTGTCCGTTCCTGATTCTCTCGACCATATTATAGAGATTTCTTTCATTATTCTGTTCCCTCTTGGCACCAAAAGCGGACATCTCGCGAAGGGCGGGATCCGCGGGTCATCGTACGATGGCGGTTACAGCGAACACCGGGGGTCATTTTCCTGAGTTGACTTTGTTCCGTGTGGAGGCAAAGACTTCAGATTGTGGTTGATCGGCCCAATTTTGCTTCGAAATATTTGCAGTGCAATGTCAGCAGGGCTTATGTGCACCTCGAAGATTGTGCCGTTGACGTCGGCCTCGATATCAATATCGGCGTACGGATAAGAGGTCTTCAAAGCTACAGCGTCGGGAGCTGGAACCTCCTCCGTGGTTGTGGTGGTAGTAGCCATGTTTCAGACTATACATTGTCAAACGTCAATGTGTTCGTCCGCGCGTTAACCAATGCTGGTATTCCACCTCTATGTATGAAACGGATCATACTGTATCTACATTCCACTCTACATCAAGTCCCTGTAACATTGTTGGCTATCTTCGCATACGCCGCTTTCCTTGCACCTTAGTATCATTGCGTCCATCATTTCCTCACATCTCCCAACCGTTAAGCAGAGTTCTGGCCACCTTCTCGCCAACGAAGCGCCTCCTCAATCAACAATCCCACCATTCTCTTCTTTGCCTCAGAATACGTATGCAAATCAACACACCCCATATTCACCGCCACCTGTTTCGCATGCGCATACCTCCTTCGCGCACCCTCATCAACCCGAAGGAAATCACGAAACGCGACGTTGGCTCTCCAAATGGGACTGTCGGACCATATGATGTGGACGTTGTAATGAGTAGTGGTTGAGGGGCGTTTGCGGAAGTAGTGGCGTGTGTTGAGGGGGGTGGGGTTGGGGGAGGGTGCGATGCCCATGTATTCGTAGCCCAGGGTGCGTAAGATGGCGAGGATATCGAGGAGGAAAGAGGAATGGTCGTCATCTTTATCGTCACAGTATGGATAACCGACCATGATATCCACAACGGGCTTTGCTAGCAATCCAGGTACAGCCGTAGACCCAATATGCTCTATAAACGGCCCTCTCCTCCCCCCGTCTCCCTCCCTATTACCCACTCCACCCAACCCAACTCTGTTCGGCAACACAGACAGAAGGTTGGATTTCTCCTCCTCGAATAGAGCTGCGTAGGCCGCGTGGTGTGGTTTGAGTGAGATGGGCTCGGCGATGGAGGCGGCGGTGTATGTGGGTGGGGTCCATTCAATGAACGGCGGCTCGTTGGGGACTGCTGTCATGGCGGTCTGTGCCGGTGTGGTTGAGGTGGTTGACGTTACTGTATGTCTCTCGCGTTGGGGTCAGGGGGTTCCGTTTGAAAGACTTCGCAACTGGCCAGCATTTGCTCTTACATACACAGTTTTGACGTTTTTGTGAATCATCATGCAGCATCTGCCGCCGCTGTATATTCACTATTCTACTATCTTTTTCAGTCCGGGATACTATCTATTTGCAATATCCAAACGGCAAGATCATTCCCCCATCCGGAGCCGAACGCGAGTATGGACGAGAGACGGCCCAGGTGGTAGGCCAGGTCCAAAGGTTGGTGCAACACCCGACGAGGGCATGGAGCGTGACGAATTTCCACTTGGTACTTTCTGCCCGCCGTCGCGGCGATGCCCTTAACGCTCCTGCCGCTTCAATGTATACCACTTTGCATGTGGCTGCAAAGAAGGATGACCCAAGATGGTAAAGTGTCTAAATGAGTCCAATCCAACATGAAGGCCTCATGTGCGCCACTCACTCTCACTCTCACTCTCCCTCTCTCTCTCTTTCGCTCATAGGGGACCTCGGGCAGGCACACCGTGCATCTACCTGGAAGGAACGGTCCGCCCCACTATAGGTGAGAATCAGAAGCCACACAGATTACCACGCACATTACCAAAGCCGATCGCTTGAGGTGCAGCCTGGATTTGGGCACTCGCGGTACGCTCCCTCGACTCCCGCAGTCGCTTGAGGTGCAGCCTGGATTTGGGCACTCGCGGTACGCTCTCTCGACTTCCGCAATCGCTTGAGGTGCAGCCTGGATTTGGGCACTCGCGTTGGCACCATTCTACCAAACCCACTCCCACTCCCATGCCCACGCTACCTGCCTATCTACTTCACCCCAACTAACTCACGTACACTCCATTCCCCAGACAAGTCACCATGAGAGTGTCAAAGCCACGGCGACGTTCCAAACCCTCCGAGGCTGGCCGAAAGGCAGCAAACAGACTCAGGCGGAATGAAAACATGCGGAAGCTATTGAAGACGGCGGGCGATCCTGAAGCTGGAGCCGAGCATAGAACTGTTGACCAGGGTTCGTCACATCACGCTGTGCTGTCTGTCTGACACTGTCAGACCCGTCTCGACTTGCAACTCGACTGACCAACTGTTGTATGGCCTTGTGCCACCGGTTCCGACGATGACCATGCGTACATAATGCGGGCAACAAGAAAGACCGAGCAGCAAACCAAGCCGCATCCGTTCGGAAAGCACCTTACCCACAAAGACTTCCTTGAGCAGTATACTGGGGAAGTTGATCACCGGTACACCCATCTGTACACCGTTGTCGTTGCCGACCGGGAAACGGATGAGGTAGTCTTTGTGGCAAGGTTTCATCCGTTTGCGGATATGTCAGCGGATGACAGGACTCGTTTCGAGGAGATCGCACTGCATCTCGACCACCAGCGACAGGGGCTTACCCCGTGATGATAAATGGTGCACAGACGTCCGGTACCATGATCGGTGTTGGCTGGCGTGCGGGTACAGATAGTGGAAAAAACATGGGGATCTATCAAATGCGAAAGAAGGATTCCGTCAGCGTGGAGAAGTGGGCAGCCTTACAAGCTGAGTTACCAAAGATTGAGGCGCATTACATCTACTTTCTCAATAAGCTTTCGCCTTACCTCTTATCTTGCATCAAAAAGCGGGCAAAGGAACTACGCGTGCCAAGCATTTCGCAAGCGGAATTCGGCAACCTCATTGCAGACGACTCCTTCGCCAGCAATATCACCGCCACATGGGATGATTTTGGCAATAAATTCCACCGTGATAACGATAAATCGAAATTCACATACGGAATCTGGTTCCCAGTATCGGACAAGACGGGCAAGCTGAAGAGCAAGGCGGATGGATTCGCCTGTCATGGTGGAGTCTTCGTGAATGCGGACTACCGTGTGTATGTGGATTTTGATGCGTGCGACGGCGTAGTTGAGATCGTTTGGCGAGGGCCTGAGGATGCACATGCAACCACATCATCCGTCAGAGGCCAAGACTGGAATCGCCTTGGGACCTCCGTTCAAATCAATGAGAAGCTGGCAAAACGGGTCGAACGGTTGTTGCAGCTACGGGAGGAGGAGGGTATCAATGCCGCGGCGGGACGCATCCATGGGGTTGCGGAGACTTTAGAACGATTGCGCTGATCCATTCTGATTTGTATGTAATACCATAAACTCTACATATATACAGTATGTGTGTTTTTTTTCGTACGCCGGTCGTAGTGTTTTTACACCTACAAGTCGTACATTTTACAGCAAAACCCAGGCCTGGGGAACCGACGACCTAAAAGGTCCGAACGTTTCCCCGACAAGCAAATGAACGGAGTTTGCCGCCAAGTGATGCTGGTAGTGTGGTTGTTGAGTGCGCCCACCAGGCCGTGTTAAACCAGGGCCTGCACGGATATGAGAGGAAATATGGGAAGCCGTTGGCTGGCGCAATGGCAAACGAGATGGCCCGCGTCAAACTAGAAGCTTTAGAGGCTCACAAAAACCTTGGACGTGGTGGGCGGAAGAAGGAGAAGAAGGTGTTGGTCGATGGGGATCCTACGCGGGATATCCAGGCATCGCGGCTCGTGAGGCGAGTGTGGTGTGCGGGCATTGAGTATGACCCTTCGTCAGCGTAAGCCTTTAGATTTCCAGATCCAGATTCAGAGGCATAGAACAGGCTCGGGTCTCCCTGTTGGGTAGTGCCAGGGTTGTGTTTGCCGGATGGGGGCCATTGCGTGTGGAGGGTAGTGGAGGGGGCCATTGCGTGTGGAGATGTCCGAAGGGACTGCATCAAGGCACCTCGAACCGAAGTTGTGACCAGATCATTCGAATCCCTTCTCAATTGGTATACCCCTTCAGCGCCATGGTTCCTATGACAATGGCAAGCAAGTCATCTGCGTTTGTTGATGGTGTTGCAACCTGCGCAGGACCCTTTTTCCATTTGACATTGCCATTCCTGCCGTTCGCACCAGTCTTATAGATCTACATAGGAAAAGATCAGCACAGGGGAAGGGGTGTCCTACTGATTGGTGGAATTGGGTCAACCCACCTGGGTCACGACATCTAGGTCCACCAATTGACCAATCCTCTCGATTCCGGTCCTGCGTCCCTTAATCAGCTCCTCAAGCTTTCGATGCACTTCTGCTTGCTCCTCATCTACGCCAGGCACCCCAGCATCACCGATTGTGACCGCGATCAAGGACGACGGAGCGGTATCTGAGATCCCAAATGAGCGCAGGGCGTCAGAGATGTTGTTCGTTGGTGAGAGATTGAATATGACCTCAGAGTATAGTGTGCGCGTGCGCATCAAGGACGACGACTGAGCTAGCAACGCTTTGAGGGCGCTGAGCTGCAGGAGGGTTTTGTCCAAAATCTGCCCCCATGGGAAGAGTATTGCGTCAGTCGGAAGTTTGAATTGCGATATTTCACAGCAAGCTGATCGAGCCAGGATCCACGTTTCTGTGGCGAGACGGTCACTCACGGCAGCTCCGTTGAGTAGAACACAGTTTGGCACAACACCGCTCCCAGACACGATGAACTGCTTCAATTCCTTTGCATTCATCACATCCTCAAAGACAGAAACATACAGCTGTGCCTGGCCCCTGGAGATGGACATGTAGGCCTGGCCAGAACCGTCTTGGGCATCGTTGTCATTGTTGTCCGACGGCGGGAGGCAGGAGATGGGCTGGAGCGGTAATGACGGCGGTGGAGCGCCAGTTGGCGGGGCCGAGTCTGCCGTTGATGTGGACGGGAAGAGAGCGCCCAGCGGGATAATGGCGTAGGGCGATGCGGCTGCAGCTGTGTACATTGTTCGACGTAAGCGAAGAGTGCGGTATTGGGGTAGATCTTGCTACATATGATGGCGCGTGGATGGCGCGTGAGAAAAACAGCCATGGACAGGTTTCAACCTTCCGTCCGCACACAAAGAAGAGCGTACATTCACTGGAGCAGGGTGCAACAGGAACCTCAGCGTCCTTTGCATAACTTTCCATTGCTTTGCCTCATTGCTGCCGCTGGTCGGCAATACGATGACAACGGTAAAGCCGCCCACGTCATCGACCACGAAACACACGAATCGTATGCGTAAATCGGGCATCGACTGGTGGGAGGACACCTACGCCCGAATTCAGAGTCTCGGCTGGCTCGGCCAGGTAGGGTGCGCAGTGCTACCTTTTTCTTGGTGGGATGTGAATAATCTAGCGGCCCGATGTGGCGGGACAGAAACCCCTCAAAACGCATGCTGAGAAAAACCTTTCTCTAAACACATACAGATCCATTAACCCTTGCTCTCCCATCGCAATCAAACGCGAGCCGGTGAAAACTGAGCCCCGTGAACGATCCGATAGCGCTATCCACATTCTACGCGAGGAGCCGATCTACGTCAAGAGCGAGGCTGTGGTTCGGGAAGGGAACGGGACGGTTGTTGGTGGGGATGCGTCGGGACCTTTGGAATTGGGTGTGATGGACGAGGAGGTGAAGGTGGAGAACTTGGAGTGTGTCGGAAGAGCTGCGGGAGCTGTTGCGGGGGATGCAATTGAGGGGGCTTTGGGGTCGGGTGGGGTCGGTCAGTTGAAGACGGAAGTCGGCCAGAAGGGAGCTGTAGATGGCGCAACACACATCGCTTCGACACCAGTCGCGTATGATCAGGCAGTGAAGAACGAGCCTGCGGACTTGAGACAAGGCCAGCCCAAGACGCAGATGGACTCTGGGCCACCCGAAACCGCCATCTCGAACGAACAAGAAACATACCCCACCCCCGCCTCGCTCCCAAGTCCCGGCCGTATACCCACCTTAAAAATAACCGTTGATGACACCCCATCCTCCGGCGTTATATTGGAAGATATCAGCGACGAGGATAGGGATGTGAGTGACGGAATGCAGCAACGAAGGAGGTCCCAAAGTGTGACTGCCACGGTCGGGGAGGATGGGTTGGTGGTGCGGGATGAGATGGAGAGTAGCGGTGTGGCCGAGACTATCATCAAACCCGATGTGGATTTGGATGAGATGTCCATCATTGCGAACAAAGTGTCGGATGAAACGTCAACCAATGCGATGAACAAGTGCTCCGAGTCAGAGACGACTGAAGCCTCGCAGCAGCTTCTGTTTGCGATGTCGGACGATGAGATCGAGAGTGAGGCGATGACCGAAAGCTCGACCTCGGCCAACGAGCTCAAGGCGTTGGACTTGTTGCTGCGGCCGAAAGATGAGATGGAGAGGGGCGATGCGAGCGACGTGTTCCATACGGCTGACGAGCCGCAGTCCGAGATGATGGACATGTCCCCGCAGTCTACAGAGGCCATTTCGGACGATGGCATGGACGTTGATGACACTAGCGATAACTTCGAGTCGGGCATCAAATCTGATGTGGACACCGCACGCCCGCAATCGCCTATAGTAATAGAGGATGAAGATGATGAGATCTCGGCTGGTGGTATGAACGAGGGCGTGGAAGTAGTGGTGTTGGATTCTGAAGATGACGAGGATATGTCGATTCCTGCACCGAAATTCAGTTCGAAATCCAGTATCGCAGACAGGAAAAAATCGGCCTCGGAATCGCTTCTGCAAACCACGACCGAGTCAGAGACGAACACGTCAACCATGGAACTGGTGGACTTGGTTTCCGACGACGATACGCCCGTCGATTCATCGACAAAAACCTTGAACTTTGTTCTTTCAGCCAAGAAGAAGTCGACATCGCAACCGCGTATGGAAGGTTTGAACGACGGTGAGGGTGATGATGAAATATTGAAACAACGCCGCAGTTCCGGCCGAAAAAGTCCTGGAGTAATCCCGGATGACGATGAGATGGATGAGGATGTACCTGCGTCGTCACCGAGCGGGCCCTCAGACTCAAGTCAAAACGACTTGGAGCTTGATGCGTCTTCGTCAGCGCCGATCGGACCCTCAAGGACACCGTCGTATCAAAGACAAGAAATTCTGCGTCAGTACCGTAACGCCGCCAAGCAAAGTGCGCAAACTGCAACCTCTACATCGCCACAAGATATAACCACCACTACAAGCAGAAGCACTGCGGGTAACAATAAGATAAAGAAGGCCCCTCCATCGAGGAGGAACCCGGCGAGAGCTGTCAAGTTGGAACAGGGATCTCCACCCGCTCCGGAAGCGGCACCCATTGTCGACGTTATTGATGTCGATAGTGAGTCTGAGGAGACGATAGCCACTGCCGAGCAGCAGTTTACACGCGTCAAGCGAGAGCGCTCCGAGTCCAGCACAACGGTCGAGGGACCACCGAGGAAACGCACAGCACGAAACGTCGCCGTCAAGCGCGAAGCCTCACCTGTCATCACGGTACCCGACCACGACGGTCTATCTCCTGAAGAGCAGGCGCAATGGAAACGGCGCAACCAAGCGTTCGACCGCATGGTCGTACAACTCGTTCTCGGAGGAGGTACACAGAACACTTTCCCTAAACCGGGTTCCGACACCATAACTCGGTACGGCGATCGCGGCCAGTATGCCGCCATGAAGCGCGCGTGGAACCCCAATCTGCCACACCATCCCCTCGAGCCAGGCTCCATCGTCATTTGCGGCGGCATTAGCCACCTGGACTTCCTGAAGAAACCGTTCCCCTTATTTGTGCAACGCAAACCGCGCGAGTGGTTGTACGTGGGCCACTACACCTGCAAGGTCGAGCCACAGAAGGAACTAAGTTGGGGGCAGTTGAAGGAGACATCGAGCTTAGCATCCAGGACATGGATTAACAGGGCATTGAGAAACCCAGATTGGGGAGAGTGGTTCTTTGGCGACCTTGGCGCGTCAAGGGACCAGGTACTAGGCATGCCTTTGGTCGCTATTGAAGAGCTGCTCGACGAGCTGACCTCAGGCGCCGGGAGTGAGAACAAGATTGGTGTTCACGAGCTTGAGCCGCAGGAGTATGACGACGCCCTGTTGAAAATGTTAGAGCAGGTGGCTGCCGAGGTATGTCCACCAGACCGGACGGTCCCTTCATTCGATGTGACCGAACTGATCCCTTTATCACGTCACCACCCCACATTGCAGCCCGAAACCATTGCAAAAATCGAAGGGATCGCCGAAAAGGGGAAGGCAACTAGAAAAAGGAATGAGGCACTGAAGCTTCAGGCCGCGAACGATCGCGAAGAGATAGGGGTGTCACCCAGAAGGAAGAAGGCCGGCGCTGCTACAAAGAAGGCCACCGCCGCTGGCAAGAAGAAAAAGAAGACCGCCGCTGTCGCAGACGAGTCCGAAGATGATTTCGAGGATAACTCCAATGATTACTCGGACGACGAGGACTACCAATAGATGTGCTTTTTCCATACCCCTTTTGTTCACCACTTCATTCTTTCACGTAGCATTTGTACAGATCTATATACCTTTTTCCTGTCTTAGTAGGTTCTTTTTTAAAGGGGTTTGAAGTCGGCGTATGTATACTCATGGATTGTGTGGGATTTGCGATGTCAGATAGTGAGATAGCTTCCTGTGAGAATATATATTTCCGATGCCACCTTTCAGTCATCACTGTTCAACGACGAAAGATGTCCTCATATTTTCGCGTAAGTCTGATGTTTTCCGAAAACTTCTCCGAAACAACCCCCATCCGGAAAACCGTATAGGCAAAATCGCCCGACAATGTGGAACGCACAGCTCACCAAAAAGCCTTCCTTCGCCTAATCCCTTCCTTTCCTTCATCGCGTCCACATCCTCGCTGCTGCGCCTTGGTCCTCCCATCCCGCTCACACTTTGTCCTCACATGGAATCCAACATAATGGCACACCTTTCCTCACCGAACGTCCTTAAAAGTTTAGGTAGGAAAGAGCGACGCGTCGACAGGGATTTTGAACTCGCTGCTGACACAAGCAGAAACGCCAAAGCTAAAAACTCTTGACGCGTGGGTAACGCGTCGAACGAGCGAAACCCCACTTCCTCTTTTTTTTTGGGCAGCGACGCTTCCGTAAACTTTGAAAAGCTAGTCTCCCGCGCCAGGTTGTAGCTACCCCCTTTGTGTTGCTGACGATGACGAGCCCGCTTCGCAATAACATTCCGCTCTTCAGGAGTAGCCAGTTTGGCTTGTCCCTGGTGTATGCTGGCCGCTGTGCTCTGCGAGTCCGCCAGCTGCTTCCGATGAAATTCACGGTCGAACGTCACTGGTTCATAGATCCGGCTGTAGCTGAGGTGGGAGAGCGCGATGCTCGAAGGTGGTCGTGGAGTTCGGCGGAACGCGATACTACAGAGAGCAACCGTATGAAAAAGATCGTAGACGAGCATGTTCAGGATGCAGCAGTAGGTTGATGCACGATCGTGTCTATGTACAGTATATTACTCTATCAATGTCCCTCAACTACTCATTGATGAAAAGTTCAACAATGGAGCTGTAAGTCTCTTACGCCGTTCATCATAAGTGATGCTATTCTACGAGGAAGCGCTAACTTCCTTCCATTTCTAGGCTAACTCCAATCCTGTATCGTCCGATGCCCCTGAAGAATGTCCAAAACGAGGCAACCTAGACGTCTTGGTCTCGAGGCGACGCTACCGGCGATCTCTCAGGCTTGCACAAACGGAGGCGATTCTTGATGACACCGGTATCGATCTCGAACAACACCACTTGCAACTTTCTTCTTCTCCGCCCGGCCTCCAAGTCGTGAGAAGAGGTCACACTTCCGGGTAGTGGTGTCATAAAGGAAAGCCATGCAAGTGCTCTTTCCCACACACTGCGCGATGCAGGAAGGGATATCCTTCACATCCGCAATTTCGGAATCGACTGTTCCGCTCCAAGCGACCCCATCGCGAGCGTTCCTCTTGCCCTCCATCACAATTCGGTACTTGCTAATCTCAGCTTTCTGAGATGCGGAAGCGGCAGGGTCGGCGGTGGCGTTGTACCAGTATCGCCCCTCCACCACTGTCTCGAGCCGGAACAGTTGGAACTCCATGAGATCGGCGTAGGTGGTTCGTCCCCATCCCCCCCATGATGATGACTGAACGTTCTGCCCCGCGCCCGTGCTCCTCGCGGCGATTGACAAGTTTTTCTTCCTGATAGGGTCAGTGGCGAGTTCAGCGTCGAAAGCGTCTTGAACGTCATGTTCGCGCATGCGGTGGGCTGTCACTGGCCGATGGCATGGATCCGCCGACCACCAAAATTCAGGGGGATCGACACCCTTGACGTTGAACCGCGGAGAACCAGATCTCCAGTCATGCATGTAGAAGCCGAAAGGATGTTCGGCGTTGGGAGGTGCAGCGCCGATGTACGCCAGGCAGGCACCTATGGCTTGATCACCCGTGAGACAAGTTGACGTTCGTTGAGCGCACTCTTGCTGGGCAGCCAGAAACTTTGGGAAAGTTCCCCGAGACACCAAGATGCCTCCACCTCCTTGGATCATACGATGCGGCGGGGTCGGATGAGCAGCCCCCACCATTTTGCAGCTCCCCCCGTAATGAGCCCAGCCGAGTTGGTACGGTATGGAAGCGTTGATCGGCGAAAGAAATTCAAGGAGATTCTCAGCAAACACATACGTGTCGTCGTCGATAATGAAGTACCAGTCTTTTTCTGGATACAGAGACCACGCCAGGCCGAACCCGCCCACGTATTTCGGAGAATCCCTTGCCCACCCGTTGAGAGCCGAGTTCGGGTGTTTGAAGGCGTGAATTGTCTCTGTTCCCAACCTCCCGGGTACGTCGGACACATAGACCACGTTCTTGAACCGTGGTAAGAAGGTAGTCACCTGTTGTAGCAGGCGCTGTGACATTGTCTCTATGCCAGTCTTGGCGATAATGACGATGTGGTCTAATCGTGGATCCGAGTCGAGGCGAAACTGTAATGGCGGCGGACATGACAGTGGCTCCGCTGCAGGCGGCGGCGAGGAGAGGAGCGTATTGGAGTCGGAGTGGCGCGAGAGAACAAAAGGCTTGCGGGGATAGAAAGACGAGAACGACAGAGAGTAGTAGACAAGGGTGCAAGCGACCAGGACGAAGAAGCCGAACCCAAGGGCTTTCTGCGAAGCGAGCATCTTTGAACGCCGCGGCGGCTAGCCTGGTGGAACCTGGAATGCGGAGTCGAGGAGGTGGGACCGGCGATTCCGGTGCGAGGTCCAGAAGTCCCCTCCTCTCGACTGGAGGTTCTGTGTATACCTTTATGCCCACGGACGCCGGAGTTGTAGGCGGTTTCGACGGTTTAGAAGCTGTGGCGGCACACCTTACATAGCACTGCGTCCTTACTACTACCTGATACAGAGTGAGTGATACTCGACGGAAATACGACTGATGAGCAGCCGCATGCAACGCATACAACATTGGGGAAGATTTTCTCGATTTGCAGAGACCGCCGGCGACCGCCTGCGGCCTGCCAGGTCAGCTTCATGGACACTGACTTCGCTCTACTCTCCATCATATCATGGCAACGAATTGGTACACCGACACGCACTGGTACTCTATGTAGTTTACGGAAGTTACATACGTTATCGGAATCGTACTGTGGTTGCGTACACCGTGATTTCAGCCTTCAGCTCCATGTAAAAACGCATTATACTGTAAGCCGGGCCGGCGGCACCGTTACACATATTCCTCCTCAAGTAGACGTATGTACTGTACGCCTTGGAGTGCTGGCAGCCCAGTTTGAGACGGCACGGGGCCCGTCGGCCCAGATATAATAGCAGTCAATGGACCTTCCTCATGGCCTTCGACGGGCAGCACTCCGGTGTCGTCGGCACTCTGCGATCGTCCACGGCCGAGAAGGCCCAGCCTACCCGAAGGAAAACGGATGGGAAACACGGCCGCCGCTAATCCTTCGGGATCGACTTTTTTTGTCCTTCCTGGTTTCAACCGCAATTTCACCGGCGCGGGGATCGAGGCCAATCCTGATAGCTTTCCCACGCCAGAAACCTCCAGAGGTTGCACGTTTGGCTCGCAATTTGCAAACAACCACACCTACTGTATGACCAATGGAACCACCGAACAGGAGTTATACAATACTGCCGCTACGACATGCAATGTAAGACCAGGAGGCTGCTTACCTCTGATTCTGTCGCTTGAGATACTAAGTCCTGCTTGTTCAAGACAACGACGCACTGCGGCGGATTCGCGTGCGATAACTCGCACATGGCATGCTACATCTTTACGAGTGCGTTTCGTCCTGGTTGGATTTTTATACCGCTGTCGATTTACGCGTCCTCAGTGACTCCTCACACGCGCTTTTCACAAACTCAGCTCCCATCCGTCTGATCCGCAATGGCCTTCAGGTGACGTTCCTTGCCGGTAAATGGTCCCAGGTCCCAATGTTGTCACGATCCACGCTTCCGCCTGCTCACATATCCTTCCTTTGCCCAGATGACGTCCCATTCATAGATTCGGGCGGCGTTGCGTACCCCGCTCTGGTGACGGCAGCCACATCGTCAACGTCCACGGTTGCATCAACTACATCGACCGCATCCATAGCTACTTCCGCCCCCGTGGCGCCGCAAACCGCTCCGATCGCGAGCCCCACACCACAGGCTAATGGCTCTTCGGTCAATAGTACCTCTCTCGCGCAGAGTCCTGCTGGTTCTGATGGGAAAATGTCACCTGTGATTGGCATTGGAATCGGCTTATTCCTTGGCATCTCGTTGATGCTCGGTGGTTATTTCCTTTATCGCAGACGACAAAGGCGCCTGAAAGGTTAGTTCGCTAGATCAAAGCAATATGGGGATGGGGCTGGGGAAGCTTGGTGGCCAGCCACTCCCTCTCCACGTTCGCCTTCCATGTATGCTTTGGATAAGCGCCGGTAACTGGCATTCTGTTAGCTGGGGGCTGGTTTTTGACATTTCCTTTTTTATTTCTGCCGCATAGGCCAATCGCCGGTGCCTGGCAGTTCAAACTTCACGGTGCACTCGGTGAGTCCCGGCTTTGCCAGGCGGGACACGCAACTATACCAATCTCGGTCTCGCGCCGACGAACCTCCTCCACTCTACGACGAGCCTTATGTGCCCCCGGAGGCATACATGTCGTCGGTTCCTGTTGCCTGTTCGCCTACACCGCCGAACCGTGGTGACTCGATGGTTACCCATGTTCCGTTGGCCGACACGAAGAGGTAGTCACTTCGGGTGCCCATAGGCTCCGGCGTCGCGGAATTGGGTTGATATGGCGTAGAGACCCAGGCATGTTTTTGCCGTGGTTAGAAATAGCGTTCATAGACTATGCATCGGCGATTGTTACATCGACCTATCCCTTCCTTGCATACCGTAGATGAGTGATACTGACTTACGTGGGTACAATCAATTCTGAAGGAACTTTTCCTTGCAGTTAGATCGATTCCCACCCACTTTACCCTCCTGTTCTCGACCCTCTGGCATCCGAGCTCGAGCTTTAGCCATCCGTATCCTCCGCCAAAAGAGGTCGCACATGACATGGAGGTCGATCCCTTTCGTCGCTGTCGGGGTTTATGGTGAACAGATGCCGCTCCGTCAAGAGCAGAACGCGTCAAACCAAAAAACGCGTGACAAAGAAAACCACACGTAAGCAGCTCCCGCCCGGCTGTGACTCTCCTGTGGCTTTCCAGTCCCTTCCCCCGCATCCCTTCTGACTTCTCAGCGAATAACGGCCGTGTCCCCCCACGATACCCCCACCCACATTGCTCCCCTTATAAAAGGGAGTCGGTCTTCCCGAGAGGCTTCAGCGGGATTGTGCTCACTGACAAACTTCACATTGTTGAAAACTTGACACCCACGTCCGAGAGACACAAGTCTTCCGATCTAATTGACAGCTATACAACGTATCTGGTATTCGACGGGCTCCCGCGTTCCGTCTCGTACGTTTGCACTATTCAACTTGTGCGGCAGGATAAAATAGGTGTGTATCCGTTCTGACTGGGTGTCGGCTGTGGGTGGGTCTGATATACGCGTTCGGTGGATTGGCGCTGCGGGATAGGAGATTGTGAGAGGTGGTGGCCCCGTCGGCGTGCAGCGGCGGTGTTCACCTCGAGTCGCTGGAATAATGGACATAGCAACGTTGAAGTTCAGGGTGCTGTGGAGGGCGGCTTGCCAGCCCCCGTCGGTTGTTGTGGGTGGCTTGACAGTGAAGTGATATATCAACTTTTTCACCCCGACTGGCAGGTTCGCCATTTTCGACCACCACCCCACCTCTCATCTCCCACACCCGCCGGCCGCACCCAAAAACCATGCCCAGCCTCCCCAGCCTCACCAAGCCCAGCCCAACCGACATGCACCCCGACAAAAACACCGACCTGTACCCGCAGACCTTCCGCGACGCCGTCAACCGCCCGGAAGTGCACATGCATCCGGGATCGGATACCGTGGCCGGACCGACGGGGTGAGTCTCTTTGGCCGGCGGAACCATTGCTCGTGTGTGCGTTCGATGGTGAAGCAGGCCGCCAGTTTGCATTGATGATAGATAGGTTCCGGCTCGGATCGAGATTGGGGGAATCGGGAGGTGGATGTGGTCATGCTCACCACCGGTTTCTTGATTCACCCCACGGCTCCTGTAATCGAGCAGGAACAGCAGCACACAGAATCCCCCGTCGTCGGCGTGGTCGTCGCTTACGCACGCCAAATCGCCGTCCGCGGCTGATGTGGACTGGTAAGTTCTGATTGTGTGAATTCAAGCAAGGTTGGGTGGGAGACGGCCGCCCGAGGCCACAACGAACACGGGCGATGGTGGGAGGATTACCATTACACAACCCCCCGACGTGGGAATTGTTCGGCGCCATCACCGCACCCACCGCGACCTATCCTCCCTCGTTGTTGTTGGGGTACTCGGCGTCCCTGCTCACGTCCCGTTCCTCGAACCCCGTAGCTACCCAAGCCTCCACCGCCTCTCCACCAACGCCAATCCGTGTCCAACCTCACCTTCACCCGCTTCGTCCACTGCGAATCTCCGACAGTAGAACAAGAACACAAGTGTCATGTCGGATCGGCGCGGTTGGGGGATTTGGTTGGAGGGCATGTAGGAATAGGGGAGGGTAGGCAAGGGTTAGGGGTAGCGCATGTAGCATTCTTGATTTTTTTCCGGAAAGGTGGTGATGTGATATTTCTTGTTCAAGATGGAAATGCGGGCGATTGAACCAATAGCCCCGAAGACGGAGGATGATGTTGTTTTCGCCCGATTGCCTGTTCGTTGCTCAGGCAGAGCCGTCGGCGAGCTGGTGCTTATGGAGCAAAGGGTCCTATCTCTCGATGGGATCCGACACCGAGAGCCAGAAACCACAAGTTCACGACCCAACTGCAACAGCTAGAATCAGCTCAACCGTTCACAAACGGACATTCACATTAGACCACTGAACTACTACAGATAAGACGAGCGGGGAGAGACTACGATGCGGGGCGGGAGAGGGTACTACGGGTTGGGGTAACATTGACATAGGCAGGGAATCGACCAAAAGTCCAGAATGGGTGCAGGACGATCAGAGGCGAGGGTACAGATGACCCTCTCTACTTCTTGATCTTACACTTTCCATGCCGATGCTTCTCCCGACACTCCCCTCCCGTCAAAATCTTCTTCACCCACGCATCCTCAAGACACTCATCAATCGTATACCTCCGTTCCGGATCCGGTTCCAACATCTTCTTCAACACCCTCCGCGGCCCCTCAGGCAACCGGTCAAAGAACTTGGTCTTGCACCCGGAGGTCACGTACTCGGTGTAGTTGGAATCGGAGGCGACGGCCGATTGCCACGGGAAGCGCTGGAACATCATGGCGAGGTAAATTATGGCGCAGGCCCAGACGTCGACTTTGCGGCCGTCGTAGGATTTTTGAGTGAATTCCTCGGGGGCCATGTAAGGACCAGATCCACAGCGCCCGGATGATTTCCTGCATTGGGTCTCGAAGGGGGATTTGACGACATCGGCTGAGCCGAAATCGATGATCTTGAGGTGATTCTTGTCGTCAAAGAGGCAGTTTTCGGGTTTGAGGTCGCGATGGCAGACACCTGTGGAGTGCAGGTAGGCGACGCCGTGGATGAGTTGGGCGAAGACGCAGTCGGATTCTTCTTGCGAGAGGGATTGGGAGGAGATGGCTTCGAAGAGGTCGCCGCCTTCGCAGAGTTCCATGATTTCGTAGCAGTGGCCTTTTTCGAAGATGATGTCGTGCGTTTCGACGACGTTGGGGTGGTGCTGGGAGTGTAGACGAGATGACATTGAGCGCCTTTATTCGCGCTGCATGCCTTTTCTATATGTGCGTCAACTCACCAGCAGAGTCCCAATGCAGTACTCATTCGTCAACTTCTTCACATACTCCCTTTGCGTCTCGGAATCCTTCTTGCGTCTAAACTCCTTGACGCAAAACACCTTATGATCCGACTGACGACGGACGAGGTAGCAGACTCCGTTGGCGCCCTTCCCGAGAAGCTGGCAGGGCTTTCCGTACTTTTCCTTCAACGTGCACGGGGTGGTTCCGGCGATAGTGGACGCGCGCACGGGGACGGCGGGTCGGCCGGCGGTGGGCTCGTGAGGTAGACCTTTCTGGAGGGAGTTGAGGTCCAGGGCGCTGGCGTTGCGCGTGGGCGGGGGTGTGGAGCTGTTGGCTCGGCTGTGATTGCCGCTGGTGCTCGGGTTCTTAGAAAGCAGGAGCTTCTTGAGAGGTCCAAGGATCTCGGGGAAGTGGTTGTGCTTCTTGAGACGAGGGCTGTGGTGGAAATAACCGCTGTTAGCTTCTTCAACGTTCCATCAACCATCGACCATCGACCATCACCAAACAATACCCCTGGGTGAGGGGAATCTTGCGCCTTTGTGGTGCTCGCTTCCCTCGCAAAACATATGAAGATTGCGCCTTTAGCGCAATGGGCCTCGCTTCGCTCGGCATTACAGTGGACTCGCTCCGTTCCGCTCGCCGCTCGGTAACATACCTGCTACGACCACCATCAGAACTCGACGTACTCCCCGAGCTTGAACCCCTCTCCATCTCCACGGGTCGATGCTTATCCTGCTTCAAAACACTCGGATTCGGATCAGCCAAGTGCGAGCTATTAACGATAGGGCATTGGGACGGATTGGCCCCAATGATACCGGCGGGAACAAGAAGCTCGGCGGCTGGGGCGGCGGTGGCGGCTCTTGTGGTGCCGGGGGCGGGGACGGGAACGGAAACAAGTGCGGATGCTGCCATTGTTCTGTGGTTCGTGTTCGTCTGAAGGTTTGTAGTTTGGAAAAAGTACGGCGAGAATAAATTCGAATACAGAGGTTGCGAGGATAAAAAAGGTGTACGGTTCGGTAGTGTACGGCGGTGAGGGGTTGCTCCTCAGAAGCTTTTTAGGCGCAGAGGACGATATGCATCGCGAACTGTTTCGGTGTATGTTGGTTCTTATCTAGGGTGGTGGTGTACCAAACAAAACAAATGATACAGCGACTGACGGTAGGTAGTCGTTTGTTGGGTTCGACCGGTTCACGGATGATTAGGCGTGTTACCGGAGGTAATTTAGTGTATGAGGTTCAAGAGATGTACTTTGTTGCAGCAGACGAGCACGGCGGTTATTAAAGGTGAGGAGGGCGAACGCTGACTTCTGGGGGGTGGGGCTGGCCGGCGGCGACGTAGAGCGGCAGGAAGACGGGGTGGGCGGCCGAAGGACGGGCGGCGGCGGGGATTCTCACGAGAGTTAAGGAAGAAGACGACGCAGCGGCGTCTGTGGCGGCGGACAGGGAGGAAAAGGATACTAAGCGCGGTTGTCGGGACAGGCAAGCGTCAATCATAAAAGGCAATGCTCTGAGGGTGGGAAAGTGCTTCGCGGGGTGAAAACCGGGAGATGGGAAAAGAAATCGAGAGAGGTCGTGGGGAAATAAAAGGATGGATACTGATGCTGAGCGTGTGTGGGAGTTGTTTCTGGCAGCGTAAAGACCTGAGATATTCGTGGGAAAAGACGGTTCTGGTAATGGTTACGAATGCTACGTTTTCTTCTGCGTTATGGGTTGGTTCAGAGGGGGGGTGGAGTGGGGGTTCTGGGCCTGTCGCTCATCATATATATGGGGGGGATTCTTTCATGGGGGCGGGCGGCTCTTCTTCCTTAACTGCTGTGCTTGTGCTTACTTACGGCTAAGCGTGTTTCTTAATGCTCAACAACGCCCTAATGCACAGCTGCTTATTGGCAGTAGTGCCAAGCGGGGGGTCCTCCTTGAGTCCTCTTTTTTTCTCTTCAACAAGCCCCCCCCGCGCGTTCTTTAACCCCCCAACCACCAATCAACCAATTAACTCAGCATCATACTTCAGCTTCTGTTCTCAGGCACCTTGTTAATGCGGGCAGTACGTCAGAGACCGCTCACTCACACATTCGCCGAAAATGGTTAAGAATCATCCCCGCATTTGATTTGATTTTTGATTAGATTCTCCATGCCCATTCTAATCATTCCGGGACTCTCCGGAACGAACGCTAAACTCATCATCCACCTGATTCACCCATCATTCCCAACAAGGAGGGATCCAGAGTCATCACAGACCGAGCCGCTCCGCCGCCCGAAACCCCTCCCCATGATGATGTCCAGGCGATCATCACACACTTTCTCCCAAGAGTCCCGTCCCAGCCCCTGGCTCCGTGGGACCGCAGACGCGCACCTGGGAACATTCTCGACCCCACCCAAAGGTGCGCAAAATAAAATTCTGTGCGAAAGAAAACCTGCAAGTAAACTCTCCTGCACATCCTCCTCTCGCTCTTCAGGGATCGCTCTTCTTTTTTTTGCCTATTATTGGGCGAATCCTCCTTTCCTGTTATGAGACTTGCGGGAGCGTATAAGGTCGCTGGAGTACGCTGGAAGGCGGCATCCTGACCTGTGCACCCCACGCTTGAACCCTCACTCCAAGCCCGTACTCCAGAAGCCCAGATCCACAGGCGTTCCCGGAAAAAAATGGGGGGCCCCGCAACCCGGTGCCAAAAAGTGCCTTGGCATTTCCCATTCCTGCGCCACCCGTGGTTGGGGTTCAAACGCAAAAACAACTTTCGAGAAAATTGACAGTATCATGTAAGCGATTTGACAGTGTCCGAGGATTCTCGTTTTTTCGTTGGATCACTCGTCCCCAGCATCTCGGTGAATTGCAGTTGCTGATTGATGGATGTGTACGGCGCCGGGTACTAAACAGATCGTATATATGGGTAAGATCGACGTTGCTCGCCGCTTTTCGCACACGAAAGCATAAGTTTTGTGAAAGTGGCGATGCGTAAACGCCGAAAGCAAACGCATGGATAACGCGTACCGTTGACAAGCCGACGACAACGTCCGACCGCCCACAAACCCTCCCATGCAACCTTTGCGGAGAAGGACAGGACGGAGAGAACAGGGAAGCGAGTGATGATGCCCCAAATCAGAGGCCGTTCCCGCAATCGCTTTCCTTCTCCAAGTCTTTTGCGAGGCCTTCCAACTCCATAAAATGCGAACGCACCAGCTAAATGCGAATCTGAACGGGAACATGTCAACCAAACTGAGGGTGAACGTCCCGCGAAACTATGCTGTTGTGCTCCTCTCTGTTTGAGCAGAATCCGTGTTAGGGCGCAAATGTTGGTCGCAAACTCCGCCATTTCGTGTGTACTTCTGATGGATAATTGATGCAGAAAGGAGGGAACGGTGAAGGGGCGGATGTCATGTCACGACCACGTCAGGAATTGACGGTGAGTCGTCTAGTAGTTGGTCTCACTGGCCCCGGCCCTCCTAACCCCCCGAAAGAACCATGTTCGAGGCCCTCGATCTCGCATCGGCCAATGGTCCACGTCGGAGTGTTGGAGTGGTCGAAAGCAAGCCAGCGGCGTGACATGGCGGTATCGTGCGCATAACCCTCCAGTGCTCCAGGCCCTGCGTGACGGGTGAGACAGCTACGTACGGGTCGGCAAAGTCCACGGGGATTCCCCGTCGAGAAACGGCTCCGAGCATACAAAAATGCACCGGTGGACGGCGAGACTGGTCCGTATTGAACCTCACCAACTTCTCGTCCGAGATTACGTCAGAAACCGAAAACGCGTCCATAACGCGTCGAGAAAACAGTCCAGAAAAACGTCCGAAACGTCCGATTGGCCCGGCGTCCGCGGACTACGGGTGGCCATTTATTCGTCAAGAAGATCGAACCTTCTCGGGCCCGAACCGGGCCGGCTTCAGTGCTCCCATGCAATACAGAATCCTTCGCCGGACAGTACATTCGGGAGGGAATTTTGTCACAGGAAGGCGGGATAGGGGCGGAACCACGCAGCGAGCGACGGGTGCTGTCCCCGCCCCTCGCCCTCCGATGAATACGCGTAAAAGGCGTTTGCTACACGTCCCCCACATGCTTCCAAGACGAATGTACTCTTTACGCAGCAAGGAAGGTCCCTTTGTCGACAGTGCCACAGTGGGTACCGCTGGGAAATGCCGATGAAGGGTCGCCTTCAACGCGCTCGCAGCTCGATCACGACCCAGCGGTTCGATGGATGCAACCATGTCAATTGTCGATGCCAACACTTGTCGATCCAACGATCCCAAACGGGAATAGGAGAGTAAGATCCACCTCATCCACAACTTGATCCGAGAAGCAGCCCTCAAAGCCGTTCTCGCGCGACGGCTGTCAGTACCGTGAACTGCGATAATCAGCACATGTCCATTGAGCAGAGCGGCGCGGACATTCGCAGTATCTGGCAGCTGCGCCGTGCGCTCGATGACAGATGGATCTGAGGAGGAATGCACCGGGACTCAGGAAGGAAATTGTCAACCAGGCACTTGTATATCTATCTCCGTTAGGTAAAGCAGAACGCGTCCGTGACGCGTCGGGAAAAGACCGTGAGCAAAACGAGGTCCGAAACATCCGACCTGGACCGCACGACGTCGGATGGCGTTGTTTCGCATTCCCCGTTACGCGCCGGTGACGGAAGAGAGTGGTTGCGAAGAAAGAGCAGGAATAGAGGGTGCAAGGGAGATGCAAGTTTGGGCCGGAGCTGGGTGAAGTTTCCACCCACCTCAGATCCTGGGTTTCCCGCATCACATGGCAGTGCATGCACACCCGCAAAGGCCGTAGAACCATGCGCTCGACGGAGGGTGTCGTCCACCAGATGCCTTACAAACAAAAGCAACCGCCGCACCCACACCACGCGGGATTCCAAGTCGACGATGTATGTACCTCCCCACCATCTTGGCGATGGTGTGTGACACTAGAATCCATAGAACGAAATCCAGCGATACCCCACAGGCACGCAATCGCTCAGAGCATTCACAGGAAGTGGATGGAGGCCATATCACGATGCGGGATCACTGTTCCCTTGGTTCTGGAACGACCATTCGCGCACGTTTCCGAATTCCATATTCGCGCCTACTCAACCCTCCGGGGCGCGGAACCCTCCGTATTCTTTGGCCAGCACATCCGCAAATGCGAGCAGCAGCAACGCGGACTCTCTCACCTCGAATGGGAAGTTGAGCGCGTGCGACGACACTTTCGAAACTTGAGCAGCCCTGATCGCCGAAGCTCGTAACCGAGATACACTCACCTTGCCGCCCATAGATCGTTGAGTGCACCCGGACACAAGCAGAAAGCCAATTGTTCGAGTTGATATGGTCAAACTGCAAAACAATGAGTCGTACTTTCATGCAGCCCTCATGGCTCAGTTGGATAGAGCGTCTGCCTAGTAAGCAGAAGGTCCCGAGTTCGAATCTCGGTGAGGGCAACATCCACGCCGCTTTAGCACTAAAGCTGCATGTTTCTAGTCTCTGGACTTTTGCCCCCAGTACCGGTGGTAAGCGCAACTGTTGACGGGTGTGGGGTATAAATGTTTTTGCGCAGTGGATCCGTGGATCCTCCTCAATCAAAAACTGTCGCGGCGCCACGGGGTACAATCAATCATATCAATCAAATCAAATTTTGGGCAGGCGGGTGGCTCCTCAGAAGAAGGGAAGGTGGGCCCACTCGCGCTGCCCCAATGACCACCCAGGACCCTCCCTGTCTCCCTCAGCGCGCGTGTTTCGCACCTTTGCCCATGGCCTGACCCCAACCCCCAAAAACACATTTGCGTTTGTTTCTCGCCATACCTCAATTGTCAAAGCCGGAGGTCATACGAACGCCAAAAACATCATCAGCGGCGATTCAGCGCGTCCGAGAAACATTCGCATTTTTGCACGCTTGGTGGGTGGGTGGTGGGAAATTACATATACAGTATTACTTCCAACGGCCGTCGCCACCCGCGAGACTTGCTAGGCCCCCCACAAGCACCCGATAGCGGGCGTAGGCGGCGGACGACTCTCTCTCTCTCCCTCTCTTGCGGAAGCCGCCCTGCATCCGACAAGCTCCCCGGCCTTCTCCCCGACGCAGGACCACCATTGCGAAAAACTCCGCTCGCCAGTTCACAAGTCGACTCCGACCCTCCAACACCTCCCTCCCACCGCATACCCATACCGCCCCCCCGATATACCCCTCAACATGCCACGAACAATCCTCGACGAGAAACCCCTCGATGAGCGCCGCATAGAGGATAAGAATGTTTCGCTCTTGTTGGATCAGCGGGCCAGGCCGGAGAGGGGGCCGCTGGCGACTTGGACTAGGAGTTATGTATGTATATTGTGGGATGGAGGAGCGGGAGGGAGAGGGAGCACAATGCTCGAGTGTGCCGTAGGCACAGGAATGCTTGAGGCGCGAGCCACGCGAGCCGCAAGCGAACCGAGCGTGGGTGCCTGTCCGCAACGAGCGAAGCGAGTCCCTTGCGCCAAAGACGCTATACCCCTAACCACGGCTCTTAGCGAGCCTCAGCGAGCGTATGATCTTTTGCTAGCGAAGCGAGCATAGTCACGCAGCCCAAACTCCTTGTCGCGAGCGGAGCGAGCAGGGTATCGTTCTCCATCCCTGGCTTTGCCGACATCCATCGGCGACGTCACCCATACTCATCTCAACCTCTCCCTTCATACATAGGCCATGACGCTAACCCTCCTCCGGTCAACGCTCGAACAAAACAAATCGTCGCTCTGGCGCGCCCGGCTGATCACCGACAAAGCCGCCGTCCCCATCCCCCTAAAAATATCTCTCCAAAAAATCTACATCCCCCGCCGCAAAGACGTCCTCCCCGAAGGCATGTCCGCCAAAGACGCCACAGGCGTCCTCAAAGCCGAATGGGTCGACTACCACCCCCACACCGATCAGCACCTCCCCGCCGAGCGCGTCATCCTCTACGTCCATGGCGGCGCCTACTTCATCTGCTCCCGCAAAACCCACCGCGGAATCACATACAGAGTCGCCAAATACGCCCACGCCCGCGTCCTCGCAATCGACTACCGCCTCTCCCCCGAATCCACCTTCCCCACCCCCCTCAACGACGTCCTCTCCGCCTACCTCTTCCTCATCGACCCTCCCCCGCACACCGGCGCACCAAGATACCACCCCTCCCAAGTAACGTTCATGGGCGACTCGGCCGGCGCAGCTCTAGCCGTCTCCACCGTCCTCTGGCTCCGCGACCATAAACCATCCATCCCCATGCCAGGCGCCCTCGCGTTGATCTCACCATGGCTGGACCTCACCCATTCCATGCCCTCCTGGCGCCTCAACAACGGGTACGATTACCTCCCCGACGGCCTTACCGACCGCAAATACGTCACGCCGACCCGCTCCCATGTCTACGTCACGGATAATTCACAGCTGTCCCACCCCTTGGTCTCACCCATGTTTGCAAGAGAACACCCCCACCGCCCTCTCCCACCCACCCTCATCCACGCCGGCGACGCCGAGAAACTGCGGGACGAGATCATCAACTTCACCGAACGCTCTTTCCCTTCCTCACCCATCCAGCTAGAACTCTACGAAGACCAGCCCCACGTCTTCCACATGCTCGCGCCCCTCGACCCGATGGGCAAATGCGCGTTGAAGCGCATGGGCAGCTGGACGAAGGACATCATGTCCCGATACACCGCTCACGACACGGAAGTAACGATCCCACACACCGTCACGCGCGTCCTCAACCGCCCCACCAACCCCGTCATCCCCATCACCGACCCGTTAGCGATCATCGACGAGGCGCGGGAGATTCTGAGGGAGCGCGGGAAATGGGTGGATGATGTGAAAGGGGGCCACCCGCGCGCGTCGTCGGCGTCGGATGAGGCGAGGCGGGTGATGGAGAGGGACCCGGCGATGGCGGTGGATAAGGAGATTGTGGAGAAGTTGGGCGAGTTGGCGGTGCTTGGACCGGCGTTGAAGAGGGCTGCGCTGGCGGGGGGGAAGTAGGTTTCGTTGTTGTAACATTTTGTTTTTGGTTTTTGGGGACGAGTAAAGGGGATGTTGGGTTGCTTTAATGGTAGATAGGTGGGGTTGGACGTATAGTAATTTGTAGATAGATAGTGGTAATACATGTGTTTGGATATTGGCGTATAGAGAAAAGTATCATATCCTTTGTTGTCCCCGCCGGCCTGTCCCCGCTCGGAACTTTTGGACAGTTCGACAGCTCGGCTTGTGTCAGGCAGCCGCTGGACGCGTCAGTTTCGCGTTTGACAATTCCCGTCGGTTGCAATTCCACGCCGCTTCTCGAACAGAGTCCTGAGAATGAACGGCAAGCCACTGGATCAGAACACAAAGTGCGGGTGGAAATGCGAGAGGGGATGGGAAGGGCGAGGATGTCCACTGGAGTTGCAGATGTGGGGCGTGACGAGTTGGAAAAGGAACGACCACTCGAACGATGCCATTTTGCCAACTTTTCCAGATGTGACTCCGTCAGAAGCGGCCTTGCACGCTCCCAGTGCCGTTCGCCTGCAAAATGAAGCCGTCCGCGCAGACCCTGCTCTTTCGGTGCCGGGACCATCGATGTATTTGGGGCCTCTCGCCGAACTGAACAGAAAGGCGGGTGAGCGAGCACGCACGTGCATCAAACAAAGGTGTCGACAAGCGAGGGCTGCGAGGGACAGCACAGACTGCACATTACCATCCCGTTTCTGTGCAGAGGGCCATATCGCATCCTACCGCCGAGAATGGAAGAACTGACAACGACGACGGGTGAGAAATATGACCTACTTATACGATGTACTGGCGTTCCGTGGGTACACAGGACATCCCACTCGTCCATCACCGTTTCCTTGTCCCGGTTGGCCCGACTTTCCGTCCGCCGCGATGGCCGCGATGCTCAATCTTGGACGTGGGATGGTCTCAGATTTCTGCCCATATTTCGCTCTTTTACTGAAGACCCATTTACGGGTTGTCGTAAGCAGGCGCAGACATCGAAGCGGGGGGAGAGCGTGTCGATAGTTTGGTGGGTTGGCGGATATAGTGACGCCGGTGCTTTTCCGCACCATAGAAGCGTATTGCTGATCCTGGTTGGGGAGGTGGTTCATACCCTCCTTTCGCAGTCTGCCTACACTTTTGATATGCGGAATGATTTACTATGGATTGAGAATTTTGCGTAAATTACAACAAACATCGAAGCGGAATTGGCTCAGTCGGTAGAGCGTGAGTCTCATAATCTCAAGGTCGTGAGTTCGATCCTCACATTCCGCACTTTCTTTTTCGAATTTTTTTGCAGCATTTTCTCTTCGCCCAATGTCCCACCGCTTTCTTTCTCTTCATGGCTGCTACGGTCGACGCGATCGCTTCAACAATGGTCATACACCGAGTTTCGCCGTCTAGCTTGTCTGTGATACTGTAAGAACGCGCGAATAAGCTGTTCCAAGGTTGGTGCGTGTGGACTTTGCATGATTTCTTCAGTTTTATGCCCCCCTTCGAGGTTGGTGCCAGATGTATTGCTTGCTAGCCAATATGCTGCATCGTGGCCCAAGACAGCCAGCCACGCGAGCCCCTATCGTCACCCCGGGATCAAACTCTTCACAAGAATGTTTGCGCTGACTGGCTCAAACGTGTTTCACAGGACCATGCCCACCCAATACGCTTCCCCAATTGACCTTCGTGCTCCAGATCCCCGGTAGTGCTGTTGGCGCCTTCGTCGGGATAATAGGTGTGAAACAGGCAAATTCTGTAGCCCCCGGCCCGTCATGACAGCCTCCGTACCGTGGCGACCGGCCGCAGCTCGGATCGCTGTTGTTGTGATTTTCTCGAAAGCGCTGGAATCTGATCTTACGCCAGTATCTGGAATCTGATCTTACGCCAGTATTCTTGTCTCCCCGTGACGCCCCCTTTGCGTCCATACCTCGAAAGCAAAAGCGGCGCGCGTATGTTGCTGCGAAAAATTCGTGTGAAATGTGCTTGACGATAGGTTTCGCCCCAGGTAAGTTAGTAACCTCCAACTATTTCATCATCGAGACTACCTTGTGGCCCTTTCCTGGATAGCGATGCAGTTATGAGATGGCGGTTAACCCTTTCCGGAGATGCGTTCCTCCTCAGTCTTCCTGATGGAGAAATGAATTGTATGATCCTAAGTCTTCTTAATGGAGCCAGTTCTCGATGTGGCGGAGGAGATGTTAACGAAGGTCCCTGGTTCGGCTGATACGCTTCCAGGCTCGACGCTGATGCTCGCTGACACGCCCTTTGTCGTTCAATCACCCGCGTCTGATCCCGTAGGTTCCCCATCATGAGAGCGAAGACTTGTGTGGAATCATCCCAAGGGTTCCGCCAGGATGCAGGCACGTCGCCCCTATGTCTCACAATTGTTGGAGGCAGGCACCTTGCGGAATACCTCAGCTTTACTGGTACCGCGTCGCAAGACAACGGAATGGTGTTTACATGGCGTGTGGGGCATCGCGTCCAGTCTTGAGGATGCTCCCTGATGCGGATTGGGCGGCCGTTCATCATACAGCCAGGATTACTTCGGCATATCCGTTTTATTGCATCCCGTAGAACTAGCGTGCGTACGTCCGTCTTCACCCATCATCCACATCTCTCATCGTCTGAGAGGCTGACGCTTCACGACAGGGCTCTTCGCCTACATGAAGCAGAGCCCGTCCGCTCCAGCGAGGCAGGTCTACGTGCTGCACATTTGCACGGGAGGTCTGAGAATGGAAAGCGCGACGAAGGGTCGCACGGATCAGGGGAGGGTTGTAGTGATGATGAGAACTCCCCAGAGGAAATCCAGCGTATCGACGCCTGGCACTCGTCCATGTCCATGAGCCCATCGAAAGGGCCCGCTTAGTTCACGGACAAATACACTGTCGGCCAAGGACAACCTAGCTACGACAAACAATCAGACCCGCGGGTTCGATGGTGCAGCGCAGCGCACATGCTGGAACCGAAGTCCGCTCCCCGGGCAGCCGCTCCTTGGACTGAGGGTGGACCGCTCTATCCTTCGTCTCGATACTGGCGCGAGTCGACACACGTTCAGGACCACAGAGAGATGGAGGTGAACCGGAGGAGATGGGAAGATCGACGACGCCGTTGGGAACATCAAAACCTTTCGAATCAGAGCGGGTTCCATCACACATGCTCGGGGATCGCTTTGGAGAGTGCGGTAGGTGTCATAATGAATGGAGGGACGCCTGCGAACGTCGCGGACTTTACGTTCTCTTTCGATATCTCTGAGTTCTGGACGGCTACGCTTACGGAGACGCGGGATGTTGGCTCCCGTCTTCGATACGGTAGAAAGCCGATGTGAATGCTACTTGCAGCATGAAACGGGCAATCTGCATCCGTATGTTGGTTTGCATGCGCACATCCTGTTTTGTAGTTCCCCATCAGTCGAATGCTTTGAATATAGCTTCGGAGACTGGAAAAGAGGTTTGTTGAGGGTTGAGCGTTTCACGGCCGGGCCACCGTCGTCTCCTTGAATACATCTGCTTGACTATTGCGTGGTCGAAAGTTACGCTGCAGATCATAGCTTGCATTGCTTCCGCTATGGATGGCTTCCTTGTCCGTAGTGAAATAAAACCCCAGAGCGCGGCAGAATATGGGATGCTAAAAGCCGTTTTGATACGTAATAAATCGACGATGAGCAGTGTGGCGCTGGAGTCCTGTGTTGATGCGTTCGTGGTTGTGACAATGGGACCGATAGAGTGACCTCTGCCTGACGACGGGCGGGATGTGAGTGCCGGGGGGGTTACGACCGGGCGGTTGGCAAGAGAGGCAAATCAGAACTGCGTCAGACCATTGCGTAGTGAAGTATTCTGAGCACCGCTATAAGAAGAGCGCCGCTTTCGGTAGTTTCGGCGTGTGCGAGATGATACACGTAGGGTGGCCAAGTTGTTGAAAGATGGCGAGGACTTGCTCTTTTGATGATGAAGATTTCGTGTACTTGGTGAGAAATTTGCCATAGGTGTGGCATAATTCAAAGGGTTGAATTTCGCATGACTTGGGGCGCGAGTCTATTGAAGCTGCATCCTCTCCTATGCCGCGTTCAAGCTGGCCGAGCTAATCGCGGCGTTTTTAAAGACGTCTGTCGATCGTCTAGATGAGGGGCCAAGCTATGTTCTCGCCGATGTCGGGAGTAGGATGAGAAAGTATGGAGTTTTGAACGGCGAGCGGGTGCTGTTGCAGGGGAACGCCGCTCGAATATGAGCGATGCTCGGAGCCGAAGGGCGACCTTCGGAAATCCTTGTGGTGCGTTTGTTTATCAGTTTCGAGTTGTTGGTCGGCTTCGAGCAAAGGTACACAGGACTGGCCGTGGCTGGCATCGTCGCTACCAGCATAGAACTTGTCGCTCATATCGGCAATCGCTGTTGGGTGTAAGCTCGACGTTGATGTGAGATGGTGGACGTTCTTGATGTGGTCCAAAGACCAGATTTCGGCCGGGTTGATTTTGACAATGACAACGTCGACCGTGGTGGCTTGAAAGAGGAGATCTCGTGAGGGCTGATTTTGACAAAAGACCACATGGAACATCGTCGGGCGAAAGAACAGATCTTTGGAGGGTTGAGTTTGACAACGACGCCATCGAACGTCGCAGGTCCAAAAAACAGATCTCGGGAGGGTTGAGGCTGACGACAACCACCTTGAAAGCCGCAGGTTGAAAGAGGAGATCTCGGCAGGGTGTAGTTTGACATCGACCACATCAAAAGTCGTAGGTTGACCAGAAGAGGTCTTGAGAGTTGAGGAACGACAGAAACCCTCTTTCCATGCAGAACAAGCATACCATTGCCCTTACGGTCGCTTCCGTTGGGGCGAGATCCGCTGAGGCGCTACTGATGGAGTGAATGCGCGGCCGAATTTTGCAGGTCATCCCCATCTGAATCGTGCGAGTCCTCTCCGACATCCCAGTGCCTATCCGACGAACAGGCCGTCCATACGGTGCGGTGTGAGGAGATGACGGTGCTGGGGCGCCTGATCCGTAAGAGAGCGGATCCCAGATCCCAGCCATCCCCCTCCGTTAGCAATCCAAAACGTCCCAGCTGTGACCTCCACGCCCAGAAGAGATGAGCCAACCATCCCCTTCGTCGTCGTTAGATGTTGTACTACGGGGCTCCCGTGAAGTGCATCAGGAACCCCGCAGCTCAGCAGGGTACAGGGAGTGGAATCCTGGTTAGTCCAGGTCTCCCCACCTACGAGAAGTTCAGATTTGCTTAGCCGTGGTCCAGGCGGAAAGAGAGCCTTTCGTCTATGGGCACTCACCAGCGTGATAGTGGGCATTAAGACGAGCACAGAAAACCCTACAGGATATTCGTGTAAACGCTGGCGGCGGTTTGCAGGTGTTTGGGGGGCCACGTCCAGCGTTTTTCAAGGGGATGTCACCAGGGAAAAACGACAGGACGGGCCGTGCTGAGCCTGCTGAGCCCCGCCGCATAGTAAACTCATAAAAGGTGAGGGGACTTTCCCAGGCTTTCCGTTTTACTCTCCCGTCGAAGACCACACAACTTCGTCTTTTAACAACATCAACCACCACCACTTCTTTCTCTTCTCTTCTCTCCTCCGCACCCACAATGAGCACCAAGCCCGGCCCCCGCAGCGTACGTATAGACTTTTCTGTCTGAATTCGGAGCGTGGGGAAACGCGAGGACCATGTCCGAAGTCCACGATGACGATGACGCTGGTGTTGCGCTCGGTTCCCTAGTTCTGACGGCTCTTGCTTTCTGATATCGCATAGGTCTTCTACGAGGCGGACCTAACCCTCATTGAGGGAGTCCAGAAGTTACTCTGGACCTACAACCAGGACCGCGACATCGTCGGTATCATCCTTGCCATCAAGGATGGCGAGCTCACCATCAAGCTCCCCTCTGACTTCCCGGATTACAAGCGGGAAGGCCTCGAGAGGTATGAACTATGTCAATGCCCTTGCTATTGTTCCTTGTGTCTGACGAAGGCCACGCAGAGAGGTGAGGAGGATCAAGACGATCCTCAAGTCCACAACCAAGTGGAAATGCGTGTACATGCCCGTCGTCGGTTCGTCCCTCGCAAGAGGAATGAGGGGGTTGAGAACTTCCGACCGTACGTGTTGGGCGCTCGAGATGGCAGTGTGTCGTTGTCATCATACGCGCTCACGCAGTTTTCCTTCCAAAGGTCCCGCCCCGCCACCCCGCATGATGTCTGCCGCCGCCGCCGCCGCCGAGGAAGCTGCCGCCGCGCACCAGACCGTGGATTTCGCGGGTAAGGACAGTGAAGCTGCGTATCTGAGGGTTGGAGTGTGTCGATGACTTATGTCGAGTACCGTTGGCAGGCGCCGCTAGCCGCACGGTCGTGTGTGACGGTAAGTGTGCGAGTGATATGTAAAGTCGAGAGTCCAGACGAGAGATGGAAGAGAGGAAGTTGCGTGTTCTCCAGCAGGGCATCGAGTGCCATAGGCTCCGAGCGCCGGATGAAGCGCTATTGGCGTTTTTATTGTTGGGGGCAGCGGGTCCAAAGAAGGCCGGTGGTTGAAGGGACGTGTGGACGAGTGTGTCAGCGGCGGCAGGTAACAAACAATAGGCAATGGTGTGAGCGAGTCACAGCCAACGGTGGTGTGGGCGTCACACCGTGTCATGTTCGTTGTAAGGTTCCTGTGTGCTGCGCTGGCCCTCCCATTTGGCGCCCAAAGCGAAGAACTTTTAAAGGATCATCATTACGGAGGAGAATGTGCATTGTGTACCAAGTTTACCGACGACCTCAGAGGGAACACCTGGAAAGCGAACACCTGGAAAGTGAACTAACGCACGTGACTGCTTTCTTTTCTTGCTTTGTTTCTAGGCTCGACCAACACCGACCCCATCCCGGGCTTCTTCGTAAGTTTGCTCTATGCATGAAGTCATGGAGTCCTGATATTGACTGTTTTTTTGGTTCATGCATCGTCTATAGGCCCCCATGCAGGAAGAGAGCGGGCGTTTGCGGAGGGAGCAGATGGTGAGGGAGGCGAGGGACCGGGCGGAGAGGGAGGTGAGGAGGTTGGAGGGGGAGTTGCGGAGGGTGGAGAGGGAGAGGGAGAGGGAGAGGGAGTTGAGGCGGGGTTTGGAGGAGGAGAGGCGGAGGGAGAGGAGGCAGGAGAGGAGGGCGGGTCGTGAGGACACCCGACGCCGTGGCGATTGAACTTTTGGGGTGAGTTCCAAATTTCCTCGCAAGTGCAAGCCTCGTAACAATATGCTAGTTACTGGATCATTATAGGGGGGGTTATTTATTGGGGGGGAGGTGAAGGCTGGGGGGAAGGTGGGGGGAAGGTGGGGGGTTTTTTTTTTTTTCAATACAAAAACGGTGGGGCATTGCCACCATAAAATCCAAACCTTCGGCCCTACTCTATTTTCAATTTCCAAAAGTGACGAGTTGGGATCCGGGCTGAAGGAACCCCTGAACCCCGCCACCCAGTCAAAAAATTGCATGCAGTGATGGACCCTAACCCTAACCCTAACCCGAACCCTAAAAGTTCCCAACAGTGGCTTTATGGCAAAGTTCCACAAGGAGTAGATCCCAAGAGACTAGGAAAGAGATTGAGAGATATGAGATGGAGTTACACCGTACGCCGTTATTTTACGCCAGGTAAATGCGCGGCCGTAAGGAAGGCAGATAAGAAATATCTCGGGCGGGAGGCAAGAAATATACTCACTATGAGACTGATCTGTATCCGTACTTTCCTCAATTCTTCGTTGTTCTGTCTGATAATGGCAGAGGACCAGGATTTGCTCGTTCTCTGAGGGGCTGCTGGGACACCGGGAAACGTTTCGCAGTGTTCGCGCCCTGCATCGGGGGGGGGGGGGGGGGACGGCAGGGCGAAACGAGAGGATGATGCCGGGAGGGAACAAGAGGAAGACGCCTGGCCCGTGTCAGAGGAGGCAGGCAGAACAGAGTCGAACGGTACGGGCGCGGAACGATCGGTTGCCAGCTGGCGAAACTATTCGCCAATAAGAACCTCGGCCAGCACGTGGAACGTCAGACTACCGGGTATCGGGAGATGACTTACTGCGACGGGCACAAGTATATGCGGGAAGAAGGAACCGGTGTTGGGACAGGGCAGGCAAAAGACAAAGAGGTCCAAGTTATTTGTCCTCCGCGTGAATTTTTGCAGGAGGAGAGCGGGGCTGCTAGTTGTACGCAATATACAGTATGATTCAGATAGCCCTCCTTTAATACAAAATAGCCAGAATGGCCCTGTTATCCACGCTCCCCTCCACTTCACACTATAATAAGCGACATAAACTTGGTGACTATCTGGGTATCTGACCTAATCCCTTTCCCTCCTCAACTCCCTCTCCACCCTCCTCAACTCGCCCTCCGCCCTCCTCAACTCGCCTTCCACCCTTCTCAATTCCCTCTCGGCCCGGTCCCTTGCCTCCTTCACCATCTCCTCCCGCCGCAAACGCCCGCTCTCCTCCTGCATGGAGGCCTGCACCTTCTTCAACTCCCTCAATGCCTAGTCCCTCTCCTCCGTCCTCCTCCTCTCCTTCTCCTCCCTCAACGCATCCTCCTTCTCTGCAAACGCCCCAACGCCCACTTCGCATCCCTCAACCCCACCATCTTCTTCTCCCTCAGCCACCAGGTGTGGTCTTCCTGTTGGGAGGCCTAGAAGATAAATTGAAAAAGAAAAGAAAGCCAATGCCACCCATGAATTGCAAAAATGAGCATATAGTTCTCAATAAGTTCTCAACCCCCTCATTCCTCTTGCGAAAGACATACCGGTACCGACGACGGGGATAAGCACGCATTGCCACTTGGTTGTGGACTTGAACTTGCCGAGCTCGCTGCATGGCCTTTGTCAGACACAAGGAAGAATAGCAAGGCCATTGACATATGAGATCATACCTTTCGAGGCCTTCCGGCTTGTATTCCGGGAAGTCAGGGGGGTGTTATGGACGACGCGTCCATACCATGCGCTTACCTCATGACAGCATCCCAACAGTCAGTCAATGTCAATTCCCTGTCAAAACCTGACATCTGCCAAACCTCGCAGCCGCACGCAGCCGCGCTACCCCACACCTGCCACTGCCTTCATTTCTCCACGCAGCCGCACGTAGCCACACCTCCCAACACTCGGCGCTTACAAACCCTTCTCCATACTTCCCCACGTACCCGCCCACAGCCTCAGCGTAGCCACCCCATCCCCAGTCTTCTGTTTCTATGCTTCCCCACCCTTGGCGCTTCTCTTGGCTTCCCTCTCATTCCGTACCCTTCTGCTTCCCCACGCTTCCCCAGCCTTCCCAGAAAAACATAAATAGCCGCCTCCCCTGAGTTCCCCACTTCCTGATCCCCCAGCAGATCAACACCGTCTTCCTAGTCTTGTTCTAGTTCTTGTTTCGGTCTGAATACCATTACCTGTCAACAACCTGCACCACAAGTCGCCTCTATTTCCATCGGCTCCGCCCGTTCATAACAGGGGGAGCTTGATGGTGAGCTCGCCATTCCAGATGGCAAGAATGATACCGGCGATGTCGCAGTCCTGGTTGTAGGTCCAGAGGAACTTCTGGACTCCCTTGATGAGGGTTAGGTCTTTCTCGTAAAAGACCTATGCGATATCAGAAAGGAAGAGCCGTCAGAACTAGGGAACCCAGCGCAACACCAGCGTCAGTCATCTCATCGTGGACTTCGGGCATGGTCCTTGCGTTTCCCCACGCTCCGAAAGAAAAGTCTATACGTACACTGTGGGGGCCAGGCTTGGTGCTCATGGTGTTGGGGCTGAGGAGGGAAGCTGGTGGTGGTGAGCTGTTGGTGGTGGATAGCTAAAAAACGAAGAACCTGTGCCGTTGTCAAGGGGAGAGTAAAAACGGAAAGCCAGGGAAAGTGGTTGGTTGGAAGAGGGCGAAGAAGGTAGGTCGTCGGGGGGAAGGAAAGGGAAGGACAGGCGGACACTCGTTGCCTTCAGGCTCCTCAGGCCTACTAAAACTAAGTCCCCACAGGAACCAGACACATTTCAAGACCCCTCCCGCAGATGAAAAGTTGACGATGAGATTGAGTTGGAAGTCGGCACAGAACTTCCTTTTATGCGGGTAAGAAGAAAAGGGCGCAGCTGGCGCAGTCGGCCACTTCTGATTGGCTAGAAGGCGGAACAAAGAGCAAGTAGCGCACGAACAGAGATGACTCACATGAGCTTACGTAACGCGCGATCTGGATGGCTACGTAGAAGTGGGTAACTCGTGCTAAATGTAAGTGACTCGGGTTAGGGTTAGACTAGTTAGCACAGTTGCCGAGGGGGCTGGTAAGGCCCTGGGAAAGGCCGACTCACCGAAGGCGTTAGGGTTAGGGTTAGGGTTAGGGTTAAGGTTAGGGATAGGGTTAGGGATAGGGTTAGGTTTGTTCATCAAATGGTTCACTTTGGCTGTAAAAAAAGTAAAGGACTGTCCCTTCCTCATTGGCTTACGGCATCAGGTCAACAGGGCGCTAGCTGCTCTGCTGTGATGAGGGTATCGAATGTGTCGCCCCCATGCTCGTCCCGATACCCGGCGTTTACGCATGCGTGGTGTGGGAGCTTTCAGTCCAAGCAAAACCTTCGAGTTGCACGGTAGAAAACGTGCAGAATGCGTGACCCACAAGGACAATACAGTCCGAGCCTCAGCTGCGGAACGCACGGGTGTGGGCTTCTGTAGTTTCGAATCACATCGCAGTTCCCGGTGAACATAACAGTTGCGGCAAATCGCCTGGTGTTGTAGGCGACATATTATAATGGCATTGCCAAACCGGAAAGATTAGATGAGCTACGCTGAGGCTATACTTAATGCATGAGGCGACGACGCCAGGATGACTTTCTGCCTCAACCCGCTGTCTGTGACCAGCTGCGATTTTTTCTTTCCTCGCGATCGCGCACATCTTCCCACGAAAACAAATCTCACCGTCGCCGGCAACATGACTTTGTCGGCGTCAACATGCCAAGCGCCCAGAGGGTGCCCCGACTGAGACTTCCTCTCACAATTTACCGTACGTATAAATCTGATTTTACTCAGCGATCGCAACACGCGTGTAAAAATGTGCTGACGGCTTTCATGTCGTCCTATCGAACAGGCCCCTTACAAAAGAATGAACACCAGCCCTTGGCGACAACAATTTCCTCTGGGACATTGGCGATGGTGATGCCGACAACGCTTCGTACGTATAGAACTCGTGTGTCGGCTTCCGCAAATCGCGTGGGAAAATGTGGAGGAAAAGCATGCTGCCAATCGGTCTCGTTTCCTCAAATCGCATAGGTGCCCGTGCCAGGCCCGTGCGGCATGGCATGACCCGGAAAGAAGGGCTGGTGAAGCTCCTCCTGGGCTACGCCAAAGATGGCGACGTGGCGGGAATGGGACCTCCTCCAAGCCCCAAGATGGGTCAATTGAACCTACGACTCCCATCTCTTTCTCCCTGCTCTCGCAACAACGAGCAGCAGTAGCACCAACCCCACCACTGGCCCGCGCAACGTACATACGTAAACTTTGCTGTCTGGATTCGGAATGCGCGTGAGGAAACGCGACGATTAGGTCCGAAGTCCACGATCACGATGACGCTGGTGTTGCGCTCGGTTTGTACAAGATATCAGAAAGCAAGAGCCGTCAGAACAAGGGAACCCTGATATCGCATACATGTAGGTGTTCTACGAGGCGGGCCTCACCGTCCGGCCTCACAACGCTTTCTCGGCATCCCACAACCCGAAGCAAACGCGGCATACTTTCTCACTCACCGCCTGCAACCCGTCCGTAGTATCGTGGCACCATCGATGCAGAATAGGCAGAATCTCCCCCTCGCCGTCTGCACTTCGTTTTGCAGTATCCTAACACTCCAATGCGGCGAGTCGATGAGCGTAGTCTTGTTTACATTTATTATATTGATTTGGCCGTGCTTGTAATAAAGATAATGAACATCCGGGGAAGTCAATGTATATCGATTCCTACAGAAGAGCCTGCCTGTAGCTTTGACTATGCTCCGGGGAAGAGGGACACGAAACTGCAGCTACAATACATAGCCTGTCGCCGACAACTCACCTTCCGCCTCCGTCCGCGCAGCTTAGTACATAGGAAGGGAGGGAGTGGGGTGTCCCCGGGGTTGGGGCAGGACTTAGTGCTTCCGCCTGCACCGTCCCAACAAAGTACTGTACCTGCGGCCTTGACCTGCGTTCAGTCCGTTGACTTATGCGTTTCGTTTCGCTCATACCCTTTGAGTGATATGGCTCCCGGCTTGAAACCAACATATCCCACAAGCAAGACTTCACCTGGGTTTCTCTTCCATAATCCACTGCTTCCGTTCAGTCTTCGCGAGCGACCCGACAAAGTTGCACCGCCGAGTGAAGCCTCTCACTATTCACCTTTCACACCTCCACGGAACAAAACAAAACTTGACACCTCGCTCCGCACACTGTTTACAAGCTGTACCGTACGGTATGAAGGACTGGGTTCGCCCTTCCTTTGCCACACCCATCCAGTCACCGCTATCCGCGACGCGAGCGAAACGCGAGAACAAAAGGAAAACCTCACACACACACCACCAAACACAAACCTAGAGACGCAAAAAACAACCACCATTCCCGATCACCGGGTGGTTCATACAGTACCGCAGCGACGTGAGGAGGATTTGAACCTCCGCCCGCAGAGCGGAGTAGATTTCTAGTCTACCGCCTTAGACCACTCGGCCATCACGTCTTGATGGAAACCATGGTACGCAAATTTGCTCTCCACCACATTATAGGGCCAAATGCAGGCGTGGAGTGCGCTGATGTGTGCAAAAGGCGGGCCCGGCCACAAGCCGATGGACGTAAAAAGAACTGAAAAAGCAATGTTTCCGTTCAAACCAGCTGAATGTGGGTTGCAAAATGCAGTCAAAATGCCCGTAATGAATGATTGATGGATATGCATAGTATGAGCGAACAAACGAAACTCTGTAGTAGCAGAAATCAGAGCAGTTTGAAACTGCATCTGACATGATATGGATGTTCTTCCAAAAAAAAAAAAGAGGGTTGAAATGAAATGAACGAAGCCTTTCCTCGTCGGCGCCCTCCCAAAAAACCCCATTGCCCTAAACCGCCACCCCCAGGTGCGAATGTATCCCACAACCCACCGCCCCGCCCCGCCCCTCACGCAGCCTTCACCTCTTCTTCCCCATCCCCCACAGCATACACAACCGCTGGATCACACAACCCCCCCACAACCCCAACATACAGGTTCGCGAAAACGGTCCAGTTATGCTGCACGAGCCGCCTGCACCGTTCCGCGAGCTCAATCAGCTCGTCTTCGAGCTCTAAAAGGCCGATTTTCGCGAGTTCTGGGTGGGACATCCGGGGGGTGGTTGAAGTTGTAGTTGTTGTTGTTGTTGTGGGGGCGGGTTTGATGGTCGATGCCGCCGGGATGGGTTTAACGGGGCGTTGATCAGGCGAGGTAACTGAATCCGTACTCGTTGTACTCGTCGTACTAGCCGGACTCGCGGCAACAGTATTCCCTCCCCCAACGATGGTCGCATCCCCCGCAACCCACCGCTCAACAACCCCGCCCACCCGTCCCCTGATAATCTCATACAACCGACTCTCCGGCTGCAACGTACTCTCCACCAACCGTTCCATCATCCCGACCTCCCGTTCGCCAAACTCCCTTCCTCTAACCACCCCAGCCGCACGACACATCTGTAATGTAACATGCACCATGGTCGTCTCGTGGTCGTTAAGCAACACCCAGAGTGTTCGTTTGAGTTCTTCGAGTTGGTTTTGGGAAGGCGGCCGCGGAGCACCGGCGCAGGCTTGCCGGAAGAGAACGAGGAGAGCGGCCATGATTGTGATGTCTTGCCAGTCGTTGTAGTATTGGACGAGGCGGGAGACGTCCATGCGCAGGGTTTCGGGGAGGGGGATTGTTGTGGGGTGTTGAGACAAAAGATGACTTTGAGAAATCAAATGTAAAAGTGATTTCAAGTGGAGTTGTTGAACGGCGGGCGGTGGTTGTTGGGCTTTCACTGGTGTTGTTGTCGTGGTTGTTGGGGAGGGCGAGTTGGGCAACGAGTCCGGAAACCACTTCTCGAGCGCCTGTTGCAGCCACAGAATCGTATCGTCGAGTTTGATGGCTTCGGCCTCGTACTGGTCTTTGAACCACCGCCATTCGAATTCGGTGGCATGTTCGACGACGTAGGGGCGTACGCGTTGGAGTTGGTGGTTCGCGTAGTCCTGGCAAAATAATCAAATGTCAGATCACGAATAGTTATCAGACATCAGAAATGATTCGGAACCTACCAACTTCATCAATTCCAAAACCTCAAAACACGTCCTCAACGTCCTCACAATATCCCCACCCTTACACCACTCCACCATCTGATCCACAAGCTCATCCCTCGCCGGCGCACAATTCGCCTTCAACAAGCCTGCAAGGTAGCCCACCAACCCCACCGGGTTCAAGACCCCATGCTCAATCTGCTGGGCAATCAGCGCAACGTCGAGGTTACGGTCGAGTTCCTCGCGGCGTTCTTGGGTGTAGGGGAGCAGTTCGACGAGGATACAGCGGATTTCGTAGAGGAGGAGGGGGAGACGGAAGGTGTGGCCTTCCGCGACCTCGACCTCGACATCGGTCCAATACGCGTCCCCGGCTTCACGTTTCTCCGCGCCCTGCTCGCCATCCAGATTGGGTTTAAACTGCAATTCCGGGTCAAAGAACAGGTCGTGCCGTAGTTGGGCGTTGGAGAGGATCTCGGTGAGTTCGAGCTCGCGGAGGGTGAAGCGCGTGATTGGGGGAAGGAGGGGGAGGAGCTGGAGGTAGTCTGTTTCTTCCATTTCTTCGAGTATGGAGATGGGGAGGATGCGGAGACGTAGGATGGTTGCGGAGAGGGATTCGCCGGTTGAGGGCGGGGTGGGGTGGGTTGGGGACGGGAAGTCTTGCGTGGAGGAGAGGAGGAGGTCGGCGGCGGCGGCGGTGGCGGCGGTGATGGAGGGGTCGGTGGTTGGGGAGGGGGTGGAGGTGCCTGCGCTGCCGAGGAGGGAGGAAGTGTTGGTGTTGGTGGTCGTGCTCAAGAGCGAGGTGTCGACACCGCGATCGCCGCGGTTGGAGGGGCGGACGCCGTTGGTGCCATTGTTGCTGCTAGCGCCGCCGGGATGGTCTGCTGCGGGCGCGGTGCCGGAAGATGAAGACGGGGCGTTATGCACACCGCCGCTGGGTGGGCCGCGGGAGAGCGATGAAGAGGAGGCCGGTGCCGCTCGTCCATGCCCATCAGCCTGGTCTGCGTTCGCACTCGCATTCCCTCCACTACCGCCATCATTCGCGGAAATCCCACCGCGCAACGCAGCCAGATCGACATGATGTCCGGCCGGCGAAGTATGACTGAACGCGGATCCACCACCACCGGGACTCATACGCGGCCCCACCATCGGCGTCTCGGCGTCGTACTCCTCCCCCGCATCCATCGGAAAATCCCTCAATCCCAACGCACCCATCTCCGCATCGGCGAGTGATAACGTCGTGCGATACGCGTCCATCGCTCTCAGCACATCCGCGCCCGTCCCCGTCAGCGTCAACGTGCCAACGACATCAGACGAATCGCCAGCGGACGCAAGCAACTCTGCGAAATTCTCCGAAAACGATCGTCTCAACTCCATGAATTTGCGCAATTTATGTGCCATGGCCACCGTCTGCGCGCGTTCCACCGCCGCCCCGCATCTGTCCATATTGCGTTTCAGAATGAGCTGGCGTTTGAGGTTGGCAGCCGAAATGGCGTACTCCGATTTGGCCTGGATTTTCAAGCTGGTCAGCCGCTCGCGCTGTTTCTGGAGGAGGATGCGGTATCGGATCTGCTCGAAGCGGCGGCGGAGACGGGCCCGGCGGTCGTGGATGGCGTGGTCGCGGATGGATTGCGCGCGGAGGAGGCGATGCGTCATGCGGGTGTAGATTTCGGCGCTGGTGCCGCGGTCGCGCGTGAAGGGAGGGAAGATAAAGTCTGGGGGACGCGATGAGTTTTTGGGGGATGGGAGGGCTGTTGTGTTGTTGCTGGAGGGATGTGGGGAGGGGATTTGCAGACGGGCCTTTTTCGATGGTGCTTCTTGCTGTGCGGTATCGTCGGACAGGTCTAGTGGCCGACCGGAGGATGTTGACCGGGCAGTGGAGGATGATGACGATGAGGATATGGGAGAGATTGGACTAGTCAGATCCACGTAAAACGACATGGACCTGGATTTGCGAAGCGGAGTCGCATTGGCCACGATCGCTGCCGCCGCTGCTACGGCCGACATGGCCGCGGATGTGGGAGCAGGCCCGGTTCCCGATCGGGCCGACGTTCCTGCCGCCTGATTCGGGTGTAAATGCGATGCAGGCCGCGAAAACGCAGTTTCGATTGCAAGGCGACCCGCTGCGAACGGAGCAGCCTGCACACCGGTAGGACTGTTTGCGCCTACGGATTGCCTCTTTAAACGGCTCCCCGCCACAGCGGCAGATCCCAACGCCAATGATCCGCCCACTCCATAATGTGGCTGTTGCGGCGTTTGCGGTTGTTGCTGCTGCACACCACCCTGCTGCTGCTGTTGTTGAGCAGTGGTTGCTGGAGACGCCGCATTCGGCGTCGAAACCTGCGAGACACCGTTGCCTGCCGACGTTGACGGTGAGACCGGAAGGTCGGCGGCGTGGGGTGTGGGTACCGTGGCGGGATTAGATGTCATGTTTGGCTAATATGGTGGTATGTCGTATTTGGGGAATGGTTGGTTGCAACTTCCATACGCTTGTTACAGCAGGTTCCTCTATTTTCCCGACGTTTTTACGATGGAATTCGCCTTTCTGATATCAACAAGAGAACGGGGGCTGTTTAGTGCATGTAAAACAAGTGAGACGTCATCGGAGAAATATCACACCCACGCCCCCAGACACTGCGGTTCGTGCTGGGGATGGAAGAATGCAACACTTGACGCACCTATACTATGCTGATGGTATGCGCTCTATGAATGACCACTATGGAAGCAATTGAAGCAGTTGAAGCTTTTGAGATTTGAAATGCTATGCCCTTCAGAATTTCAGGTTGCAACTTGCGTAAAAGTTGGCGCGGGCGGGCGGGTGTGACGAGCGAGAGCCGTTCAGACAGACAGTGTAGGCGTTGACGGCGCCACTAGGACGAGGTTAATAGTATCTGTGACCGAATAAGCTTTCCTGGGCCCAGTGGTAGGCGAGTATGGTAGTACGGTGATACTATAAAAGCGGACGAGAAGCGACAAAGAGGAAGAAAGTGTAACGGCGAGAGGCGTCTACTTTCTGACTTTCTGTCGCTTGAGGCGATTACTCCCACGGCTCTCTGACGCCGTCACACGCCGCTACGTGCTCGACCTCTCCGCCACACATCGAACACATACATACTCATAGATTTGGACACACGCAGAGATAGAGATACCCTGCTCAGCATGCATCGTCCACATTCGTCTTCCACGGACTCCATCGAGGGTAAACGGCTCCATGCCATACCATCGTCGAACTTGAGAAACTCAGGATCATCCAAGTTATGCGACCAAACGCAGATCATTTGATGTGTATTGGCTCCTCGTCGCTTGGGTTGGCGACCAAACAAAAGGACATCAACACATCTGGGGATCGCCCGCTTTTGTGCGGTGACGGATGGACGATGGAATTTTGGGATCCCTTCATAAACCATCGCCTATTACGGCGATGCTCGCTGACGGGGAATGTACTAAAGACGCCTTACTCAAATCACGGTAGTAGGCAGTGTCAACGGTAAGATCTAGAGACAAAGTCAATCGCCTCGGGTTCTGGCCCTGAGCAGTGCGACGATCTGAACGATCCACTTGCGAAAACGAGATTCTTTCCGAGCCCCGAGTCGCCCGTACGATCTAATGTCCATGATCCAATGAATTCAAGAGAACTCACCCAACTTCCATTCGCTTGCGATCTGCTTCAATGTCGAACCTTCCCGGCTATAGCGCTTCTCATTGGGGTTGATGCTTCTGTGTCATTTTCCTGATGATTCTGGTGGGGGCTGCCTGCTTTGCGCTTCGGAGGGCACGTTTTGCATCAAGTTATGGCGAAACAATGTCCTTTTGAGCAAACGTTAGTTCCCGGGATATGATATCCCCCTTCCGTCTGACCAGAGTACTCACCCGTTTCAAAAAGAAACCCCAGACTGTGCCTCTTGACATCTAGGGGCAACGGTGATGCAGGCGAACCCTTTCTTGCGCAAGTGGGATCAATTCTTGGAGGTGCGCTGCGATCGATAGGTGAGGAGCTGAATTGTGCGAAAAAGAGGAAAACAGAAAAAATAATTTGGGGGACTGCCGGGGTTTGAACCCGGGGCCTCTCGCACCCAAAGCGAGAATCGTACCACTAGACCACAGTCCGTCTTGATTTTTAGCCTTTCAATTTCCTTCATGTTCATTATTGTCGTTGTATGTACATCTACTTTTGAACCCACCCACCCACACCTTTAAGGCAGGGGAACGTGAGGTCTTCAATCCCAATATACATACAGTAGGTCTTCAATCCCAATATACACGTCTGATCCAACACATGTGCGTTCGCTGAAGAGGTGGGAGTGCACGAGAACGGAAGCCGAAATGTCCTCGGGTATTTATGACCCGAATGGCTCCCCATAGGGGAGGTCCAACCTGACCGAGAATCCGACGCGTCTCACGGGTGAATGCAATTGTCACAACAATTGACGGCCTCTGACAGTGGGCTGCCGAAAATGCCAAAGAGGTGCTCTTTTTTATCGATCCGCCGTACTTAAAGGCGACCTGGTCCTCCGTCGCCTCGCTTGCACCCACGCTTCTTTCCCACTGCGTAGTACTCCGTACAGAATACTCTCACACGTTTGACCTTATCAAGACACCACGACCATGTCCTCTGTCCCCTCCCAAGAACGACCCGAGCAGCCGTCGACTGTCACTGGCAGCACGGCAGCTCAGCAGCCCTCCGTGACACCTGTCGAAGAACGGCCGGGACCTTCTGCAGCCGTCGTCCCCGCCCCTCACCAGGCAGTTCCCGAGACGGTCATTCAGATGCAGACCGAGGAACATGGCGAGCATACCCCTCTCCTTCGCGGGATCAGCCGCCGTACGAGTCTCCCGGAGCTCCTCATTCAAGGCGCCCAAAAGAGACTTCGTCAGATCTCCCCACCTTCTCGAATTCAAGTTGGAATGGAACTCGCAAGGGCGGAGGCGGCTAGTGGTCGCCCACGTCCTGCCTCTGTTGCTGTCGCTGCGGAAGCTAGCCCGATTCGCACCTCGGCGACTGACAGCGCTGCAATGACGCCTGACATTCCGTACATTGCTCCTGCTGGCGATGGCGCTCCTGAAGCTGGTGGACGTCGTGCAAGCATCTACGAGTACATCGAGTACATTCTTACGGAGCTTGCCCATCCATTCGACCCCAAGGTGCCACCCGTTGACGTCGCCGCCCGGGACCAAGCGGAGGCTCTGAAAACGATTGTCAACCACATTGTCGCTGACTTCCAGGCCAACAAAATTACAGTCGACCGCAAGGCCATCAGGAGGATCATCACGCGGCTGGTTTACTCTCGTATCTCCCTCCCTGTGCTCTGCGCTGCCTTCTTTCGCAACTCGGACAACATCAGCTGGGACGTGGCCGACAACGTTATCACGCCGTTGCTTCAATTGACCGACGCCTCTCCGACTGCTACAACGTACACCGTTCCAGATGATACGCAAGGATTTTATCTCCGCTCAAAATCTCTTTCGGTGACAGATGCATGGCTCTTGATTGAGCGCTTCCAGAAACGGTAAGCATACTTCAGGGTTCTGTGTTGGTACGTTGGCACAATCCTCATCTATTGTTCTGTCCCTTGTTCCGCTTGTCCCAACAGCTTTCATCACGAAGTCTTCGTCGACAAGATGATCGAGATGGTGAAATCCGCACGCCTCCAAGGGAAAGCAATTGTGCATTTGCGATATATTGGGATGTTTGAGACGCCAGCGTCGACCCCTGCGGTTCGCCTTCACCAAGACTTGGCCACCACCGCCGCGCTCTTTGCAAAAGTGGAGCTTTGTCTGCAGGAACTTGCAGCCGCTGACGAGCTTGACAACAACCCTCAGTGGGCAGTGTACGAGTTCAAAAGCGTACGAATTCCAGCACAAAGCAGTACCGATCCGTTGGAGGGTGACCTTGTGGAAAGAACCTTGATCGCGTTGTTCGGATACGACAATCTTGTCAACGTCCAGCATGGGGGATTCTTTGCCTCTTATGCGCCAAGCATGGCAGACCGGCAGCTCTTCCAAGGACTGAACACGTCGTTTGGACAGACCTTTGCGGCAACGGCTATGGTTGGGAGACTGACGGGAAACCAGTTCCTGTTTGAGGGCTATCCACAAACCGTCTACACGGCGCAGGTGGTAGCCCACTTCAACAACGTATCTACATTCATCAGAAACAACCCTTCGACATTGGCGAATATGGACTACGGTGAGCGTTGGAATCAATTCTTGATCAAGAGTACGATTTACCAGGTATTTTAAGATGGACGCCATTGCTCTGGCTGCCTGCCTTTCAACTAATCTCCCATTCGCATCGCTTAGGCGATCCCCGGTACCCTGACGGTGACTGACGGCAGCACTCTGGTGGTTGCCATTGGCAAGGATCTGCCAATCGAATCAACCACGCTGAGGGGAGATGCCCGGTTCTTCTTCGGTCAATCGCGCGCTGGTGCCCTCACAAGGTCCCTGCTTACGGATCTCCTACAATGGGAGGGATTGTCAGCATCCACGGCTCAACTCGTCCTTGATCTGATTCCGTTTGTCGACCTCTGCCCGTGGCTCGTCTTAGCCTTACTACTGAATGCAGAAGACTTCCTCTCGGCATACCTTCGCATCACACGCCCGTGGATCACCATCACCTTCTCTGCCTTGGTGTCCAGGACCCTAGCGAATGGGTTCCAATTCTTCGGAAACCTTACTGGGCAGGGCAGGGCCAGTGACGGTAACGGCGACAGGAGCGCTGGTACCACCGGCGGCAGTAGCAGCACGGGCACCGCCGGCGTTTCACAGGTCTTCCTTGAACTTGTCGGCACCATCCACGTTGCGTCGTTTGACAAGAGATGGCTCAACGACCCAAGTGCCGAAGAAGCTCCAGACAACTCCTATACAGTGGTCATCTGCCACTACCACCCGGGGCGAAACAAATATGGCGCCCAGCACGATACCTTACGCCGCGTGTTCCTATTGACATGGATGGCCACCTTCGTTCTTCTAGAGGAAGCAAGGCTGGCATTGCAGGGGATGGGGATGGGGTCGCGGTCTCGAAAAGCCACCTGTCTCGAAATCAAGGGACGTACGGAAGCCCGTCTGCAAGCGACCGGGTTCACCACGGCTTTCACAACAGCAAAGGCCGAATTGAGCCGTTACCTGACGGCCCATGGGACGGCGCGTGCGGCGAAAGGAGCGCCTCTTTCCGAAGAGGTCAAGGCCATTCGGCATGCAAGATTCGCAAATACCCGGCTCTTGCAATTTGCCAACCTCATTGCCATCGGAGACCCGGGGTCGTCAGAGCGCAGGACACAGCTAGAGCGACTGTACAAGTCACGCCGCCCGGAACTTGGGGTCCATATCAACTTTTCGAACCGGGAGCAATGGTTCAACTGGATGGACAGCCGGACACGGGGCGTGTCATATGTGACTAGCATCATTTCGGCAGTGACCTCAACCTTCTCCGCTGGCGAGCGTGGCATATATATCCGCTCCCTCGGCTTGCCCATCAACGCGACCCAAGCACAGATCGAGGAAGCCAGTCGACAACGGCAAGCGCAACTGAGAGCGAGCCGAGCGGCCTCTGCATCATTCCGCGCAGCTCAGCAAACCCGTGCCCTGACCAGCCATGGCCGTAACGCAGACTCAGTACTTTCAGCGGCCAACCTCCCGTTGGAAGGACAAGAGGTTACTCGCCACGAGGGCAGCGGCACCTTCTCCTTCTTTGGGACCGTCAATGATAAACCGGTTCGCATCGTCGTCAACGCCAGCAGTACCATCCTCAAACGAAACCCGCGGCTCTCCTTCCGTGATGACGGTCTTGCCTTGACTGCGGAAGATGGTGCGGATCTTGGAGTGATCGTCTCATCTGCCACCATGCCATTTTTGAAAACGCACGGTCACAACCTTTTCACTGTTTGGAAGGCAGAGGTGGAGCGGAGGATCGGACGACCACTTGCGCCCCACGAGACAGGACAGCTTCCCGCACCCGCGGGGCAAGACCCAAACCTCCCAGCTTGGGCTGCAAGACGCAAGCTGTACAAGATCAAGCCTGTGCGACAAGATGGGGCGCTGTGGCTGTTCCGGCAATGGTTGGATGAAGAATTTCCTGATGCGGTGAATGAGATCCGACACCACTGGGAGGATGCCAGCTTGCCCTTCACCACGAGGTTCCCGACGTGGATCACAGAGCATTACCCTGACCATCCTTGGGCCGCTTGGTGGAGGGCATACATGTTGGATCCACCACACACGAGGAAAAAGACCGATACTGTGCGTGGGTGCGTTGTCGCATTGCGAGGGGAAGTCACATCTAACAAGCAGTACCTGGTGTCTGCTGGCGTGAGCGGGAAGGTTTGGGTGTTTGGACCCCCCCGGGATGATGAAGATCTTGAGTGAGAGGGAGAGAGAGTATGAGAAGGAGAAGATATGAGATTAGGACTAGGAATATTCCTTTTCATCGGCGTATACCGTATATGTAGTTTGTTACCATTACTTAGCTTCTCGTCGTTTCGAAACTTTGACCGCTTTTCTTTGTTATACTGGCGGTCACTCACATGTGCGGCTCGCAATATATGACTTGTTGTTCATGGTCTGTCACTGCTAGGCCGCTAGGCCGGGGCCGCAGGAAGCGGTGGGTGCTGCTGAGCTTTTGATAACGACGGCGACGCCCCGCCTTGCTAGTTCCCAAACTCGCTTTCTTTCTTCGAGAGGGACCAGGAGGGCGAGAGGGAACAGGAGGGAACAGGAGGGAACAGGTGTTGCGGGTTGGCAGTGTTGCTGAATCTAGGTGAGTGGCGGAGCACAGAGGGGGTGGTAGGAGTTGACTGGGTGGCCGGTGCAGACGGTGCGGATGCGGACGTCACCCTGGTGGGAGGTGTTGAAAAAGGTGCACCATCTAGTCCAGGCTGGGGAGGCCATAGGCACAGTCAAGAGGGGCGTGTGATAGCCCCGGAGGTCTCCCTGTGTGGGGTGTCAGTTTGGGACCCGGCAATTCTGGCAATGGCGCAATGGCAATGGCACAATGGCAATGGCGTCGGAGTGAGGAAAAGGTGTATTTGTCGCGTGGATCTGCGTGAACCTGCGGGCGTTTCTGTGCGCGGATACTCAATGATCTATACTTGCGCCTCGGGAGAGAAAGAGCTATTAGGGTCGCCCAGAACAGCACTATATATACTGTACTGTACATACTGTACTGCGGTTCAGAACCAGAATACCCATCGGCAAGATGGCCAGCGTTGACGTGTCCATCGCGGACGCTGACAAGCATCTCAGCCATCGGGACCTTCAGTCTGCTTTCGAAGGCTACCTTTCAGCGCTCACCGTCATAGTCCAACAGCTTCGCGAAGGCACAACGTTTGGTGAACCAGAGCCGGTCGCAGAAACGCATGGAACGCAAACCGATGCCGAACCAACCACTAGCAAACACCTCAAGTCCGTCGCGAAAGGGCTTCCCGAGGACGTAGAGCGGCTGTTTGACTTGGGGCACCTATGCTTGACTGAGGTGGAGGATATCATCTTAGGCACTGTCACATTCGACGATCTGGACACGTTTGTGGAAGATGAGAGTGCGTCAGATTCCGACGGGCAAGGAGAGGAGGAGAAGAAGGAGGCAACCGACTCGACTACGGAAATGAACGAACGACGGCCTCCGACCCACGCAGAAAACTCGTCATCGAGCAGCATGAGCAGTAAACGAAATAGTGCGTTTCGGGACCATCGGTTGTCGAGGGCTAGGACGGTACGGTCCTTGCAGAGGAGCTCGACTCTGAGTAGTATGATGAGACGGTCTGGATTGCTTGGACCTGGCATGGAGTTGGTGAGTATGCCAATCAGAAAGCTCCACATTTCAATCCAAGGCGCTAACTCAAAAATGTTGGATGTAGGGACAATCCAACTCGTCTTCCGCGATGGCAACGCCACCCCGTTGGATACTGGAGTATGGACGAGCGCATTCACCAGATCCCGGGAGTGGTGCAGGGGGTCCCGCTGAAGAAAGCGAACGTATTCATCGGCAAGAATCCCCCGAAAAGGAAAAGCCGGCAGAATTGGAGTCGCATTACGATCCAGCGCCTCCTTACAACGCTGCTCAGGGCGCTGAAGGACTCCGTTCACGTGATTCCTTGATCTGGCGATTCCCGTCGGTTCCCAAACACATTGATTCGCCCGAGGTCCCTCCAGCATCTGTATCTGCGCCACCTCCTCAGAATACAACGTCAGCCGACACCTCGTCGCTCAAGTCAGTGAGCACAACAGCATCCGCCATCACCTCCGCATCCGGCGCGGATCGCGGAGGCAGTCCTACGCGGGCTGCATTACTGCGGCAGGACTCGCAAGCTTCATCTACCGTGTCACATTCTCCACCAGCAGTTACACCACCCCCATCACATCCTCAGGCTTCGTATTTTAACCCAACTGCTCAGCACCCCCAACAGCAGCAGCAGCAGAAACAGCAACAACCTCAGCGCGCTCTACCACCATACCTCCCCCAGATCCCTTCTTCGCCTCTGTATCATCAGCAGGCTATCTTGACCGAGCATCTGACCCACGCGGCCGAGCAGCTCCGTGAGCTCGAACAGACCCGGCAACCGGGCCGGCCATCTGAATCTTCGGCAGGCGCGCTGCAACAGGTGCGCAGATTGGTTGAAGTCAGCGGCGTCGCAAAGCAGAAACTAGCGCAGCTCGGCGCTAGTGTCTCTGAATGGGACCGGAAAGCGCTCCTGGACGTCGCCGCGGAGGATCTAGCGCTGGCCTTGCGAAATTACGACGTAGACATGTTCCGGGCCGTTACAGGCGTCGACGTTCTCAGCTTTTACAACAACAAGACCACCGGCCCCGCCGCCGCCTCAATCGACCCCGACTCCCCCCTCCGCCGCATTCAAGACTTCTCCCTCTACACCCACCGCCTCGTCCAATCCACCTCCCTCTCCCGCCCCAACCCGCCCGACCGCGCCGCCCACATCACCCACTGGCTGCACACCGCGACCCACCTCCAGCAACTCTCCGACTACGCCGCCCTGCATGCGATCCTCTCCGCACTCGCGTCGCCGCCTCTCGCCGCCCTCAAACAAACATGGAAACACGTCCCGAAACGCGAACGCGCTTGGCATCAAACCATGTGTGAGCAGCTACTACCTGTGGGTGACGGCACGCGCTCCACGGGAATGGCAGACCTAATAACTGCCCTCGCCACACCGCCCGCGATCCCACCCCTCCTCCCCTGCCTCCTCGCCGAACCGACCGCGCACGCATCCCTCCAACTCCTCCGCATCTGCAAAACGGACGAAGGCCTCTGGGATGCGCGCTGTGGCACGCTGGTTGCGCCATTGCCCCCACGGACGATTGGGAGTATGCATTGGGTGGTTACGCAGGTGTGGATGGCGGAGGGGGATGTGCTGAGGACGAGTTTGGAGAGGGAGCCTGTTAGGGAGAAGGATAGAGAGGGCGGGAAGGATCCGAGGGTTGCGGCGCCGGTGGTGGGAGGACAGGGGCGGGAGGGGGATGAGACGTTGAGGAAACGATTCCAGATGTTGGGGTTTGGGAAGAAGTGAGAAGTGAAAGCTTGGGGGGGGAGGGGGTTTGCTAGCGTAGTTATGCCGCCTTTGGTGAGTTTTTTTTTTATGATTATGTACTGTTTCTTCATCATCCCGATGAAAGAGAACGTTGCTCGATGCAAATACGTTCCTCCGTTGCGTATATATGATGTGCGATTGTTGGAATATGTCAGGGAATCCGCGTCCCTCTCGGATTGTTGTCCGTTGTGGAGAGGCCTCCCCATCCCGTTGTGAGGTCACGCGTCTGTGGCGGGGATGCGCCTTCTGTGAGGGGAGCGGGAGGGGCCCCAACTGCAGCCGCTCTCAAACAGGACAGACTCACAGGGAACAGAAGGCAATCCCATCTTCCCACGCACAGACCGGCGCTTCCTTCACCCTCCCAGCCAACCCACACCCCCACTCTCGTCTCGCAATGTCCGCTTCAGCTGCAGACGGAGCAGGCGCCCACCTCCAGCGCACCGACGGTCAAACTGCGCACAGTAACCACACAGCAGAGACACCGAACGGGACCCACGACTCTTCCTCGACAATAGCTTCGGCAGGAACGACTCACTCTGCTTCGTCGTCGTATAGCACCAGCGGGATGGTTAGCGAGAGAAAGGGCCATGAGGCGTCTATTGCTGCGGTTGTGGTTGTGGATGGGAAGATGTATAGTGCGGGAAAGGACAAGATCATTCAGGTGCGTTCTCGTTCGCTGGAGTTGACGGAAGCAGGAGAGCAGTCAGGTTCTTCGGTAGAGTGCTGACATCTTATCCATCCATATAGGAATGGGATGGAGAGACATTTGAACCCCTCCGCGCGCTCAAAGGCCACGACCGCTGGATACGCGCCCTCGCCGCAGGGCACCAGCAACTCTTCAGCGGCTCCTGGGACGAAACAATTCGAATCTGGTCCCTCGAATCCGGCGAATGTACGCACATCCTTCAAAGCGGGCCCACACAAGCACTTTACTACGACGAAAGCTCAGCGCGTCTCTATTCCGGCGGCGCCGAGTCCGCGACCGTCTACGAATGGGATTCGAAATCCGGCGCGCTGGTCGACGAACTCGACCCGGCTCCGCCTGAAGCTGACGCCAGGAGCAGGAGCATGGACGGCGTGACGTGCATGACGGGCGACGCAATGCGGTTGTTTGTGGGCATGACGAGTGGGAATATCGAGGTGTTTAGCGTTCAGACTGCGACATGGGCGGGAACGTTCAGGGGTCATGTGGCGGAGGTGACGGATTTAACGGTGTGGAAGAGCAGCGAGTCGCACTCGACGCCTGATGGCACTGGGATCTTGTTTTCGAGCGGACATGATCAGGTGGTGCTGGAGTGGGCGATTGGGACCAGCCAGCTGGTGCGACGATTCGAGGGTCATAATTCCTACGTGTCGGCCTTGTGCGTCCTTCCCATGTCCTCGACGGATCTGCGAATGAAAGCCCCGCCGCGAGGAAAATCTGAGACAGCCTCAATAGACGCAAACGGAGATCCGAAGACAGATCAGCCGGCAGATCATCACGAACCCGCTCCACCTCGCCACCGACACGATTCCGTAAAGCCAAAGCTGGTCAGCGCCGGATGGGACGGTGCCCTGAGACTGTGGGATCTTCGCACGGGAAGTTTGGAAGGGTTTGTGGAACGTGGCCATCGATTGAGCATCAACGCGGTTGTGCCCCTCGGCAGAAACCGCATCATGACCGCTGGTGCGGATGGCTTGGTCAAGGTTTGGTCATTAGGTATGTGGATGTGGATCGCAGTGTCTATCCCTACGAATGAATATGTCCATAACGGGCTCAATATTATCTCCTCACAGAAACACTTCCAGCCCCTCCTCCGCAATTCCGCGCTACTGCATCGCCAGTTCATGGTGCCTTCCATTACCTGATATCCGACGATTTGCCCTACACATCGGACGCACAGACCTCCCAGTACTATACGGCCCCTGAGCAACAAGGGGGCTATGCACCTCAGGATTTCCAGCAACAAGGCTACCAGCAGTACACTCGACAATCACAGCAACAAAGGCCACAATCCTATCGTCCGAACGGAGTGAATCAACAACTGCAAGCCCAACAACAACAACGTAGCTACAACAACCAACAACCCCCGCAAGCCCAACGCCGCCGCCGAGGCAGCCAAACCAGCAACCCCGGCAACGGCTCCTCCAACTCCTCAAAACCCTACAGAAACGGCGAACCAATTCCCATAATGCCCAATCCTTCCCCCGTCTTCCACAACCTTTACACCCCCTTCCAACCCGCGCCCTCCCAATACCTCCCCGTGCAGTCAATCAACCCAGCAGCCTACACCATCCCCCCCCGCCCACCCCCAATCCAAACAACCGCCCCAACCCGCGCCATCTGCACCTTCTTCCTCCAAGGCCGTTGCCGATACGGCGACGACTGCCGATACGCCCATGTAGCCCCTGCGCCCTCGCCCGGGCAAATGTCGCCAGTGAGCCCGCAGCAGGGGATGATGATGATGATGGTCGTCCCGCAGTCGCCGCACATGATCCATCAGAGCCCGTTGACGCCTGGCGCGGCGATGCAGGTCCCGACCAGTCCGATTATGGTACCAGGCGGACCGCCGTTGTCGCCGATGCAGAATCCGCAGGTGCCGCATGCTTGGGCTTGGAGGTGAAGGGGTGTGGAGACCTCCGGGAAGGTGGGGTGCGGACGGGAACATTACAACTTATACCAAAATGGGACGGGGGGATCTGAAGCGGACGCCGGGAATCGAAAAACACACGCCCGTGAATCCAACACAACAAAGAGGAACCCGAATACGCCCGGCACGGTTGCACACGCAAAACGAACGGCAAAAGGACGTGGGTTTTCGAAAACAAAAGCCTAGCGACACTTGCGGAATTAAAAACGGGACCGCAAAACAACATGGGACGCGAATGCTCCCCCCAGCGAAGCGGGGCAGTGCTACGCGTCTACCCGCCAGCATCACAAAAAGACGGGTCGGAAAACGAAAAACAGGCGGGTCCGAAAACAGAAAGCGGCTGGGTCTCAAGACAAAGAAAACAGGGAGCGCACCGGCTGTGTATACATCGTTTGGCGCGGGGACGGGCGTCCTTTCGGAAGTTCAGAGGTCCTTGCAGTGTAAGCGCACACGCCCTTCTCGGTCTTTGCACATATCCCCCCTTCTTTGCCCCTTTCATTATTCTTTCATTTCTTTTTGGGGCTTACTGTAATGTTAGGGCCTCTCTTTAGGTTTTGGTATGTTCTTTTAAATAGGGTTGGCCTATGCCTCTGTCATTTCCCGATTTTCTTTCCTTTGCCACGTTTTGGGCTGGTTGGCAAACTGCGAGTTCTAATGTATATATTTTGCTTTCATTGGATGAGCTTCAGTTCTTCATTGTGTTCTTTTTGGGATATTTCCTCTATCGTGCGACCATGCTCTTCATATTCGATTCTGTTTCGGTTGCATGAAATGAGATATGCGTGGCGGATGGGATTCTACTTTATTTCTACATGATGATCGAGATACGCCGATGCTTCGTCGCTCCTACTCTAAATCCTTCCCGCTTTCTGAGTGAAGTTCCTCATCTTCCTCATCTCCATCCCATTCCCCATCCCCAACCTCACCAGCGTTGACAGCCCCATCTCCAACTCCTTCCCCAACCTCAACCTCACCTCCATCCTCAACTCGAGCCAACCCGGCTCTCATCCCACTCCCCTTCCTCATCTCCCGAACCCTCCTCGCCGCCGCTCTCCTCTCCTCAATCCGCCCCCTAACCTCCTCACTCCCCCCCTCCCACCTCCCCAACGCCTCCTCAACCCTCCTAATCGCTTTCCGTCCCGCCCCGCGAATCTCCAACATCCCCAAAACATTCACAAACATCTTCTCGTCGTACGCCACCCCCGCCGGCGGCATCTCCTCACACAAAATATCAGCAGCAACAGCGAACCGGTTACACCGGACGAACGCCTCGATCGCGCTGGTGTAGACGTTGGTCCATTCCTGCGGACGGATCCGGAGCGCGGGGTCGGGCCGGAGTGGGGTCCCGGGGCCCGGACGGAGCCGCGACCAGATGTATTCGAGGGCGGTGACGTTGAAGCGATGTCCACACGCATCCAGAGCGACACACGCCGCGGCCGCCGTGACACCCACCGCGGCCTCATCGCCGGTCTGGTCACGGAGCCGGTCGAATAGATGTATGACGGCATCGAGCGACCCGGCGTCGGCGACCGCGTGGGATTGCATGATGGCGGTGATCACGGACGCGTTGGGCGGGATCTGTTTCTGTTGGGAGAGTTCGTAGAATTGGATGGCGCGGACGAGAGAGTTGTTGTGGACGCCGCATCCGTGGATGATTGCTGCGAAGGGTTCGGGGCGTAATGCGGCTCCGGATGATACGGTCGTGTTGTGGTACTCCGTGAACATGGCGATCGCTTTCTCCACCTCGTGCTGGGCAGCGTAGAACGCGATCAGGGTACTATACCCCCGTTCATTCAATGGGATTTCCAGATCCTTCATCTCCGCCATTGTCGTCGTGACAGCCACGGCGTCGTCCGCGGCACTCCACCCAGCAAGCAAATTCGCATATGTGACCGCATCCGGGCCGACATTCCGTTCCCGCATCTCTCCCACCACATCCATTGCCCTTGCCATGTCCCCGTCTAGGACATGCAGGTTGACCACCTGGTTATACAACACGGCATCAAACGCGATCCCGGCCTCGCGTATCCGATCAATCCACCACAAGGCTCGTGAACGGAACCCGCCGGCCGTGAGACCCGCGATGACGGTGTTGTACGTTCGTATGGTGGTCCCCTCCAGTTTCTCAAGCTCCGCGATGGTGGAGTCGACACCGGTGTCGTCGCCGATATGCGCGTAGCTGACCAGCATGGCGCGCCAAACAGCCGCATCGGGGGCGACGTTCCGCATCCGCATAGCCGTTAACAGCCGTTTCGCGACATCAATATGCCCGTTCCGTCCGTGTGCGTGTATCAGCATCGCGTAGGTCTGTTTATCCGGGCCGTAGATGTCGGCATGTCCACGTCTAACATCGACAAGAGCAGCCGCATGCGTCATTTTGCGCAGATACTGATTAGCCAACTCCAACGCGTCGTCGTCGCAGCATCTTTTGATCACCGTGTTGTACCCGACCCTATCCATCTTGATGCCTCTGTCTTCCATTCGTTTGATCGCGGTCTCGATATCCCCCATCGATCCCGTCCTACAAACGCCTTTCAAGAGCACGTTGTAAGTATCCGCCTCGGTGCGTACCCCGCCGTTTTCGAAAATGTCCAGAAGGGCCCAGACGCGGCCAACACGGCCTCTCATAACCAACCGATCCAGTAAGATATTCACCTTCCGCGTTAAGTCAGCATGGCTGAACTCCCCGCGGGCCGTCACAGCTTCCTTCGCCAACTTCTCCACTACGAAGGTAAGTCGTTGCTTGCCCACACCATCAGGCTTAGAGGCAAACTCCTCAACAATGCCCCAATCATGTACCCCGCGCGTCTCCTCCGGCTTCGGTTTCAGCATCGCGCGGAGACCGTCCCGCACGGTCCGTTGCCGTATTCCAACGCGCTGTTTGGGGACGATATCCAGTATGCGTTGAACCAGCGTGTCGTCGAGGGATACGTTATCGTTTCTTGCGGACTCAGCCCACCGGATCGCGGCTTCAAAATTATCCGAACGCACATAGTCCCAGATTAAGGCGCCGTAGGTATACGAGTCCGGTTTGAACCCCGCGGCTTGCATCGCCGTCAAAACCCTCATTTTCCCCGCCTCATCCTTTCGCGCAATCTTCAATTTAATCATCGTGTTGAAATAAACCCTGTCTTTCTCCAACCCGGTCTTCTCAACGTGCTTCTCCGCGATCCGTTCCGCAGTCTCCAACGGTCGATGGTCCTTAGTGGCTCTAAACCGCTTGATGCACCCGCCGATAACGATGTTGTATGTCGTGATCGTCAACGGGACGCCCGTCACCTGCATGGATCTGTACAGCGTCATGGCACGGTCAAACTTCCCGTTCGCGAAATAGGAGTTTAGTATCACGTTGCGTGAGAGGGTCGCTCCTTCCCCGTACGTTGCGGGGATCAGGGCGGCTATCTCGGCCGCGACGGCGTGTGCGTTGTACTTGACACATGTGTGCAAGAGACGTAGGTACATGGCGTAGACATTCTCCATCGGCGCCGAGCGGCGGTCACGTGTTGGGTGTGCGGCGGTGAGGTTCGCAAAGACGGTGTGGATTTGTGTGATCAGGACCTGCGGGGACAGTTCCCTGCGGGTGATTTGTGATTCTTGCGCGGTCAGGAGGCGGTCGAGGAGGGTGCGGGTCGGGAGGAGGTGCGTAGTCCATGTCCGTACTAATGCAATTAACGCATGCCGCTCCCGTGAGCCGTCGGGGTACGAGTCGAACCGTTTTGCGAGGACGGAGTTGAGACTTGGCAATGCGGAGGGAAATTTCTTGATATGGTGTTTTATGAACTCCTCGGGTGTTAACAGCACCCCGTTCCCTGCATACTGTACCATGAAATCCACCAACAGTTCGTTGATCCCGTCATCGTTCCACCCGGTAAGTTGCGCCAACGCCTTCAACTCCCGTATCCCCAGCTCCGTCCGTTTCGCAGCTGAAAGGCAGGTTACCAGCATCCGTCTATCTTCAACGGTCAACTGCCCGCTGGACATCTCAAAAAGCCTATCGTAGATTTTGGCAATATGCACCAACCGCCGGTGCGGTTCCGTGTCCTTCATGCAGGCCGCCATGACCTGGCGCAGGAATACGGGGTTGCGGCGTTGGGAGGTGGTGCCGGATTTAAAGGCACGCCAGGCGCTGGAGGCAGAGACTTGGGTGGGGGTTAGGAGGGGCGAGTGGAGGTGGGCGAGCCATTGGGACGTTTGAAGATGGCCGAGCGTTGATGATGTGGGTTTGTCGGAGTCCGGGTTGAGGGCGGACTGGGCGACTTCGATTAGGTTTGGGTCTTTCTTCTTTGGGTATAGCGATAGCGTTTTCCGCCCGCTGGTTTTGTTCATTGATTTTTTGGTATGACTGTCCTGCTGCTGTGTGTCGGAGTCATGACGCTCGAGGGATGCTGCTGCCTGTTCCTGTTCGCTGCCTGCGAGGGCTTCATCGCCTTCAGGTAAAGCGTCCACCCTCGCCCAACCGTCCATCACCTTCGTCGTCTTGTACGGCGTCTTCCTCCCTCCACCGTCCCGTCCCGCTGTTTCAGTTATGCCATCGTGCTGAGGTTGTGTCGGAATGTGAGTGTGGTTGTGGGAAGCGGCCGTTACAGTCCCGGGTGGTATTGTCTGACCGACGTAAGTCCTGACGAGCAAGCGCAAGTGTCGCAGCGTTGTTGACGAGACCAGGCAGGCGCCTGTGCGTCCGGCCGGGCGGGGCCTCATGGCGTAGCGTGGGCGGGGATGGCGAGCGAAGAACGATGGTAAATGGCAGCAGCGGTGAAGCCCCTAGGTCCTTTCTTCCTGAGCGGCGTTTATGCACGTGGGCCCTTTTTCCCGCGAGCGTTGTGACTTTATGGGCTTGAGTGCAGTACGTAGGTGTCTGGCCAGTTGACCACCGGGCGGGGACGTGTTTTTCCCAACATCCCATGAGAGCCATAGGCGTGAGGGACTCGAGACCATCGTGCATTGAGACGCACACAGAAAGGCACATCGCAGACATATTGCAGACATGAATGGATAGCATGCTGGATGTGTCCCATAAATATATGATTCTGTCGCGACCACTCTACGTAGGTCTACCGTCCCCCTACCTACCAAATCTACCTGCCTCCAACGCCTACTCCCTACCCACTCAGGCCAACCATTTCGGAACACCTACCCCTCCACATACCCTTCCCCCTCCGGCCCCTGCCCCACCTCCTCTCCCCTCCGTTTCTTCCCCCTCCCACCCTCCTCCCCACCCTTCCTCTTCCCACCTTTATACCTACTCGTCGCAGCATGCGTCACAAGACCCTCCTGCACCCTCGTCACCAGCGCCGAGACGAGATAACCCCCCGATCCGGACATCCGCATCATGGGGTGTGTTCCGGCGAGAACTTGGTATTCGCGCAGCCAGGATTCGGTGAGTTGGGCGTTGGTGAAGGAGGGGGAGGTGCGGAGGTGGGTGAAGGTTGGGGTTAGGGTCTGGAAGAATGAATGGGAGAGATGAGTATTGAAAATTAGATGTAGTCTTTCGAATACACGTACCTCCTTGTGAACAGAGTACGCGACGACGGGGCTTGAGCCGGCGAGGTACGGTGCAAGCCGTTGAATGATCTCGTCGTTTTTATATTGCGATATCACGAGTAGTCTGCACCACAAGGACGAAAGTCAGTCTTCTCAATACCTCACCGAAGTGGTAATAAGGAGATATGCAACGCACCCATCAAAACCCCCAGCCTGCAAATACGTCCTCTCCTTCCTAATCCTCATAACCCTCTTCCTCAACCTCTCAATTTTATCCGGATCGGGGCACTCAAACGTCATCGTCTCAAAGTCCTCATCCCCATTCTTCTCCAACCTCGTCCACGCCAGCGTCCTAACCACGTTCGGCAGGTCCGCCGGGAAATTGAGGTATTTAACCAGATCCGCGTTGTAGACGTCGTGGTCGTGGATGACGAAGATGGTACCCCGGCCTTGAAGACGCTCGGCGAGGGCGCAGGTGAGCAGGCCGCCGGCTTCGTCGATGACGATGTAGCGCCCGTTGGGGCGGATGTTGGCGGTTGTGAGCATCTGGGAGAGAGTGTCGATGCGCATTTCGCTGGGGAGGGGGAGGATGGGTTATTGGGGAGGCGTTGGAGAATTGCGATCGCATACGGGCAGCATACTTTATCTTCCTAGGATTATCCTGTGAAAAGTGATTACACAACGTTCGCGCCGACGGCCGTCTTGGGATGAAGATTTTCGAGTACCTGTGGGACGTATCAAACCCACGATCAGCATTTCTAAGCCCACATCAGCAGCAAATCCCAAACACACATACTTCTTCTGTTTCCTCTTGATATACTTCGCCTTTGCAAACTCCGTCTTGTTATCGAACGTGTCGCTGTTCTCCAGCAGGGCTTTGATCATCGTCTGGAAAACGCACGGTTGCGTTTGAGTAAACCACAGTCCCATACACATCTTCCCGGCCCCGATCCGATGCGCCCTACTAAGAAATCAAAACCCACCTCGGTATCCAAACCTCCCTTCAAACTCTGCTTCTTCATCTCCTCAATCTCAAACTGGCTCAGCCGCTGCGATTCGCGACGATCGATCAGGTCCTTGTTGCTGGCGCCTTCCTCTGTCTCGATATCTGCAAAGAAATATTACCCCCCATCGCATCAGTTTACTTTCAGTTTACTTTTCCGCTTCGCCTCGCTTCTCTCCCTATCCATCAATCAATGATGGTCCGTCTATTACCGAAAGCGTCCAAACTATGCAAGTCCGTAGCGGGCTTCACCTCCTTATCCCCATGAATCTCGTACGGCATGTCGAATGGCATGCCCACAAGGTCGCGGGAGCGGAAATTGCCGAATTTGCCCAGATTTATGGTTCTGTTGTCGGAAAGCAAGATATTGAGACCACAAACGCCCCAAAAACAAGGACGGGCAATGCTGCCCCGTTTCACGAAAGGCAAACCGGAAACCTACGTGTTGCCCTTAAGCTGCACAATCTTGGTGTTGGAGGATGGCATCTGCACGACGATCCAGGAGCCTTCTTGCATGAACGAGCTTTGGTTGACATAGTCCGCAAAGTCCGTGTCGGAGAGTGATGCCGGGACTTCTTCGGGGGCTGCTGGTATTGGCTCGGTGACGGGGGTCAGTGTTGGTGCCGGTACGGCTGGTGGGTGTTGGTCTGCCATGGGTTCCAGCTGTTCGTTCGGCGACGGATGCCACAGGAGGATGTGTGCAGTTTGGCCCTTTGGGAGTTCGCCGTTGCCAGCAGGTCTGCAGCAGTTGCTTTTTCGGAGAACACGCTCGCCCTCCTCAGCACAACTTTCAATCCCCACGGATTGCCTGGTCCCCAGAGTCCTCTCCGTCCCAATAACACTTTACCGGTACGCCATCAAGCCCCGGTGGTAAAGGTCCATCACTGCAAAGATCGAAACTCCCTCGAACTGAAGCAGATATCCGCGGCATCTCGCTCCCCGACCAACTGGAAATTGTGAGACAGCGTGAGGAGAGGATGGATAAGAGTGCGGCCTGGGAGGCAGTGCATCAAGAGCAAATATGGAGGAGGAATTGGGCAGCGACAAGGAAGATGATGAAGCCGCTCCGACTATGTCGATGAGGAGTTTGTTTCTCACGAGGAGACTGATACCGCATTCAACATTGAATATTGACACCGAACCATCACCCCACGAAGCCTGAGCTCGTGGCACTGGTGAAGGCCCGAGTTGCAGCACATCACCGGAATGCAGTGCTGGGACTTCCGCGGGCCGCATACAGCGCCGCTGTCCTACCAGGAAGTGGTTTTCATTTTCAGTAGCGGCATTCGTCGCTACGCACTCGCGAACTGCCCGAAAATCAGAGTTGGAATCCGCGCCACCCTCCGAAGCCGGCGTCGACAGCGATGGGAGTACCGGCAGGGGCAAGCGCGGTAACATCAAACGTCTAATGGGGTCGGCACCGTCAAACTCGTTGATGGCAAACGGCGTCGTGCTCTGCGGAGTACCCGCCCGCCTGTAGCTCAACTACCCAATCCTAGGGAACGCCTTGGAGGGCAACGAGTTCGATGTCACGCAGAGCTACGGGGTCGACCGCGAGGTTTTGCAGGGTCCTCTTTCCCCTGCGGACCAATGCACAGTTGCTCAGTTTCGTGCGTTTTGGCTGAGGGACGAGGGGGTTTGTGATTCGACATGGCGAGAAACCGGTCGGGACAGGAGGAAGGTCTGTGGAGTGGGGGCACAAAACACCAACAAAAGCGGTCTTCAGTTGGCAGAACAAGTTAAGCGCAAAGGCGTTTTCCAGAAGACGCCGTATGGTTTACCTGTATGCCTTCGACGTTTCGTCCCGCATAGCGACGGTATTCATCTCCAAGCCAACCCAAAGGGTCGCTTGTCAACAGTACGTTCTATGGCTAGGAACCACTCGAATGTGCATCATAGACCCGAGGATGTCGCAGTGCAGCCACAATCTCGTGATTCTGACCGCACTGCAACACCCGAGGGAGTGATATGACCCCGCTTCGGACTGCAAGCCGCTGATAGATGGAGGCACGGCCAAGGCGGCAGATAGCTCAACGAAGGATGGCTTTTCGTTGGCGCTTGGCAATGATGTAAGTCTTTACGCCTTTCAAAGGTTCACGCTTTCTATGTTCGAAAGGTTTTCGAAGGTCCTCCATTTTACAGGCAGTCACGCCCCTCCTCGGCCGATCCACAGCCTGGTGCGACCCATGCGGACATTTCCCGCAATCCGAAGCGCTTGGAATATACTGCTAGATGCCGGATGATATGTGCTCTTCCTCAAAACGTTCCGGAGATAGCTGACACGACGTGCGTTGGAAATCGGGATGCGTTCCAACCCATTTCGGACGATGAGGAGCAGAGGAGGATCGCAACGAGCTTAAAGCTGCGACCATCGCGACCATCACCGTGGCAATGGCAGACTTTGCATCCTGCATCTCTAAACAAACAAGAGATGATAATCAAGCGACCGGTAATGGACAAGCTGCTGTCTGAAGCGTCGTGAAGAGACTGTAAGCCATGCGTTACGCGCCATTGTTGATAAGGGGAGGCAGTGAACAGCACGGTGCTGCTGTTGTGGCGAAGAGTATCCATCTTTGAGAATGGATTGGTAGTCTCTGTTGCGGAACCCGCCCGCGCGCCTGGGTTCCTTGAGAGCTTCAACGATCTGCCATGTGGACCGGATGGAGGATATCTTCTGGCGACGACATTCGAAAGGTACAGTCATCGCCGCTATTACCCATACATACAATGCCTTTGTGCTTGTGATGACGACGTAAGATGGGACCTGCGAAGTCAGACTAGCGCAACATTGGTTACCACGCCGCGCCTAGCGCAACAGGTGGCATAATCTGAACAAAGGAATTTGTCTGGGAGTGGGAATTGAACTCCTTACCTGCACGTCTGCAGACAAGCAAGTTCTATCGGTTCTATCTCTGCAAAGCACCACAAGTGTTTAGGGTGTCAGATCGCGTCACTTCGCTCGATCGCGTAAAGATGATGCCAGCTCGCACGGGACCTATATGCCAAATTGTTGGGGAATGTGTCGGATCCTGAGGGAAGATATCCACATTGAGTTCGCGACTCCCGTTTGGTGGGAGGAAGACAGGGGTGTAGGATTGAAGGAAGGTGAGCGAGGAACCAGCACGCTCACTGTCAATGTTGAAGTATGGTTTTGTTTTCTTGTTCGGCTGTGAAACGAGCAGCATTCTCTCTAACTTCCATATCTACCTCTTCATACCTTTAGGCATACAGCCTCCGAACCCAAGTTGTCGTCTTTGTGACAATCGTGCATGAATTGGGCCATCTCGTGGCAGCGAGAGCCGGAGCATCATCGCCTATTGTCGCCGTCCCAGGATTCGCTCCGCGGCCGGAAGCGGGCAACTTTATGGAAAATGGATTGTTCGGTGGTGTGCTACGGCATGAGTCTTCACGTCCAACCGTAGACCCTTTCGAGGTATACGTTCAGTCAACCCACGTCCGTCGGATCCTAAGGGAAGATATCCATATTAAGTTCGCGAATCCCGTGGGAGGCCTGCCTTTTCCTCATTTCGGAGTCGCCCGTGCTCTTACCGGCAGCAGCGTAAGTTCGTCATACGTCGGCACCGAGAAATATATGGCGCCCGAGGTGGAACAAAATACCCTCGGCCTGCCGAAGGTTTTTCGCAGGTCGCCCCTCTTCACCTCACGGCCTGGCAAATCAGCCTTTCCGTTTTCCTGCTGTCTTTCCTGCACGCCTGATCGTCGATCCTGCACGTTCATACCGCTACGACAGTGCGCCAAAGTTCATTTGGGAGACATTGCGGACCGTCACAAAAGGCAATGTCTTTGTGGAAGTGGAGCACGCGCAAGCTGCCACCCAATTGGCGATTCCTGGAAGAAGTCGACGTCGAAGGATAGAATTGTCGCCCTTGGAGGTGTTGTAGGTTCTGCAAGGATCAATACTCGCTTTGAAGATGTGGACGGAGAAAGGCATCCCCGACGTGATGCTGTATGCGGTGACGACCACTGAGCTGTACAAAGCGTGCGAGGGTATCGCCCATGGTAAGTAATGTCTGCGTTCCTTTCCGGTATGAAGAATCGACAAGTTCACTTACATTGATCACCAGTTACACTGCGGGAACGAGCAAAAAGCATCAATCAAGATAGGTTTCACTTCTGCACTGCTACCCAAGGCATACGAACGGGGAACCTGATCGCTAACGGCGATGGGAGTCTGCTCGCAAACAAGAAGTGCCTCGGCTTCATTTGGAGAGTAGCGCCGGAGGCGGGATACACCTTTGAGGTTGGCCTCCGGTCCGTCTTCCCACTGACTGTGGCAAGCGCCTGGCATGCCGCTCGGCACTGCCACCCCCACACTATCACCACTATGCATATGGGAATAGGGCCAGATAATGTCCTACGCAGTCTTGGACAGGACGCGGTGAAGCTGTATGGTGACGCAAACATCTTCATCGCAAACACCGGTATCACAATCCTGGTGGAAGATCGCGCTCTGCAATCTCAAGCTTCATCTATTAGCTGGCCTCGCAATTGGGCGGCTGTCCCGCGATTCAACATCCTCAAGCATGCATACGATGGGAGTGGCCGGACGACACATGAGGAGGCCAAGAAGCTGTATGCATTACAGCACCGTGTGGTGGGCGCTGCACGATGGTTCCCTCAAACAGACAGACGTCGTTCAGCTGCATCCCTCGCCCCTTGCCGGCGGCCCAACGCTACCACGCCTTTGCGCAGATCGAAACAACGTGTTGTGGAACTCGTTACTTTATTCTCCTTCACACACACCACTCGTTTTATGGACATTCGATCGGACGGTCTGCACACACCAGCTTTCTATCTGCAGAGAGGAAAAAGGGGATACGGTAACCATAAAAGGAAGCTGTGGTTGATACAGGTTGTTTATAACATCCTCCTCACCTCACTGCATGGCCTTCGTCAGACACAAGGAACAATAGCAAGGGCATTGACATATGAGATCATACCTTTCGAGGCCTTCCCGCTTTTCCGTGTCCATGTCCATGCGCGTGGGTATGCGCAACAGACGCAGTCGGCGGAAAACCCAGCATCGGATTCACCCTTACCCCCACACACCCTCGTCACCACCACCAGGCACCAACATCTCCCTCACCCCCGGCAACACCGTCCCACTCCCCCCCGCCGTTCTCGCTGCCGCCCCAATCCGCTCCACCTCCCTCCTCAACGCAGCATTCTCCCACTTCACAGCCCACACCTCCGCCTCCGCTTCCCTCACCCTTTGGTTTAACTCTGCATCTTGATATTGTTGCTGGAGGAGTTGAGATTCGAGAAGGGCGATACGCGAGAGTGCGGAGGCGAGTTGGGACTCCAGAGAGGCTGTGTAGGCTTCTTTGCGTTGGCGGAAGGACCGTTGGGCGAGCCGGTTTTGGGTGGCGCGCTTGCGGGCGTGGAGGGTGGCGGGGTCTGGGGTGGTGGTTGTTGATGTTGTTGTCGTCGGTGGGGCGGTTGTGCTGCTGCTGTTGCTGTTCGAGTTCTCGATGCTGGTGTTCGGCATCGCGTGCGTGGAGGACGAACGGCGGCCATCCAACCCACCAGCCCCCATCGTCTCCCGCGGCCGTACCCCTCCTTCCCTTTTATACGTCCCCATCATCGCCTCACCAAACAACATCCCCGGCTCGCCTCCCACCATCGATGGAGACCTATCTACACCCGCCGCATCATGCCACGACGATACCGGGGGCGTCGCAGACCCTAGTGTGGGCGTAATAGAACCCGCGTCGTGATATTCATTCCGCCGCACGAACGCAGCCTGCAGCGGGTCCATAAACGCGATCGTCGGATCTTGGGTGCGTATCATCCCCCGCTCGTCTCGCTCGACGGTCGTCCCATCACGCGACTCCTCGTCGACCTCTTCATCGACGTCGGTGCCGTCTGTCATCATCTGGGTGTCTTCATCTTCCTCGCTGTCGATTTGATCGTTATGTGGGTATACGTATGCGTACGCGTGCGATATATGGGGCCCGGTGTCCCAGGGCGACGGATGGTAGTGTGGGGGGAGGGAGGGATGTCTCACTGAAGCTGTGTGCAAAGCCGATGAAAGCGCTTGTGGACATGCGATCGCAGACCCCGTTGGCGTATGCATTCCCGTCGTAGCCGTACCATGACCTTGGCACCTCGACATGTGGAAAAGGCGCGGGATGTGGAATGTATCAAAGGCGATGAATGTGCGATTGTCGGTGTTTCAAATGAGAAACGCCCCGGGGGTTCCTTCAGATGCTGCCGGAGATGTATGGAAGGGCATCTGGGTATATATCGACCACTTTTTTTCCCCAGCTCTCGTTTCCTCTGGGGGTTTCTCCCGCGATGCCGCAGTGCGATGGGGATATCCCATCTCGTGGGGGTCTTACTCCTTCTGGGAGTTCCGAGCGCATGGTAGCTTAAGGCATCACATGCATGTCCGGTCCCCAATCGCAACAGTCTCCGACCAAACACGGTGAAACCGAGTCTGACATGAGTCAAACGTCAAATGCCAGATCCAAGAAACCCAACATGACGCCAGCAGCCTCCGCTTTCCGGTCGCCGAAGGCACGGGTTCGACGGGGGGAAGAAGGCTGATCAGAATGCCCGTGGTTGTGGGAGTGGGGGGATTCCAGTCCTTGGGGCTATTTGGGAATCTCGGAAGATGTGGGGTTGTGGGCATGTGAAGGAATTTGCCTTTGAGGGTCCGAAAAGGTATACGAAGTGACGCCAGGGTTTCTGCGAGTGGGATCTCCACACATTTGGGCATGTTACGCATGTGCCCGTGCTGGCGTATGGATCTGTGATCATAAGAGAGATATCCGAGTGTCCACGAGAGGTTTCCTCCCTGCCTGCATCGTCTTACGCCGGCCATTTGTCGTTTGTATCTGAATGCTTTTGCACGGGACGCGTAACGAACGCGTATTTCGCAAATACCGTAAGCAGAACCCGCACGTCGAAGCACCCGGCGTCCAGATTGAGGACCCACCGACACGCTCCGATTCCCTAGCGTAGGTATGTCGAAATGGGCACACTGTAGCGTTCCGTTGGGTCGAGGAAAGCCGGCCCTGTTCCACGTGGCGGTGCAACAGCGGCTTTGGCAGATACGTTTTGGCCATCACGAGCCCCGCCGCTGCTCCTCCCGTGCCCGTGGGCGAGCAATATCGCGATGGGTTGGGGGTCGACATGCGTATGTCGCACGGGACTCACATCGAAGGAGCGTTGCATTTTGGGGCGGGCAAGGGCTGGGTGAACGAGAGTTCTGGGCCATTTCCGCAGAATGAAATGCAGCCCACACACCCAGCGCCCCAACATTTTTGGTTGCGGGCGCAGCGAGCGCGATAGTGTTCGACCATCCATCATCCATGCCAACCAACCAATGCATCAACCAACCGCTTCGTTTAAGGGTGTACAGACATCGTTGGGTACGCTTCGCGCAGACCGTGAAGCGATGTGAATGGAAAGGGGAGACGGACGATGTTGGGAAAGAAAGGAATCCCACATTGTGCAGCTGTGCTTTGCAGCCCTCAATCTCTCAATGTGTAACTCGGAACTCGAGTTCTCGCGGGCATCTCGTTTCCCCCCACCGAATCGAACACGATACACCGGCATTTTCGGCCCCTTCATGGGGCAGCGGACGCACGCGCATCCCAGTTGAGGAAATCAGGCAACGCCGCAACAAGACAAGACACGCTCATAACCGGGGCTTTTCGCCCGCATACCTTATAGATAGCCCCTCTGACCTTGACAGAAGCCTCATCTATGTTACCCACAGCTGAGGCAGAATGGGAGCCACTCTACATTACCATACCCCACCTCCGCCTCACGCCGTGGAATTTTGTCACGTCCCGAAAGCCAACCAAAACCGAGATCTCAGGCCAATTTGGTGTAGTGGGTCTGGGGGGGATGCAAAAAAAGTGCAATACCGAGGCTCCTTCTCGCTGGGTCAAATGGTCGGCTGGTGAACTTGACGGCTCGCCACACAATACACTTAGTAGCGAGGATCACAGGCTTTGGACTCCCCCTTCTCAATATCCACGCGGACCGTGCCAAAATCCATGCACGGTATTGTTATTGTCACCCCGTCATCTAATTTGGGCTACGGTGCGAACAGAAAATGTGGGGGATCGACGGTACAGTAGGTGGCCAGATATCTGGGTACGACGGGTTCGCCAAGCCTCCGTGTGCAACCCAAAAGTCAACAACAAGGTGCCGTCAATTTGCGTACTTCTTCAGATGGGCAGGCAAGCCGGCGACTTCTGCTGGTGGCTATGCTCGGGATGATGTGTCCTTGTCGCGTCGTACCCAGATATCTGGCCACCTACTGTATGTCCCTCCATCCACCTCCCTACGGGGAGGCTTTGGTGGAAAATAACGGCGAAAGGGTGCAAAAAAGCGCGTGCGGGGGGGAGACACTCCGATTTCGACAGGTTTTTCGAGTGGGAGTCGACAAGTCCACGCTCCCTCTCCGACTCGGACAGGCGCAGGACCTGCGAAATGAGGGAGGGCGAGAGGACGGGAGAGAATCATGGAGGCCCGACCACTTACCATTCCCCCAAAAGCCTCTTTTGTCCCCTCGTACTCCGCTATGTGGGTCGATCGACACCGCGCGCAGATAAAGTTGAGGCTCGTGCAAGCGACTGCGTGTGCACGATGCCAGGTGAGGGAGGGGCTTTTTCGTTGCGCGTGCATAGTGAGGGGGGGGGGGGGGGAGAAGGAAAGTTTGTGGGCGGGAATGAAGCGGGGTATATATAGCCCCGGTGGACGGACTCGTTCCTTTCCCTCCTCATCAACAAGCCATCTCGCCCCCAACCACCGCCATCACACACCTCACCCTCCCACACACACGCACACCCACCCAAAATGTCCCAACAACAACCCCAGATGTCGGCCGTCTCCACCCCCGGAGCGCAACCACAGGTCGTGTACGTAGCGGGCTGCCAACACGACTTTGTAAAGTCGGGCGAATGGAGCGGCAAGGACTGGATGATGTGCCTGTGTTTCTTCCCGTTCAACTTTTGCTGTTGCCCCCCCGGCGGTGCGGAGAAGTGCCGGAAGTGTGGGTTGAACAATGTGAGTTTGGGAACGAGGGGAAAGTGGGAGTGTAACACCGGTATGGATGTTGGGATACTGATACTTGGATTCGCACTCGTAGGCGTCTATGTAGGGAGATGATAGTGGATAGCTGCCCTTCTGACTCCACACCCCCGCACGCACCCCGTCCACGCCTCAAGTCGCCTGACGCCCACCTGCACACATCCATCTCCGAGATACTATAATGGACGGCGTAGAGGACACCACCCGCATATCCCCCACTTAGATAGCGGCCTTGCCTCATCCTACCGAAAACTTTAGCGTAGGCGTACTACCTCCTCGCCTCTCTTAGTGTTGTTCAATTATGATAAAGTAATACGAACGAGATAATGTTCAATTGTACCAACAAGCAAGACGTTGCGCAGTTAGAGTGAGATATTGTGGATGACGGATGGTAGGTTGGTCGCTCCGCTCGCGACAAGGAGGTCGGGCGGTGTGATGCGATAAGAACAATTGTTCGCTGTCGCTTCGCTCTCTCATCCGCTCACTGGCGCGCAATCACCCGCCTAGTCGAAAGGCGGACCCCACTTGATGGTTCGAGGGTCAGGCCATCCAGCCGCCGCAACACGCAGCTTCTCGGCGTGCTCGTCGTGTAACCTCTTCTTCTCCTCGTCAGACAACTGATGGTATTCCTCTGCCTCTTTGCGCCACTGCGCCTGTTCCTCTTCATCGAATGAGTCCCATTTGGGCCCATCGTCGTCGTCACTAGAGGCGTTGTTACCCAAGTCGGTTGAAGTGACCTGTTTTCGGTTTTGTGGGTAGTCTTTGTCGACGGCGGGATGCGTGGTATGGGATTCGGTCAGAGTAGGTTCCTCTCCTTCTTCCTCCTCGTGGTTGGGATGTGTGGGTGGTGGATCTGTGGGTAGAGTAGTAGGTTTTGGGTGAAGGTGGTCTGCCATCGAGTGTGAGAGAGAGACAGAGAGAGAGAGGGCGACGCGACGAAGAAAAGAAAGCGACTGCAATTAAACTCATCCAGCAGTCCACGTGACTTTCACCTCTTATAAACAGGACGCATCACACTTCCTCACCACGGCCATCAACCATTATGTGAAAAGGGGGTATATTCCATTACATCAACAAACCATTAACCAAGTCCATACAAAAAGTGGCGGCATTAAACAAGACTACTAAAAACCGGGGAGGGAGATATATACTGTACCGACATTTACAAAGGGTGCTTCCAAGATCGGGGGGGTTTTGTTTTCCATCCAATTCCCAAAACACATGTCCAATGTTTGCAAAAATTCCCACACAAAAAAACCACGCCGAAAGAGGGGGGGCGGGATAATAACCCATTCCCAAAAAAGAGTTCCCAACCGAGAAATGATCTGTTCGAAACCGGTGGTGGCCGCCAATCTTTTCCACCCCACGTACGAAGTACCCTCACCCGCAGATCAATGCGCCACGCGCGCAGGGCGTCCCCTCGCCGGCTGGTTGACCTGCATCTGCATCCCGACGCGTTGCGCTCCGCCGGCATAATGCGGATGCTGCAGATGCGCATACATCTGCTGTTGCCGTCTCACCGCCTCCTCGTCCTCGCCCTCATCATCCGCACACCCCATCTCATCACTATCCTCCTCATACGGCTCCGCAAGCGGGTTGTACATCGCCGCCTGCTGCGCCTTCGTCGGCCGTCCGAGCCCATACGCAGGTGGGGGCGCGTGGCACTGCCCCATCGGCACATACCCGCCGTGTCGCAACGCGGACGGGTCGGACTCTGGGTGGTGGTGGTGGTACGCGAGCGGCAGCCCACTCGCGGCGTGGGCGGCGCATTCGGCGAGGACGCGGCTGCGCTGCTTCAGATGGGTCTTCTTGTGCGCGGCGAGGTTATCCGAGCGCGAGAAGCGGCGGTCGCACCCGGCCTCGTTGCATGCGAACGGCCGCTCGCCCGTGTGCATCCGCCGGTGCCGGTTGAGGTGCTCGGCGCGCTTGAACGACTTCCCGCAGTGCGGTTCCGTGCAGATGAACAGTTTCTGTTGCGCTGCGGCTTGGCTCGCGCTGAGCGTGCTTGTACTCCCCGCGTTCGACGTGGGCGGGTCCTCGTCGCTGCCGGAGACGGGCGCGGCGGCGGGGCGACGCGCTTTGGCGGGCCGGCCGGTCGCGCGCGGGGTGCCGGCGGGCATGTTCGGCTCGTACGGGTGGTGGTGATACGCTCGTGTTGATCCCGCGACGGGCCCGACGGTGGTCGCGCCTTGCCAGATCGGCACCCGGCGATTCCGCGCGTTGTAGGGATGGAGAGGGTGGTCTGGCGGCGGGGTGGGGAGCGTGTACCCTGAATGCGGCGCGTAGGCTGCGCCAGCGGGGGGAATCAGCATCCTTGATGTGTTGTGCTCTTGTTGTTGCTGTTGTGCAGCCGCGACGGATGAAGCCGACGACGACGACGATGCCATCCCGTCCAACATGTGCGGCTGCACCCCCGCCATCGACATCGCCATCCCGCCCGCCGAGCGCGGGAGCTGCATCGCCGCGCCGCCTCCGTTCGCGTAGATATGGTACGGCGAAACCGCGTGGTAGTGTGGTGACCCGGCCTGTGCAACCGCTCGGTGCTGTTGGTGACCCTGATACTGCACGTAGTTCGCGGTCGCCGGCGACGACGGGTGGCGCAACCCCACCGAGCCCCCCGCCATCCTGTCCACCGTAGCTGCGTTCGACTTGCCATTTGGCGACAGCGAGTTCCTCTCCTCCGCTAACGCGGCCGCCTCGCCGACACCCGCGAACGGCGACGTGCTCGCAAACCCGTCTTGGGCAACCGACTGTTGCGGCAGCGTCGCGTACGTGTAGTGTCTCGTCGCCGGTGATGCGCCGCCGGGGACACGGGGCGGGAGGTATGCGTTTGGGTTGGGTTGGCGGGCGTGGAAATGCGGTTGGAGGGATGCGTGTTGTTGCTGTTGTTGTTGTTGTTGTTGTTGGTGTTGGTGTTGGTGTTGGTGTTGGTGTTGGTGTTGGGATGAGGGTTGGTATGCGAACTGAAGCGATTGTTGGGCTCGAATCTGGGGTTGTTGATGCATGCTGACGGGCGGAAGCAGGGCGGTGGTCCAGTCCTTGCTGCCCCGACGCTGTCCTTGTTGTTGCTGCTGATGCGCTTGACGTACACCGGCTTGCTGTGACATGGCCATCGATGCCTGATCGGCACCCGCCGAGTGTGACGCCATGGGCGGGACGTGGGCCGGGTACTGATGAGCCGCGGCGGCATTGAACCAGTCTTCTTGGTTGGCGGGCTGAAGTACGGCGGATGACCATCCGGGGCCGGTGGTGGCTGCTGCGACGGCGGCGGCTGCCTCGGCGGCGGCTTGCTGGCTTTCCTTGTGGAGGTGGATGGGAGGCAGCGTCGCGGATGCGGAGAGGTCGTCGAAGGAAGGGGATGGGATGTTCTCCAGCTCGAGCGATGATGCTGCCGCGGGGGACGGTGTTACTTGGGTCTCTGCGTTGTCGTCCGGTCGTTGTTCGTTTTCGTCCTTATGGTCCTCGTCGGTCGCCATCGTTTCATCTTGGCTGTTCAAGCTCACGTCATGGTATCGTCGTTGCGCGTATGGGGACCGTTGCTGCTCTTGCTGTCCATCCTGTTGCGTTTGGTACCGCGGCGAAGCCTGTTGCTGCTGCGTTTGTGTCTGACACGGCTGCTGGTGCTCTTGCTCGCACCCAGCCTCGTACTTGACCTCCATATCCTGCATCGGCGACGAGTCGGTATGCGGGGGACGAGCAGCGGATGCAGAAAGGGGCGAGGAGGAGGTAGTCTGCTGGTGATGTTGCGCAGTGGCCGACGCGGAGAGCGAGGGGTCCAGCGCAGTCGCAGGGGAGTCCACGTCCGGCTTTATATCAACGTCGGCAGCGTTCCTATCCGCGAATGCTTCCGCCGCAGCAGCAGCAGCAGCAGCGAACCCGTCCTCGCCTCCCTGATCTTGACGTCGTTGCCGCCGTGACCCTTGGTTCGGGTGTCTCTCGTCGTCAGACTGTTGTTGTTGGTGTTGTTGTGCTAGCGGTGTGCTCGAGAGGACAAAGTCCCGCGCGCCTGCGAGTGACTCGCCCCCGTGTCCCTCGCCGTGATCCTGACTGGCAAAGGCGGTGATGCCATGCCCGACATGGCCTGGACTTCCGACTGCCGTGGGCCTGGCTGACGGGTTGCCTGCACCCGTCGACGTTGCTGCACTTGCGGAGTCGGTGTCATTGTTTGTGTTGAAGGATGGCAATCCCACCTCCATGTCGGAAGTGAGGTCGTCAAACTGCGCGGTTTCGGACGTGTTCCATTCGAGGAAGCTGGTCATCTCGCCCAAGATCGCCTGGCGCGATGCTCTGTACAACCGGTTGGCGGTCCGTCGGGCCTGCTGTGGAGGCGAAGAGGGGACCCGAACGGACAGACAGACGGGGCTTGCTTTGGTTTGCTTTGCTTGCTTGCTTGCTCGGGGTTAACCGAAAAAGTGGGTATTGTCTTGTCCCAAGGGGGCGAAACGACGGAGAGCGGTAGGAGTAAGGCCTTCGAGGGATATATATAGGTGGAGAGGAGTTTTTGGGCCTGCCAAGGGGTTGATGGTTGTTGAGCGGCTTGACCAAGATTCAGGAGACGCAGAGAGTAGGGTTTCCGTCCGGACTCTCTGACGTCAAGGTAGGTTCGATGGAATGCAGTGCGTAAGACGCAAGCAAGGGATGATGTGTAGGTAGGTAAGCGAGAATCGTAGCCGTCGAACAATCGGATGCTCCTCCCCAGAGCGAGAGAAGGAGAAGTAGTGGAGAAGGAGGGATGAGGGTTGGGGCGTCGAGAAGACCCGGCGAAGGAAAACGGAAGGCTTTGACGCGTCGGAGACGAGGGGTGCAAAGCGGCCAGGAAAGGAGGTCTGGTACGGATATCTCGCCTAGTATTCGACCAAAGCGCAGCAACTCTTTCTCGCACAGAAAGAGGAGCGAGAATGCGGTTGTGAGGAGTCTCAAGAGAGGGTAAAGATGTGAAAAGACCCCGGAAAAGCAAGGGGGTTCAAGGACGCGTTGAAGAGGAGAAAGGAAAGAGGGGAGTTGGGGGGGGGGGGGGGGGGGCGAGACCGCCCGTGTTCACAATATGTACTCCTCGCAATTGCGGGGCACCCAGTATGTTTATATGCAATCAGAACAGAAGCGTATACACCGGCAGCAGAAAGACACCCCCTCTCCATCCCCAATCTAGCACTGACAGGTCAATCAACGCATTATTCATGCCCACTCTCCACACCCCCAAGCGGAGTTCGACCCGAAGGAGCGCAGGCACCCGTAGGGCCAAACCCTCGTCACTCCTTTTGCCTTTACTCAGACAGCGGACTCATCTTCAGGGATCGTCGTCACGCGAGATGAGGGCCTGATGCGGCGCAGCCCCTTCAAACCCTACCGTACAATGCAGCACCCTGAAATTCAGATTCCGATGGGGGCAATCAACGCATATCCCTCGTTTTACCTCCTTTCCGCCCCCCGGCAAATGGAAAGCATTTCCTAGTTTTTCATCAATGTGGTCTGGTAGATGTCGGCGGTGAAGGAACGGCGCTTGACTCATTCAGTGTCCGATGATGTGCGCTGCACATGCAGATCGGCCGCCGTTGCACAAACTGGGATATATTGCGCTGGGGGGGGACACCGACTGTGTGGAGAGGTTTCTTCGCTCTGGAGAAGGTAGGCATGATTCATGCGCGGGTGTCTGTCTGTTATCAAAACAATGTCGAGCGAGACACATCTGCGATGAGCCGAAAAAGGGACGCGAGAAAAGGGGGTTCATTGGACGCGTTGTGCGATGGGAGCTTGGCGCGCGTTGGGACTTTGGGTGTCCTTCCCCCCCCCCCCCCCCTCCAAGAGGGAACTGACCGTTTGAGAGTCAGTCCATTGACAACGTTTCCGCATGCATGGGCTCTCAATGCATATCATGTTTCAATGCATGGATGGATACGCTGGCGAATGTCAACCCATCTCTATCCTTATCACCGCCAGAGCAAACGAAAGGCACAATCCCAGACTCCCCCCACATCCCGTCCATACTGTAAATCTACCAAACGTCAAAAAGGCATCCGACAGAACCCAACCCGTCTGTGCCCCCACCGTGGCCTATCACGATCCACCACACTTCAGGGATCGACGCTCCAATCGCCATCTCCCACATACAGTATGTACTATGTACTGTACAGTACTGTCCACCACCATGCCCATCATGCTGCGCCCCCAGTGAGCATCACCGACGAGGCGATTTGCGTTCGGAGTTGAGGGATCGGGGAGCGATTTGCGTGCGTGCGTGGATCGCGGGTGGAGATTGATGGGAGGCAGGGTGTGTAGAGGGACACCGCCGACGTTGTCTGTGTGGGTTTGCGGTCAAGGGCATGAGATACTGTATGACATGAGATGCGTGCCGGCCGTGACTCCGGCTGCGCATGCGTCCAACTGTCTGTCTCTCATTCGTCCCAATTTGAGACCCCCGGGGCCTGCAACCGGGGTATGGGTTCTTCGCCGGAAAGAAGCAGGGCGATCGATGCACCTGCCCCAAGAGCAGGTCGAGACTCTGGCGGGCATAGATATCCGACCAGATCCCCCAGCGCCGAAGACTCACACACTTTTCGACCGGTCAGGAACTCTGTTCTTCGCAAACCGGCTGAGCCCCCCCAGCGTCACGGAGCGTCTGCAGATCAGACCCAGACTTTTTTCCACTAGGGACGGAAGGGATGGGGGGCATCTGAGAGGATTCCACGTCAGCGCAGTTTGCATTTCTCGAGCTTGGTTCGGGCTCGGTGGCATCCGGACTCCGGACATGATTTGAAAAAAAAGACAGGCATTTTGGCTCCCAGGCGAAGATATCATGTGGGGGGGGGCATTGCAAATCGGATCGGCCCTGAATCTCCACTGATGAGGCCAGCATGTTGTGGCGAAGCACATGGTGGGTGCTTATGCTTCACCACGGTAACAGGTTCCAAAACGGTCAGAAGGCACGTCGAGCACATGGAACCGAGACTGGCAGCCGCCGCTGTATCGACCCGGTCGGTCACGAGACATCGCCAGCACATGCTAGGAAAGTGTGCTGGTTTGAGGAATCAGGGATGCGGGTGGCGCCTGTGCGGCAGCATACCCCTTTCTTCCAGGGTCGCATGTACAGAACAGATGCGGTCTGGGGCAGCTTGGCAGCTTTGGGCAAGTCTTGTGTGGAGGGCGAGGGGAGGCATGAAGTGAAGCCAAAAGTGGGATACGGATGATGCATGCCGTTTGACGGGTGGGCATGAAGAAAGCGAACTGTGAGGCTCTACCGATAGCTCATCGCAAGCTTTTTCTCTTTGTCGAACGAGAGACAAGTGTGTTTCGGCCGGGGTCATGTGGTCTCGGTGAGTCTTATACCTGCGGTGATAGGACCTACCTCTCGGGAGATCTAAAAACTGGGGATGGGAGAGATGGGTTCAAGATGGGTGGGGTTGGAGGGATGGATCTGGAGGTTCATGGGCAATTTGTGAGTAAAGACACTCTTGTCTCGAGAGCGTCCGCCGTCACCTTTGGGCAAGAGCATGATGGATGTCGCACAAATGGGGGCTGGCTTGGGAAGGCAGAGTGGGTTGATTGACAGTGACGGCGGCTGCTTCTGCTTACTGTTGAATTGTGTGCACCAGACGCGCACCGGGGCGCCCACAACCGGGCCCGTGGGACCCTGCGCCAGATCTGGGCAAGGAGGAGATAACCGCGTCAGATCTACTAATAGCACAGTAAGCCAAAAGAGATGCCATGGCGATCGCAGAACAACCCGCAATGGAGGGAACAGCGTCCGTGAAGCCCGAGGGTCTCGATGTCATTCATACAGTATGCATGCATTGATATGGCGGTGATCGGCACTTTTTTACATACAGTCATATGCATGTCGACACCGCACACCGACCTCCCATCCCCCCCCAACCAACCCCAACCCTCAAAGGCAGCGCAGAAACAATGCCTCGTTGGATGTGGGTGGGAGGGTGGGGTATAAGGGAATGCAAGCCGATCGATACCATATCATATGCATGTGAGAGAGAGAGAGTCGGAGGACGTGAGTAGCCCTTACGATGTCGCCCTCTTTTTGCCCGTGTTTTCTCGCCCCCTCCCTCCGCCAGTCCCCTTTTTTCTTTGCGTCATGGCAAGAACTTGCGAACTGAGAATACCCCTACTCGGCGTTAGTTACCCTGTGGTTCACAAGCACACTCTCGCTTGGTCGTTGATTCTCGGTTGGAATTGCCTTTGGGAAGTTTCCCATTCCCTTGAACGACCGTATCGCATTCAGCCCACCGTCGTAAAGCCAGCCACCTACTAGGTACAGGCAAGAACGAGCAAACCGAAAAGGCAAATGGTGTCCCCACACAACCTCTCCCCGGAAGAGGGCGGTGGTGGTTCTCGTCCAGGCTCGACCACACCAACAGCGGGGCGATCGCCTAGCCGGCCATTCACTCGGTCCAACCCAGGAAACCGCAGCAGCCGCGCCTTTGACCCCGACTCTCTCTTCTTCAGGAACGTCGCTGAGTTGGGCACGAGTGGGTCGCCAGACGCCGTCGCGTACTCACCGCCGTGGGCTGGAGACAGTGACGCAGAGTCCTCGGGTGGTGACGAGGAGAGTCGGACGAAGAAGCGAGCTGACGATTCGGACGACGACGATGGAGACGCAACTGACCTCGCCCATGACGGGGATGAAGAAGAAGACGAGGATGAGGAGGACATCACTGCCAGCTCGCCAGATCGGCACCTACGACCCTTCTGCAGGACTCGCAGGCGTCGGGATAGCGCGCTCACCAGCAGCCTAGCCACCGCAACGTCCGCAGGCACTGTGGCCTCCTGGGTATCATCGTATCGTCGGTCAGCGGTGTTTGTAGGCGACGCCTTTTCACCCAAACTGACGGCATCGGATGCACCTTTGATTTTCACGACGGACGATGAGGGCGTGCTGCATGCGGACATTGAGCACGGTGCAGCATCCTCGCTGCAGGTACCTACGCATCTGGTCACGCCACCTGCGGTCCACGGGGATGATGCCCTGATTATTCCTGGTCATGATGACGATGAGGATGGCGTGTCCGCGGCGTCATGGGAGGGGTATACGCCGTATGGAGCGGTGGAGGATGAAGGTTTATACCCTGGAAAGGCGGAAGGCGTTGCTGTGCATGTGCTTGAGGGACCGCAGCCCATGTCGACGTTGGCGCAAACGACGTTCAACTCCGTCAACATTCTCATGTAAGTTGCAGGTCAACAGCTGCACAAGGGAGCCCTATGTTGGGGCGTTTGACTGATATCCACAATCCACTTGTAGGGGAGTGGGCATTCTATCTCTACCATTCGCGTTTCAAATCACGGGATGGGTCGTCGGCCTCACCATCCTGATGACCTGTGCCGGCCTGACGCACCACACCGCCAACCTCCTCCGCCATTGCCTGGACTACATGCCCCCTGCACCATCCCTCGCATCCTCTCTCCGCCCTCTGCTGCAATCAAAAACGTCCACCCCTTACCGCCGCGCGATGACCTTTGGCGACATTGGCGAAATCGCATTCGGCAGCAGAGGCAGGAACATGATCTCCGTCATCTTCTGTCTCGAGCTCTCAGCCGCTGGCGTCGCCCTCGTCATTCTTGCCTCGGACTCGTGCACCGCTATCTTCCCATCGTGGAATGGCACCATCGTCAAATGCGTCGCTGTGCTCATCGCCCTACCGCTGACGCTGCCCAACTCCTTGAAATGGGCCAGTTATGCGAGTTTGGTCGGCATTGTGGCGCTGATCAACTTGCTGGCTATTATTCTGTACGATGGGTTGACGACGACCGAGACGCCGGGGAGTTTGATTGTGCCGGCCCAGACGTATCTGTGGCCGAGGTCGTGGGAAGCTGTGCCATTGTCGTTTGGGTTGATTATGGCTGGGTTTGCAGGTACGCTGTTGCGCAAAATGTGCTTCTCGAGGAGAGTACCGAGTTTCCTGACCCCTCCACCTTCCACCTTCTCATTCCCCCACCTAGGCCATAGCGTCTTTGCCAACATCTACCGCGACATGATCGAACCCACCCACTACCCCAAAATGCTCAAACGCACCTACATCATTGTCACCATCGTCTACCTCTTCATTGCAGGCGCAGGGTACGCCATGTTCGGCGACTTCACCATGCCGGAAATCACCCAAAACCTGCCTCTCGTCCCCTCCTACAACCGCTCCATCACCCACATGACCCTCTGGCTCACCACCATCAACCCGCTCACCAAATTCCCCCTGAACCTAAACCCCATCAACGTCCAGATTGAAAACATCCTCCTCGCCGCACTCCCACCCAACACACTGGGCCTCCCCACCACACGCCCCCTCCCCCTCCTCCCCCGCACCCTCCTCCGCTCCCTCACAGCAGCAACGATCCTCACCATCGCCATATGCTTCCCCACCTTCCACTCCATCATGGGCCTGCTGGGATCGTTCTGCGCCTTCTCGGTCTGCGTCGTCTTTCCGTCGTCGTGCTACTTGAAGCTGTATGGCGCAAGGTTGCCCATGCGCGTGTGGCTCGTCGAGGTCGCGGTCCTGGCGGTGGGCGCCGTGATGGGGGTGCTGGGGACCATCTGGGCTTTTGCGAGTTTGAATGAGTGATGGGGTGGGGGACGCACTTTGGGGATACCGAATCGGGACTGGGTGGATTGTATTTTAGTGTGATTGAGTTGTGCAGACGGATGAGCGGATGATGGGGGAGGGACGGTCGCTACTTCTTCTTCTTTTTTTTTTTTGCGTAGATCGTTTTAGTATATCCCCCCACGGCGTAATGGGCCCCCCCTTCTCCCTCTGGTGCTGGGTCTCCTTTGGACATGTACATGGGCTCCCCTTTTGTGTGAACGACCCAAACTCATTTTACACCCCCCCCCCCCCCTGCGACTGCTTCGAGATTTGAGATTCTGTCCGCCCCCCTCCAGCGTACTGACGGCACCGCGACACAGGCAGAAATGAGAGCGAAAATGAGACTGCGGACATCCACTGGAAGGGATCCATTGAGCGGGATTTCGGGCCGTTACTACGCTTCTGGAATTGGCATGCAGGGAGGATGCGATGGACGGAGACTACGTGCATCGTTCGCTGTTGGTCGACTGGGTGTTTGGAAAACAAGTTTGGTTGGGCAGTGGATCTGGAGGGAAACACGGTTTGAGCCTCGATGTACGCGTCGAAGACCGGACGCGCTCACGTAAGGCGGATTTCGGGGCCGGAAGAAGCATGATGAATAAGCATGGTGAATAAGCATGCAGTGTACGGGAACCAGGTTTGAGAGCATGTACATACTGCACTGTATGTAAACAGGGATGCGCATCCGTCGTTATTGCCCACCATGAGATCAAGAGCGAGAAAACACTCGCAAGCTCGGACAGTTTAGTGGGGTCATAACGCTGCCAATGGGGGCCCATTATCGGCGCCCATTATTGGGCTTTATTATGCGCCATTCATGGGGGCCATGGAAATACTGTACTGGACCGAATCCGTGTGATGTGGATGGGCCGGGTGCCACAAGTCACGCTCAGCGTGTTCTCCAGTAGCTATGACACACGCGGAGGATGGAGCTTTCGTTTCCCGTAGGTATTCCTTTCACGCAAGTACAGGACCCTTCTATACTGGCCGCGGACGACGGCAGACGCCAGGTCCATCTCGGCGGAGCGCTCGCAACGGTACTATTGCCACATCATCGCCCAAGCGTGCGGCCCTAACAGCGGAACATCGGGATGTGGGGGAGGTAGCGGAGGTAGAGGAGGTTGGGAAGGTAGCGGAGGTTGGGAAGGTAGCGGAGGTAGAGGTCATCATGTGGTGGGACCCGCAGGTTGCAAAGGGGCAGGTCAAGGATGAGTATGTCGCGGGGGGCCCGCGAACCCTCTGGGACTTGTCTGAGGAGGGAAGTGTGTGGTGGGAAGATACGCCGAAACATCTGGCAAACATCTGGCAGAAGGAAATTGGAGAAACGGGAAGCGACTGACTGAACAGGTCAACGAATTCCCCCCCCGACCCGGTCGATACCGGCGCTGATTCGACTGATCCCATCCCCGCGCGGAAGAAGCTGAGGGTTGATTGGGAAGGTCCACCCGGAAAAGAGGACACAGCCGGAGCTACACGATGCGTTCAAGCTAGAGCACCCGCCAGTATGCGCCCAACATTCCTTCAATTATTCATCAGAGCTTAATCTGGATGACGTTGACACCGACAGTTCTGTGTGCTACTACATCTTTCCGGCTACAGCGTTCTGCCCAGCGTGCAACACGGACAGCCGCAGTCACAGTTACAAGGTGAGAGGGAGAAGAGGACCTTTTTGCCAAGACCAAAGCGTTTGCCGCTCGTGTGTTCGTTTGGAGGGCAGCGGAAAGAACAGGACTTACCATCTGAAGCTCACCAACGCTGAAGCAAAAGTCGCCGATCGACACAAGAGACGCGCAGACCGCACGGCACAAAGAAGTCATGCAATGGACCCATCGTTTCATGACGCACACAAAAGAGGCCAGGAAAAGCAAGGGTGTGATCTTCTCCAGTTTCGGCAGTTGTCGACCACACCTGAAGCTGGCCATGGACTTATGGACTACCGGACGAATGATGTTAGGTTCCTCACACGGAACAGGCTTCCCTTGTCGCCATCCCTACATCCGGTGTTTCAAGGGCACCTTGCACGTCTGGGGGAGATTTCACCACATGCTTACCAGTGCTACGCACCGGCTCACCAGGATCTGCTCAACCAGCTGTATGTGAACACAGATCGATGGCTACCTCCGGCCAAGCTTTCTGACGCTCGTGCACCCTATGGCCATCGCCGCTCGGGAACCCGTTCCCCCTCAAGGCATGGGCTCTGGCCATAAAGGAAGTCGATACGTTGAGCAACTGGCCCGTGTTGTGGTGGGGAATACTTGGAAGTCATCCGCCTTGTGACTCGCCAGGTACCCCATTCAAGTCATCATACATAGAGGCGGTATCAACCCTCTGTATCTCAAGCTGACCGTGGCGCTTCCGACTATTGGAGCAGTTCATGCCGCTGTGGCAGGCGGACTCTCGCAGACTGAGCGACGATGGGCGCTACTTTCGCCTTACTACGTCGCCCTCCGCCGGCTATAAAATCGAGGCCCTTAGAGAGAGGCGCCATGTTCAACGCGGGACGATAGGAACACGTCCACTGTCGACGTCATCTTTTGTGATGAAAGGGCAACGATTTCGGGTGTGTCGAAGATATATGCTTGGGATTGGAAGAAGGAAACAGGATATGGGAAAGGACAGCGCGGAAAACCTGAGCCCACGAAACGGACGGAAAGGAAACATTCCCGACACATGGGGGCCGACCATTCCAGAGAGAGCCGTCCGCGCTACGTACTGCACATATCCACCGGAAGAGCCGCGCACCCGTCCTTTTGCTTGGAGGAGGGGGGATAGATTGGGTGCTTGGGCAGTGACAACCCCTTTTCCACACGCATCGTCTTTTGCTGGAGGACGCACTCGATACCATCCGATCAGGAGGTTCTTGATGGGGAACGGACGAGGGAAAACATGTCGAGAGATTCCTGGTTGGATCAATTTATGTTCATAGAGGGCTTTAACCACTTTCCAGCCGTTGAAGTCTTAGTGTCTCCATGTCGTGGCATGTGCAGAGCACTGAGCCGTTCATGTCCGGGGCGTAAGTTTCGTGTCAATTGGACGTCTTTTTCCCTTTCCGATGCATCATTAGATAAATGGTTATTAGATGTCAATATCATACAAAGAGTGGGATTCGTTTGAACGCCAATCCCACTCGTACGCTGCGTCCTAGACTATGGTGGCAGCTATGGTGGTGGTGTCTAAATACCGTGCGATACTATTCACTTGGCCGCTTCAGAACCCGTTTAACCTTCATCCCACAGCCAGAGCTCCCATCACAAGCGCCCAACCCCCTCTGCCTCCCTCCTCAGCACCGCCATCCTCTTCGCAAACCTCTTCCCAAGCACCAACTCCATAAGCTCCTCCACAAACTCCTCCCCCTCGCGATCATACCCGACCGAGAAGTACATCCTCACGCCCCTCCTGAACCCTTGCTTCAACGATCCCAGGGTGACATACGCCGCTTGCCGGGCCATTAGCCGCGTCATCACCGCCGATGTGTCGCCTTCGTCTTCACTGGGGAGGAAGGCGGGTTGGTGTAGGAGGAGGTGGATGTGGCGCTTGTAGTGGCGTTGGAGAAGCACTACGGATGCGTCGGCGGGGTTGGATTTGAGGTACGCCACGATCCCGCTGCTGACGACCACGCGACGGCGCAGGGATGCGGCGCAGGCGAGACCGAGGAGCTCGGCGGTGCTTTGATCGATGTAAGGATAGATCCTCCTCTTCATAACCGAGACAGGGTCGGTCAATCGTTGCGTGAATCGGGCGTCCATTTCCTTGTCGAGTGTTGATACCACCGCTTCTTCGTCGGTGGTGATGTCGTTGACTGCTTCGCCCGACAGGTGTCGCGACAAGAAAAGCATCTTCAGGAAGCAGATGAACCCGAACCCGCGCGCCTCTCCATCCGTGTCGGCGCTCAAACTCTTCCACAGCTTCGAGAGGTTGCGAACCATCCGATCCCGGGTGTCAGTGTGCTTAAAAACACACTGCGACGCGCCAATCCAATGCCCTTGAATAGCATTAAACTGCTTCTCGTCCTCGCGGTCCTCGTTCGGCTCCGTCGCGACCCATTCCGGGATATCGTACCGAACGGCCGGCGCGTGGACGTCCAGCACAGGTCTTTGGTGGTGTGCAGGGCTTTGGTAAGAGAGTCTGACGATCTCGCTCAGCGTTGACAGCGGAAGCATGTTGGGCCGCGCACAGGCGTCGTCGACTATCTTCCAAGCGCTTGCGACGACGGGGTACGACTGCACCGCGAGCTTTCCTTCATGCGCGCAGACGAGTGTGAGACACTGCGTGAAGTACTCGATCCGCACGTCCTCGTGCAGCGTCGGGTTGTTCCATTCGTTTTCGAGCAACCGCGCGGCTGTGGTGCTTTCTTTCGACGCCAGCAGCATCCGGCCGATGGCTTTATGGAACACAACCCTGATAGCATTTCGGCGCTCGCCGTTGGCTAGTAGCAAGGCGAGCAGGTCCGCGAACTGCTCGGGTCGGAAGATCGCAGGAAGGCGTTCGAGAACCAGGACGAGGACGCGTTGGGGCGACTTTGCGATGTTCTCCGCCGACAGCAGGAAGGATAAGATCACAACGCAGCTGTCGTGATCAAACGAGCGCAGGATGATCGTCTCCAACAACTGACTCGGTTGCTCCGCATCCCGTAGTCTCACCATAAGGTCAATGTAGCTCTTGTAATCGAGCGTCGGCCACCCGGCATACTGCTCCATAGCCTTCTGCTTAACCTCCAACGAACCCGCAGGCGACATGGCCGTGCGCAAGATATCTTCCCCGATCAACGCGGCCTGCTGGCCGGTCATGAACCCGACGGCGCGCCGGAAGGTCTGCGGCTCAATGCATCGTGTTTCTGTTCTTTTCGGTTGCATCCGTTCCAGGGGGCCGAGGAACGTGCACGACTCGTCGGTTAGGAATGGGGTGAGCAAGTCGGTGCGCTCTGTTTCGAGGACGTGTCGGACGAGGGGGACGTGAATTGCGCTGGTGGGGCAGATCTGAAACAAAGCCGATGCGATCTGCGCTTTGTCGGGTGCGGGGACCTTGAGCAACCGCGCCAACCGTCCCTCCATGTTCAGATCTTTGACGCGGAATGCTTCGAGGAAGAGCGCCCGATGAACAGGCGACTTGAAGAACTCTTCGGACTGGAACGTGTTCGCCAACGGTTTCTGATACTGGATCTCCTCCCAATGATCCAGCATCCGGCAATGGTCCTCCAACAACACGGGAGTCTCCGCCAACTTCGACCCAGGCCTGCAGCGTTCGACCGCGTCCGTGAACAGCGCCTCGCCGAGCGCCTGCAGCTGCGGGACGCAGAACCACAACGCTTGTCGTTTCCGCACGAACCGCAACAACTCCCGCGCCAGCTCAATCTGGACCGGGTCGTCCGTCGTCGTCGCCGCGCAATCGCGAACCGATTGCGTCACGGACTCAAGGATCGAGACCAGTTCCGGAACCTCATGCCATCTGCTGCCCACAATATCAAACAACGAGCAGATCCGGTCCAGTTCCGCTCTGTCCACCAACCCCTTCGAAACGTCGTAAACAGGGTCCAACAACCACGACCGGTCTTCCTTCGAATACGCGCGCAGATCGTACTCGGCTTGCTTGGCCTTCGCTAACGCAGTCTTGAGCATGTCGACGCATTGCGCGGGCGTCACCGGCGATCCAGCGCCGTCCGTACGTCGCACATGGGATCCGTATGCGACCAAATACCCAAACAGCAACTCGCGGCGTCTGGGGACCCGCTCCAGAAAGTGTGCGTACGTAGCCGCAAGCTCCTCGTACCCCGGCCCCTCAGCCTTAACGAGCTGCTTCGTCCACTCCGTCGACGTGTCGTCCGAGAGCTTGTCGCACCAGAGATACGTCTCGAGACCTTTATCCCCGTCCCGTGCGCCGATGAAGACCCAGTCAACGTGTACGGCAAAGTCCACCCACGCTTGTAACGCGGCGAAGGTGGCCTCGTTCCGGAACCGGGTGCGGAGAGCGTTGTCGAGGATCCGCCTCGGGAGGCCAGATAAGCACGACCGCGCGACCGAATCCCGTCTCTGTAAATCCGTCTCGATCATCTCCAACAGGGTCTTGACCTGCATCGCAGAAACCTCAAGCGCCGCCTGCCCGTCCAACCGGAGCGTCATCCCCAACCACTTATCCGCGTTCCGGAACACCCACGTGTAAATCTCCCTCGTGACCGTGCCCCGCTCGTTCCTGGTCCGTTTGCGGATCAATTCCAGCGTCTGCGCGAGATCCTGCGGGGTGGCTTTCAACGACGCGTTGAGCATGTCGAGATAGAACGTCGCGCGTTCCTCCGGTTCGGCGCTCTTGCGGGCCGAATGGTGCTCACGGAGATATGGCAACGAGATGGGCGCCCGCACCCACCAGTGCGTTTCCTTCAAGATGATTTCGCGGGAGGTCGGGTTGGCTAGCAGGGCCGCCATGACGGCTTCAGAAAAGGCCGATGCGCCTTTGGTTTGGTCGTTGTCGATGATTTGGAAGAGCTTGTAGGCCCGCTGGACGTCCGTCGTCAGCACGCTGTCGATGAGGGCGATGGTGTGGTCGAGCTCACTCATGCGGACGTCGGCGGGGAGCGTGCAGAGGAGGGAGAGGTACTCACTCTGATCGGCACTTGTCCAGAACGTCCTTGAAGCTGAGTGTGGCGTAGGGGACTCGAGGAGCTTACAGAGTACGTCAAAATTGCGAAGCTTGTAGTCCGCGGGGCAGTTTGCGAACCCGTCGGAGGTTTTCACGTTCCGTTCGAGGGTGGACTTGAACAGCTGAAACATGGACGCCTGGCGCCTAGCGGGGATTTTCAGGAACCGCAGCGTGTCTTTGTTCCAGAGGTACGAAACCTTACCGCCCTCGAGCTCGGACACTGTTGCGCCTTTCTGGAATCCCGTCAAGCATGTCGAGGAGTAATTGTAGAACAATTGTGCGTCGTCGTCGCCGGGGAACACGCGTTGCATGCCGATGTGCCATAGGGCCTCTGAGAATCGTTGCATCCAGAGATGATTCTCATCCAGAGTCTCGAGCCGCGCTGCGTCGATCTCGCTTCGCAAGGCGGCTAGAAGTTGCGGGGCGAGACTGGTGGAATCGCGGGAAAGGTTTCGTAGCGGGTGCACTTTGTCGGCTGGGTATATGTTCTTTCCAGCCGCCTTGATGGACACGAGCAGGTTGTTGGATAGAGCGGTGTACAACCCCTCGCTCACATCCGGACATCTCCACCACTCCACGGCGGGATCCGCCGTCAGGTTGAGACTCTCCTGCTTCCACTTCTCCCAAGCCTTCTGAGAGATCGAGAAGAGAATGTCGACCAAACCATAGACGGAGACGAGACTTGAAGGCTGCTTGGTCTCGGAAACCACATCACGGCTCTTCCGCTGCAGCTCATTGATCCTGAACTCCAGCGTCTGCGGCAACGACACGGTACAGTTCGCATACCACTTTGCCCAGAACTTGTGCCTTGCGGCGGTGTCCATCGCAGGCGCAAGGTCTTGATCGACGACGCGGAGGTGCATCTTGGACCAGGCCAAGGCGAGCGCGCTCACGTCTACATGGCGGAGGCGCATACAGAGGAATTTCTTGTAAAAGTCTGCAAACAACGCGCCTGTCCTGAGCGCGCGACTCGCATCGGATGCCTCAGTCCAGCTGAGATAGTCCGGTGAGGCAAGGAGTTTGGGGGGTGTGAGCTCGAAGCAGCGCACCGCGAGGGGTAGAAACCAGTGCTGAAGTCTTTCCTGCATATGCTTGCCTTTCGCACTTGCGACGAGTTCAGCTAGAATCCGCAGCGCAGCGTCGTTGTTGATGACCAGCCCTTCGTCCGGCGTTTCCTGAACATAGGGCGCTATGAGTTCCCCCCACGCAGCAGATGTGATACCGCTGACGATGCGCTGCGGAATGGACGTGTATCGAAGGTGTTTGCATAGATGTGGTTCGGTGAGCTCGCCGCGCTGGACCATGGCCCGAAGCTTCTCCGAGATCTCTCTTGGCTCCCCCGAGGAGATGCTGAACGCGGGATACTGGAGGACAGACGCCAGGATAAATGCGTTCGCTTCTGCACAGGGCTCGATGACTGAGCATAGACGAGTCACAAAGTCGCCGCGAGCAAGTACGTCATCTCCACATTCGACGAGGCGGTCTTTGATCCATTGCGAGTAGAGTTCCCCATGTAAGTCCCAACGCAAGAACTTCCAACGCAAGCACTTGAAAGTGCGGGATGCCATGACCCCCGATTCACGCAGCAGTTCAGAGCTGCCGAGAGTACAGTCTGTCTGAGCCTCGTCGTCCGCGTTTTGCAGGAAGTGCTTCTTGATAAGGGCGTCAAACAGATTGATCCGCAGGGATCGGAATGGAGCCCAAGCGCGAAGACACCTTGCGACGGCGGCGGGAGGCATCGATTTCATTGCATCCAGGTAGGATTGATCGGCGATCAACGGAGACGAGATCATGGCGTTTAGGATGCGCTGACGGTATCTCTGGCCGTTACAACTGATGTAGTCTTCGAAGATGCGACTACCGGCGGCCTCGAGCTGAGGAAGAGTTGTGACGAGGAGTTCCAGCAGGGGAAAATGCGCTCCGACCATGACTTTTAGGCTCTGATCGGAAGTCGTTGAGGGTGCTGACGAAAGACCTGGATGATTTGAATCAATGAGCATTGGAACAGGTTGGATGTGCGGATCGTTGGACGAGTGAGGCAAAGCGTCCATTGACGCCCGCGACAAGGAAACTTGGCTGCTTGTAGGCTCGCCGTCCGCTCGCGAAGGCGTTCGCTCAGCTCGCGCTCGCTTTCGCTCGGGCTCCCAGAGGGAACCAACCTCGCTACGCTCGGGCTCAAGCAACTCTGCGCCTCGTTTCGCTGGCGACCTACCTTGCTCGTTCACAGTAACAGTAGGAGAGGGAGGCCTAGACTCCGACGATTGGCAAAGATCCAGGGAAGTCAAGAACTCCCAATCGAGGTCGAGAGAGTCTCGTTCCGCCGCACTTTCGACAACTTCATCAGTCTTGACGGAGTCCTGGCTATTATACACTTTGAACGCAACATTGTACAAGGAAGCCACGACCTCATCACGAATGGCTGAAGGGCACACTGATTTCAAGATAAACTGAACGCGAGCCGGGAAGGGAATATCGTTCAGGAGGGTGATGATCTCATCGCGAGTGACGACGTCGGGGTTGCGTTCGTCGGAGGGTTGCGTTGGGCTGCCCGGTTGACCGTGGTAACGAACGTTGGGAGCGGATAGACGCTGGTGCAAGGCGAGAGCAGCGGCCTGCTTGTCGTCGTCCCTGGGGAAGTTCCCGGCGAGGGTGATGACGGCGGATGACATTCCGGCCACACTCGTCGCTCCTGTTGTGGTGGCGCGTGTTTCTCGCTGCGATTGTGAGCGCCAATGCCGCAGCTACCTATATACTCTGAACGGTTGGAAGTTGCAGTTCTTGGGAAGCAGCGGGGGCGCATTGCTTGGCCGTCCCCTCTTTCTAACCCTTTGCAGCGAGTGACTTACTGGACTATGGGACAGGTGACTTGTCCCCAATTGCACTTCCCCGCTAGTTCTGTACAGGAGTAGCTACTGAGGAGGAGTCTAAGAGACGCAGTCACCCATAGCGTCTCCACAACCAGCAGAGTGAAATCACAGCTGCTTCCTAATATGTATACAGTTTGTATGCAATGATACACTGCAGGCAGGTTGTGCGCCTCGTCAGAATCGTCACTCGAGTCACTCGCCCACAACTTCGGAACCATCGGAGCGTCGGAGGACTTCCTGCAGCACGTACAGTAACTTGGCCCCCTGAGAACCCTCTTTCCTACTTGATACTAATACTCTTCGCCGTAGTACGGTTCACAACATAAGTCCTCTTCCTCCAACGATGCCCAAAAATCCCGCTCCACATCGTCCATCGAAGAGTGGCAATCTCAGTAACACCATCCTGCCCACCTTACCGAACGAGAGAATCGACTATGTACTCCGCTACATGCCCCTGAACCTCATCATCGCTTGCGGACGAGAACGAGTCAAACGCGAAAGGTTACGAAAAACCGAGTCTGCTCAATGGCGGTCCGCCGACGGTGAGATCCTGCGCTGGCTGGACGCTTATGCCGTCGGAGATTCCCACCGGGTGGCCATAGCGGAGGCTAATCCGCCAAGGCTGCTTAGACCGTGTTCGCGTCTTGTGTGATAAGCGAGGGGCAGAGACTAATCCCCTGCCTATGCACTGGACGGCGCGGCAGAGTGCGGTCACTTGGACGTGGTGGAATACCTGTATGTAGAGCTGAACCGTGCACCACCGCTGCAATGGACAAAGTTGCGGCCGGGGGCTACGTGGCTGTACTGCAGTTATTGCATACACACAGAACTGAGGGTTGTAGCGATGGATGGCGCTTTCGCCGTGGAGAACGCGTCGTCAACGCGTTACGTAAAGGAGAACACCTTTCTTCGAGACTATCCGAAACTCCGACAAGCTCTCAAGATCGCAACATACTACGAATTGGCCTCCTCCGTTACTCTTCGCGACGAGTCCGAGTCACGGGACGTAGAGCCGTTTCACGTCGCACGCGATGTCACCAGAGTCCTGATGTTTGAACAAGGTTAATCAAAGAACTTGCACCCCCATCTCCATCCAACCTCCCGTCCACTCGATCGACACACCTCGCGCGTTCACTGATCCCTGGTGGTGCTAGCAAGCCCCGCCGTCTTCGTCACGCTAGACGGCAATCCATCCTGATATCCTCTCCTTTTGCGCGTTCTCATCACCGGCTACGTCGCATTTTGTCGTTTCGTTCATGTCGCTGCAGTTGTCGCTTGGTTGTTTGATGCACATCTTCTGCCTCTCCACAATAACGAGGCTCGGATCTCATGGGTGCTAGGTCGTGATCTTTCGTTCAAGGATGCTTGTAAGGAGTCAGGTTGTAGTCTGTTGAAATAGGGTTGTTACCATGCATGTGGACCACAAAACGTTTTCCTCGAATTCTCAAACACGACCAGCGAGCAGGAACGCTCGGTTCCCCGAATACATCTGTCCGCTCTAGGAACCGTCTCCCGCTTGCGGCGTCGCGGCACTGAAATCGCATTTCGTAACCCACGCGGTGCTCTTCAGTGGTAAATCTCGTCTTCAAGTTCAAGTTCAACGTTGGGTTCCGTCGCGAAGAAGCATTTGGGTGGCCATTGGGTAGGTAAAGGCAATCTGGCGCTCTGGTCCTGTCCAGTGCTCCTTCAGTGTGAGCTTTTTTCGAATCTTATCCGGTCCCTGAGAGAGCTCTTGACTCGACTTTGCGGAATTGGCGTGGACAGGCTGAACGCGCTGTCCGTCGCCTGGTTTGAAAGCAAACATCCATCGGAAACAGAAGTGGATGACGACTGCAATTGATGGGATGAAACAATGACTCCCGCGCCATTGAGTGATCAAACACACCCGGTGCTTGAGGCTCCATGCCCTTCCCCAAGCTCTGTGCTTCGGAGCTACAGGTGAGCATTTGAGAACGTTCTTTGGCGTTCGTCGTTGTTGGAGAAAGTCCGCTGCCTGCCGGGATTCCATCTTCGATGCCTGGGACGCATAATAGGCCGACCCATTTGGAGGCCGCGCATGGAGTTGGACGCGAATGTCCAGGGCTCTGCGACCGCAGCGACGACGTGCGTTGTTGTTCATGCCGTTCGCGAACGCGGTATGCGATGAAGCCCAATCTAGCAGTCGAAGGATGTGAAGACCGGGACCTGGGTCAACCCCGCAGGAGGAATATCCAAGTCGTGGTGCTGCGACACATCGTAAATCAGGCGATCGGCAGTGATGGTCGGAGAATCCCATGTACGACTTACAACGAACCAAATTTCTGACGGCTTCCCTTCTCTGCCCGCGACCGGCAGATCGCAGCACGTTATCAGGCCATGGTCGAAGGAATGCCAACCGTATGTGTACAACCCATACACAAAGTCGAAGTTTCGGACTTTCATCCATTACTGACGACTTCTTTTGCCGGATTGGTTTCATCATCGTACGTATAGTGATGTATTTCATGTACATTTCAGGAGTGTCTCCATCGAGACCAGACAAACACACATTAGCCGCCCGGATGACAGAAAGTGCCTCCGCCCGGAAAAGCTTCATCCGACAAGTCCTATGATCGGGCGGAGACTCAACGAAAAGCTGTCGATGTAGATGTACAGTACTTTGCTTTGCGGGAAAATACTTTTCTTCATACGCCTTCAAATGCCCAACCCTTGCTCTTCAGGTAGTTGCAGGTCCGTTCGCAGACTCGCGCGAGCGTCTACCGGGCTTGCGTAGCGACATTCTCTCGCGGTTTTCACACATACGGACCCGTGATACGAGAGACACAAGCCGTTAGCCTATGCGAAAGGGATCCATTTCCTGCAACTGACTATGGTCCTTTCCGGTCTGTCCGTAAAGAATCCCGCGTTCAAAATCTCCTGCGCCCCGGGAACGATCTATGGCAATTTTGTGTCCCAGCAGTAAGAATTCTAGCACAACTGCGTTGGTTCAGGAGTATTTGCATGCAGACAATAGTCGTCAGTGAGATCTCCTCGTCCCATGTCCAGTGGGTGTTCCGAAGTTTGCTAGGTGTCAAGTTCTTCCACATTTTACGGGTTTTCTCGCCCGTTGACATCTCGAAGCTCTGCGACCGTAAGGCCGAGTACGACCACCACAGCGCTCAGCCTCCAGCACGGGGTGGAGCTTGAGGCCGGAACGACGGGGTGTATGAGAGGTATGGGAGCTGTTGTGGGTGTGCTGTTTGCGTTGGGCCTTTTAGGTTTGCGAGCGGTTGAGGCGCGCGAGGGGAGTGATGACGCACTCGCCTGCCTGGAGAAGGGCAAAAGGCGCAAGAGAGCACTTCCATCAACCCCCCCAGAGGAAGCTTACTACAACGCAACCCACTCACTCTCTCAGCATCTCTCACTCATCTCTCACTCAAGCTCACTCACCACGCAAGCAAGCCGCAATGGAGTTCTTGAAAGCAGGTATGGTAGGCCGTCCACCGGTCTCTTCACACCTCGCGTTCGTCATCTCACACCGCCCTCTCATCTCATCGCAGCACAATCCGTCTTTGCTGAGGACAAGCAGCAGCAGTCCCAGAACCACCAGCAGTCGGGACAGAATGGAGGAGACGACAGAGCCATCCCCCTACCCGGCTTCATCGCCCAACACATTGACTCCTACATCGACTCCCTGAAACCCGAAATCGCCCCCATCGCCTCCCAGCACATTCTCTCCTTCCAAGAGCGCGCCCTCAACGATGTTGAGCAAAACGTTCACACGATCCTCGAGCAAATCTTCCACGGTGACTTCTCCGCCTTCCACCGCGACGAAGAAGCCGACCGCTCTATCGAACAGTCCCGCGACTTCTCCCTCGACGGCGGTCAACGCCTCGTCGACCCGGTCACCGCACCCACGGACCGCAACATCCTCACCAACGCCTTTGAAGCCGCCAAAACATTCGCCCACGAAACATCCGACAAGTTGGACAATATCACCCTGGACCCCCGCGAAAAGGCCCTCCAGCTGATCCCGCACCTCCGCGAAAAACTCTCGGCCCTCCTCACAGACAAACACCGCTCCCTCGCCGACTCCTTCGCCGAAACCGCCGCATCGTCCCTCAAAGCCTACATCCGCGGCAACATCTCCGCCCGCGAGCTCGGACAGGCCGGGGCGGGCGACATCTCCGACACCATCGCCGGGTTCTTCTCGAATGGAGAGAACAAGGAGAACACGGGTGGAGACCGCGCCCTCCCGATCCCCGGCGGCCTAATCAACCTCATCGCTCAAAAAATCGCCCAAGCCCTCTCCACCCTCAAACCCCACCTCCACTCCAACCTCCACCGCGACCTCACCACGATCGAAGCCTCCCTCTTCTCCGACCTGCCCCAGCACATCCAAGGGCCCCTTAAAATCGTGTTTGGCGGGAACCCCTTCGACGACAATAGTGGCCAGAGTGGTGACCGTGACTTGGACAGGGGTTTGATCAGCGACATTGGAGATAAGTTGAAGAGCATTGTGAGGGGCATCCATGAGGCGTTGCAGCAGAAGGCCCGCGCGGTCGTTGTCAAGGGACATACGTTCCTGGAGGATGCGGCTGTTGAGGGCGCGTTGGAGGTTGTTAAGGGGAGGGTTAGGAAGGTTTTGCCCGGGGCGCAGATTTAGAGGACGGTTCAAAAACAATCGCCTTGCATCTCCCCGCTCATGGTGTCTCCTTCCCCGCTTCCGGCAGCAGGCGGTCGCTTAGGTAGCCGTAGCTGTAGCCTCCCATGGATCATCGGCGTAGTACAGTACATTGTTTGTTTGTAGATATCCTTTGTTTTGCATTTCCAGGCATTTTGTCTTGTGTTCCAATACCAATCTCTCATCACTAAATGTGGAGTGGTGCTCGGACTATACAAACAGGGCCGCCGCAGGCAACAGATCCCACCAGCAGGGATCAACGCTCCTTCGCCCTGAGACCCATCGGGCTGAGAACTTGATGAATGTGTTCATGCCTTCTTTCCCCCGAGGATGGAGGTTGCGCCTTACCGGTCGAGTCCATTCACGCTCGACCGAATGTCCCGCCTGACCAGTAGCTAAATAGAACGATCGTCAGGATTCATCACACCCGCCCCCCAGTCGGCACATCTGCCGCAAGTTAGCGACATCACGCGCTTGTTTACAAGAGAAATGTTGAAGTTTTTTCATCTCACACCAGATTGCTGGCCTGTAGCTTTCCCGCCGTCCCATTTGTCTCAAACCATGCAAAGAACGAAACGAGGGAAGCCATCCATCTATTTGTCTGCTTATGAATGACGCAAAACTGTAACTAGTCTATTGGAGGTCTATGACGAGAATGATGGGTCCCAAAACCACAAGGACATTAGACTCATGTACGCCGCTGATCAGGTATCTGCAAGTCCCGATGGAGTCCGGCACCAGCGCAGGTGCAAACGACCCCCTCAAACAACCCCCCGGCCATGCACCATCGCATACAGCACCGAGGTCCTCCTCCGCATCAACACGCGCGGGTCGTCAAACTCCACCACCGCCCCTTTCTCCAACACCAGCACGCGATCACTATCCAGCACCGTATGCAGCCGATGCGCGATGGTCACCACCGTGACGCCGCGAAACTCCTCCCGGATCACCCGCTGCACGATCCGATCCGTCTCCACATCCACCGACGCGGTCGCTTCGTCCAGGACGACGATCCTGACGCCCCCGCGGACGAGGTGGGTGATCAGCACGCGCGCGAGGGAGAGCAGTTGCCGCTGGCCCTGGCTTAAGTTGTCGCCACTGGGTTGCACCGAAAAGTCGAGTTTGCCCTCCAAGGTGCTGATGTACGTGTTCAGCGAGACCTTGGCCAAGGCCAGCCAGAGTGCAGAGTCCGGCGCGGTGCCGGTGGGGTCCAGGTTCTCGCGCAAGGAACCCTGGAACAGGAACGACTCCTGCGCGATGACGACCATGCTCGCCCGGAGCCGCGGCAAGGGCACCTGAGCGATATCCCGGCCGGCGACAAGGATGAACCCGCGGTTCAGCGGGGTGTTGTCGTTCTCGGCCAGCTCGACCAGCCGGAGCAGGGACTGGATCAGCGACGATTTCCCGGCCCCCGTGCGACCCACCACCCCGACCCGTTCCCCGTTCTTGATGTCAAACGAGACGTTCCGCAAGACCAGCGGCAGACCAGCTCGGTACCGTAGCGACACGTCCACGTAGGACACGGCCCCCGTCGCCGGCCACGTCGCCTCCACCGGTGCGTAATCCTCATCGGGGGTCTCAACGGGCAAGTGGACGTACCCATTGATCCGTTCCAATGCAACCACATCGTTCTGAAACATCCCAAACCGCATCGTGATAGTTGCCAGATCCGCGCCCAGCGACAACAACGTCGAGATGGACAGCCCGATACTCGCCGCCGACAGCGAGCTGCGGTACGTGACTGCAAACATCGCCGCGGCGAAGGTCAGCAGCGACGAGATGAGTTGGATCCAGAGCGAGAACCACCGGTTGGTGTAGTAGTAGCTGAGCAATGCCCGTTGGAGATTGTCGTAGAGGGAGGCGTTGCGGGTGGTCTCGTGGGAGAGTCGGTTGAACACCTTGATGGTCGAGAGACCGGAGAGGACTTCGTCGATGTGGGTCAGGTGGTCGGCTTCGGTGGTGAGTTTCATGCGCGTGTAGGCGAGCGAGGCGCCGAGGTAGAAGATAAGCGTGAAGCTGAGGATGCCGACTGGCCGTGGGAGAGAAGATTAGAATGTGCCCGGGGAACGAGAGGAATACCGCAGCCTATTTTGTTCACGTACCCGAAACCCCCACAAACCCAATCAACATTGGCGTGTTGACCACCGCCGGCACCAAACTCACCCCGACACTCGCCAGCCCAAACATCACATCATACACCTCATCAGGCAACCGTGTATCCACGGAGCTCACGTTCGCCTGAAACCTTGTCAGAATCCTCCCCAGCGGCGTCGTATCAAAGAACCCCATCGGCATCCTCACAACCCGCGTCAACAGCAGGTGGTGGATCACGGCCGCGGCGCGCGGGCTGATATACCACAGGAAGAAAATGGACGCAAAGGCGTAGACGAGACAGTATGCCGCCAGCCACGCGATGTAGGTGGCGAGGTAGGGCCATTGGGATACACCCGGGGTGGTCTCGTTGGCGAGGGACCAGTGCATGAGCCAGTACCTGCTGCCGAGGTTGATGGCTTCGGCGGCGGCGACGGAGAAGAGGAAGAGGAGGAACAGCGGGTAGGTGCAGGCGCGGATGTAGAAGGCGAAGTGGTGCAGGCTGACGCGGCCGGTTGGGGGGGCGTCGGTGGGGGGTAGAGTGCTGTCGGCCTCTCCTTCTGACGGGACGGCGGTGGCGTCGGATGTCTCGGAAGCGGAGGAGGGATTGGAGACGTTCTTACCGGGCGCGGCGGACGAATCAGCATGCTGATGCTCCTCATGGATGGCGATAATCTCCGCCATCTTCCTCCCCTCACTAATCAACCCGTCATACGTCCCATCCTCAACAACTCTCCCCGCATCCACCACAATCACCCGATCCATCGCATTCAAATATTGCACGGAATGGGTGACAAACACCCTTGTCGTGTCTTTAAGCAGTCCGTCGGGTCCCAGCACGCGATCAAAGATGTGTCGCCCGACGTGCGAGTCTACGCCGGAGAGCGTGTCGTCGATCAGGTAGATGGCGGAGCGGGCATATACGGCGCGGGCGAGTGCTGCGGGGAGAAGAGAAACAAAACCAGATTATTGGTCGAGTGGCGACATAACGGAGTCCAGAGACCATTGCATGGCAACTCACAAATCCTTTGTTTCTGTCCTCCGCTCAAATTCCCCCCTCTCCCTTTAACCTCCGTCGCATCTCCCGCAGGCAACGCCGCAAAATCATCCGCCAACGCACATGCTTCCACAACCTCCTTATACCACCGTTCTTCAAACCCCCTCCCCAACAGGATATTCTCCCTCACGCTTGCATTGAACAACCACGGCGTCTGCGACACGTACACCAGATCCCCACCCATCTCCACCTCCCCGGCTACTTTGATCATGTCGCCCAACAGCGCAGACAAGATGGATGACTTTCCTGATCCGACTTTGCCGACGACGCCGACTAGCGAGCTGCGTGCGATGGAGAGGGTGAGGGACGGGAGGGCTGGAGCGGAGCTGGCGCTCCAGGTGAAGGTGCCGTCCGTGACCTTAATGGCGGCGGGGGAGGTGGAGGGCGTGGAGTGAATGTAGGGTGTGGCGGAGGGGGAGTTGAGAAACTCGATGCAGCGGGCCATGCAGGCGATGGAGCGGAAGACGGGGGGTATGCTCATAGCTGATTGGAAGTGGAAGATTATATGTCAATACGGATGCGGGCCGTTGTATAATGAAACCGGAAGAAACACACGGGAAAAAACTCACAGACTTCCGTCAACGGCACCCTCAGCAGGTTGAAAATCGCCAACGAGACAAAAATCCGGTTCGCATCCAGCGGCGCATCCTCCGGCGCGATCAGGATATACCCCGCCAGTGACGCAGCCAGGATCAAGATCGGGCACAAGTTCGACAACAGGCACACAAACGCTTCGCCGAGTCTTCCTTTCGCCAGGTATCCCAACTCCGTCTTCCGCACACGCTGGATCTTGTCGACAAATATGGATTCCCAGCAGTAGAATTTGATGACGCGCATCGCTTTGATGACCTCGGACGTGAGTGAGATACGGGTGTCGACGGCTTCGTACTGCTTATCCGCAGCGTTTCCGATCATGTCGCCCGCTCTCGCTTGCGCCGGGCCGAGGGCGAGGAGGCCGATCATCGCGACCAGTGTTGCGTAGGACAGGCGTTGCCAGAGCAGTACGGTAGCCGAGACGATCTGGATGACGACGCCGATGATCTCCGGGAGATTGGTCCCAAGGAATCCGACCTGGATGGCGTCGTTGTCGACGAGGTTGATGATTGCGCCCGAATCGTACTTTGCGCGCGCGTCGGGGGAGAGATGGAGGGATTTGCGGAAGATGAGGGCGACCATGGCGGTTTTCCAGCGGTAGTAGAGGTTCCACTGTTTGTCGTTGCCCCAAACGCCGGTAAGGCTGGAGGCGACGCCGACGAGGAGCATGGCGGTGACGATTAGCAGGCCAGTGGACAGGGGTTGTGGTTGTGGGGTGCTTCTGTCGGATGCGGTGGCTGGTTGCCATGATTGGACGAAATCGATGAGGTAGTCTAGCAAGATAGGCTGTACAACGAGGAGTAGACCGGCGACTGTTTTCAAAAACGTAGCCGTACAGAACCGGCGATATTGTGCTTTCATCAGTATGGCGAACAAACCCCAGGTGGTGAGCACTCTCCTAGGGTCGTAATATCGCTCAAATAGCTCTGCGTTGAACGCGCTGCTTTCGAGTGGAGGGATGGGCCAGACGTCGTCTTCGAAGGTGAGGGTGGTCGACACGCCTTTTCGCAGCTTTCCGAAGATGTAGGACCAGGTGAGCAAACTTAACGCCCCGGCGTTGTCGCGGGCGTTGGAGTCGGCTGCATGGCTTTTCTGGAGGGGAAGGAACTCGTCGAATGCGAGAACCAGCGTGGAGGATGCAATAATCGCGACGGTGGAGTGAAACTCGACGCCGGAGGTCACGGACTGCAGGACCAGCGACCGGAGATACACGGCCGCAGTCGTTATCTTCCAGAGCCAGAAGGTGGTGGTCATGGCGTTGACCCGCACGCCGCGGCGATGGTCACGTCGTTGGGCGAAGATGACGAGCAGGATAGAAACGAGAGAGATGCAGTCTAGCACGGTTTCGGATGAGGATGTGGCGGAGTGGAGCCGGACGGCGATGCTCAGGAAGGCGGCGAGCGATGCCAGCTAAATGAATTTGAAGAGAAGATGTGAGTTTGACCGACGCATGAAACATGAAGGCTACGCTGGTCAAGCGACGGACGGTTGGCGCAGGCGCAAACCAACCGCAGTCATTAACACTCCCCCTCGCCCCCAACCCCCTCCCCCACCCACCACACACCACTCTTCTCCCCCTTGCCGCCCGCCACCCCAAAACCTACCGTCTTCAATAACCAAGCCCAATTCGCTAGCCTCACAACACTTCTCCTCACACCATCACCATTCCCCTCAACCCCCGGACTTGGCTCCCCAAGAACAACAGCACCAACAGCAAGCAACGCCAACGGAAGCGCGGAGAGGACGATATTGCGAAAACAGGGTGTAAAGTCGGGTGGGTTGGTGGTGGTGAAGGGGCCCCAGACGCCGGGGTCGTTGCAGAATGGTGGCATGGCCGGCGGTGTGGGTGGGATTAACTAAAGGACGGGGTTGGCAGTCCCTTCGTTTGGGCGGTTGGACTGCAAGCTACTATATATATAGGAAGGGACATATAGTAGTGGGGGTCACAGTCTATATATAGAGGCCTGTCCTCGTTGGTGCTGGGGGACAAGCCGTTGCGGGTGGGGGTGGAGCAGCGCGAGAGGGCCGGATTGACAGCGCGCCCGCTCCCGTCATTCTGGCGCGCGGCTTTTTCCATGAATCTGCCTCTCGCGGAGAATAACAATACGTATTCGAATCCTACATCCGACAACAGCAATCTAATGATATATGATCTACTCCATATCCCACACCTTCGAAAGCTACCGCTATTCTAACCCTCCCAGAAACAACCCCCACAGTGGTATGCCCGTCCCGCTCACAAATGCCCCAAAACCCCCTCCTCCCCCACGGCCATATAACTACTCCCAACGCCCACACTGCTGGAAATCCCGGGGCCTTTCTCATCCACCGCCACTCTTGTCTTCGACACCGAATACCCCGGACCTCCGCGCGCAAGCATGTTGGACGACGCGCGACGGCGGGCTTCCATTCTGCTTTTGACGTATTTCGCGCGGTCGGAGGGGCGGATGAGGAGACGGGCGAGGAGGACGGGGAGGGTGCGCGGGAGGGGGTGTCGGAGGATGAGGTGGGGGGTGGTATTCTGTGTTGTCGTTGATGTGGGGTGCAGGAGGCCAGTGGTCATCCCATAGCCACTTTCCTCGTCCGATCCTTTTCTGGGGACCGCGTGGGCCGGTGCGTGTTGCTGCTGAGGCCCCAATGTGACCGGTCGCGCGAGGGTATGTTCCCCACCACCACCGCCGGTCGAGGGGGTGCCGGGCATGCGTGAGACGGTACCCGACCGCGAGAGCGTCCCGCCGGCACTCGGTGCGTCGCTGAGGACGTGGAAGCGGAAGTAGTAGGTTGTGAAGAAGTAGAGGCGGAAACGTTTGAATGCGTGTTGGACTGAGGGGTCCAGTGTAAAGAAGACTGTCGAGCTCATCGCGCCCTGTGGGATGACTGGTTTAGATTCCGAGTGCAATGCAGGGAGGGGTCGCATTTCAAAAACTCACCATCCCAGTGCTCATCAAATTCGCAGCCATCATCATCCACATCAGATTCACGCCCACAGCACGAAAGTACATATCCGCCGCAAACGTGAAAAAATGCGCCACGAGCGGAACCAAACAATACCACTTGATCCTCCCCACAGCCTTCCTCACCAGCTTCTCCGTCTTTGAAAAATGTTTCTGGGCAGCCACATCCTTCGCGGGGTCCATCGCCGCCGCTTTGAGCGGATTGCGCGCGGTGATGGCAAAGAGCACGAGACAGGTGGTGCAGAAGACCACGACGCCGAGGATCCAGAAGTAGTATGTCGCCCACTGCCATGCGAACACCCTGCTGTAACTCTCCCCACCCCCGGCGCTGTCGTCATACGTATACCAGCACTCGGTGCCATCCCACCCGAAAACATCCAACCCCACCGCCACCGCCGGCACAAGTACCGCCACCCCGGCACACACGACATAACACGTCCGTTCAATATGTCTATCCTTCTGCACCTTGAACACGAATACCATGAGCAGATTGAGCCCGATTGCCGCGGTGAGGAAGAGCGAGGAGAGGAGGAAGAAGACGGTGAAGAACATGGACCAGGTGCAGAGGGGCGTGGGGCCTGTCGGGAGGCAGGAGATGAGGTAGGCGAGCGAGTAGAGGATGTCGGAGGTGACGCCGACGATGGCGAGGCGGAGGGAGACCCGGGAGGCCTACATTGTGCGATTTGGATGAGTTTTCCGAACCCCTGTTTTCCTTCGTGTATGCTCTTTTCTTTCCAACACGTACCAAAGCGGGCTGAAACCGCCTAATCAAGAAAAACGTACAAACCGCTGCCGTTCCCAGGATCATCGTCAATCCAGCCTGTCAAATGAAAAACCTAGCCGTTAGATGACGGAATGCACTCAGCAGTCATAAACACTCCCTCCTCACCCCAGCCTCCGCCATCAAAAGCAACCGCGCATCATCCTCGCTTGTGCTGTCTCCTTTTATGATTTCGTCCGTGGGCTGGGGGAGTAACCCATCGCCGCCGTCTGTTGAAGGTTCTGCCATATTGAAGACACTGTTTTACTATGAGTTGGATGTTGCAGTAACCGACGGTCGATGATCGATGAATCAATTTTGCCGAGTGTATGGAGGGAGGGGTTGCGGTTGTAAACTGAGCTTGTATATATGCGCCGGAGGGGTGCAGTTCGAGAATATTGTTATACCTGGGGTAGCTATATGAGGGTACCAGGAACAAACACCAGACCATGACGTCGGGTATGTGGTAGAGTTACGCTTAGACAGCCCAAGCATCATTCACATCTTTCAAATACTGGCAAGTCCCTTGAGTCCCTTGGCCAGGATGCTGGCATCTACCGACGAGCGGGCCAAATCCTTACAAATGGGCTTCGTATTGTTTTGGGCTATTCTTACGACGGAGGACTGCAGAGACACTGACGGAGGAGACACTGCAGCTAGCTTACCCAGGGACGTGTCCCAAGCCGTGACGTAAATAAGGGAATTATGTCGTTATCAATGGATGGTACAATTATCATCGTCGCGGAGGGATGCAGGGATCCTGTTTTCTGCGGATGGATTACGAGTGATGCGGGATTGACAGGGTGCGGAGTTCGTGTACGTAAGAAAATGCCCGCTCAGCTATTGTCCATGTGTTGGGTGCAAAGACGCAAAATGGGGCTTACGATCTAATGTAGCCCAATTGTACAACTTTTGCTTGACTCCGTTTGCCGGGGGGTAGTTGTGCAAATCCACCCGTTTCGGGATGTAGTGGTGTATCACCTCCGCTGTTGCCACTGTATGTAGCAAAAAGACATCATATGATAGTCAATCGTGCGATCCTTGAAAGCAAATATCAGAGACTGAAAGGGAAAACGCACCGCCATCACTGAAATCCCGTTGTGTATTTCGTTTCGGGCGCGAGAGGGGGATGCTGTCGACCCAGGTGTATATGGCGTCGTTAGGGTCTTCTTCTTCCGTTGTCGTTGAAGAATTTACTGGTAGGGGAAGGGCGGATGGCTGTGTTGTTGGATTCAATGGCAAGGGGGATGGGTGCTTTCTGGCTTCTTTTTCATGGTACATCTGCCGGTAAAGAAGCTAGCTTCTCCTGATGAAGGCGATTCCGTGTTGACCGAAGCCTTTTGTTCCGTTGGCCCAAACATGAGCCCGTTGCCTTCATCGACATCGGTGAGCATGCCACTGATCTGCATTGCCTTGCCGACAAGAACGGTGGCCTTCCTTGCATCCCAATATGAGCCTGACATACGGAACTTGGACCGGCGCTCCTTCAAACTCTGGTCGTGCCGGCAGTGGTCATAACTTTTTCTACTGGTTTTGGAGCGAGAGTCTGAGCGAGAGCCGAGGTCGCTTCACCATTCACCATTCACCGGTCGCTTCACCATTCACCATTCACCATTCACCATTCACCAGACGCACCAGAAGATAGTTAACAATCACGCCTGGCCGTGCCGGCAGTGGTCATAACTTCTTCTAGTGTTATGGGGAATGGGCAACGGAATCTGGGGAATGGGCCACGGAATCTTGGTCTTAAAATGCTGAGATGCTGGAGGAAAAAGGTGTTCTGCCCGACGGCGCGCAGCTATTTATACGTACAGTACATAGTAGATACAGCAGCGTACAGTACTGTATGTCCGAGCCTTCAGACTCCGAGGTCGAGCAGCGTCGACCCGACAACAACAACAAGAACAACATTCTTGCGTCCCCCCCCCCCCCCCCCCCCCAACAACATTGCTTCCCCCCCCCTCCTATTCAAAGGGTTAAACCGATGAAACAAAGCCTAATGAAAAGTTTGCCGAGGCTATGAAACCTGTCTCTTGTCTTCCACGAGTGAATGTCAACTACTCAACAAATAAATGTCAGATCTACACTAATTGCGCTAACTCTGAAAACGTCTTTGATCCTCATCCTCCAGTCGCCTTGACAGGAGTTTTCCCATACTACAAAGGTAAGCGTGGTGGTAAGGCCAACCCTAACGGGCTTTGCTTCCGTCTATTCTCCGCGACGCCGTCGGGGGAACGATTTTCGCCCCACGCTGTACTAGTCAACCCTCAATGGGTTTTGGGGAGAAATGCGTCCCCCGCACGTCAAACCGGAACGTGCCTGGGGACCGTGTTTGTGCCTACGCACCATTGTTTGCGCTCTACATATACACACTGCACACCCCAATCGTGCACACACATGCTGTATATATGTAGAGTTTATGGTATTAGATGCAACCCCATACCGCGAAATCGCAAACTGGCTACGTTTTTCTTCACGGCGGAGCCGCAGAATGTCGCCGATCCACGAAACAACCCGCCGTCGCAACATCCTCAAACCATGCTGAACTCATTGCCCTACATGAAGCAACCCGGGAGGCCATTTGGTTACGGATGATGATCAACCATGTGGAATCTACGACGAGAAGAGGCGACACCTGCCATGAACGAACAACGATATTCGAAGATAGCTCCGTGTGCATCATCCAGGATTCGGATGCTTCACTCCGGATTCGCGCATATGGCGTATGCATCCAGGGGATGAAGGAGAAGAGAGAGAGAGAGCAGAGGCGCGCCCTTTTTGGGACATGTTCCACCCAACACTCTCGAGACCCGAGTTAGGGTTGCGGGTAGGGTTAAGGTCGTTGCGGGTTGCGGTTAGGGTTGCGGTTAGGGTTAGGGTCAGGGTTGCGGGTAGGGCTGAGGTTGGGGTTAGGGAAGTGAACCGGGTTTTCCAAAGGCGGCATTGACGACATTTACTAACCCTTATCCAACTTTCTTCATTCTTTCTTCTACTACAGCCAGCCATGACCGCCCTTATGACCGCCCCCCACTACCTCTGTTTGCGCCTTGCCCCATGCTCCTCACCGTCATCAAAAACCCTCGACAACGTTCGCGTTCGCCATCGCGCCATTCCTAACCGCATCGCTTCGGGCTGATCAATATGAAAGCGGCCAGACTCGCGTTACTGGGCTAGTTCTCAGTAACGTGAACGCGTTACTGGCGTCACTGACCCGATAGGTACATATATATACAGTTACAAGCACGTCTCGGGGGATCTTTTTAAAGAGGTGAAAGGTCGGGGCTTGACGGACTTGCCAAGCTGGACCCAGGAAGACCTGTTGGAGTACCGCCGGCAGCTGATAGCGGGCTGTGGAAACCTAAGCAACGAACGGATGGCCAGCCAGAGGCCGGATTGACGGTATTCGGTTTTCTTGGCATCTTGGCGTGCATTGTGGATCAACGCACTAGCTGGAACCTGTATCACGTCAAGGATCTGGGACCACCCTACGAACTCGGATCCCGGATAGAGGAGTCTTCCGGCGTACGATGTATGTGTGGTGGTATGGATTCCGCTGTGGACATTGAGTCACTGTGGGATTGAAGTGCAGAACATCGTGTCCTACAGATCTCACCGGAATCGGAAGCGCCGGAACCAGTAGAGGCTTGTTTCGCGCGATCAAGTGAGAAGCTGCGCACTGTTCCGGGTACCGGTTCCGGTGTATGAAGGTGTTATCTGACGTTCGCTCGCACATGATAGCCTCACAAGCCGGGTAGTAAACGTGCAGTTATAGGATTTGACCTGCGAGCGAGCGACTGGATGATGGGTCTGATCTTTTCAACATGATGGCCCACAATCGCTCTTGTCAATCCAATCGTTTTTCTCGCATTGATCTTACACTACTTGCCTGCCAAGAATACCCTTGCTTCGTTGCCTCGGTACGTTTTGCAGTCCATATGGCCAAGAAATGTCGTCCGCTCCGTTACGCTCGGCACACGATTGGGAAGATGGAACGGAGGGATGTGGTGCCCGATCAACACGTCGGAGAAAATCTAAAGCAGGCACGGTTCCGAAAACTGCTTCCTGCCTGTCCCTACCTTTGCTGGGCACTAGCCTGAGATAGTTTTCTTGTCCCTTTTCTGCTCGTAGATTGTTGAAAGATGGACTTGGACTGTGAACCAGCACCTTGAATGCATTCCCAACCGTTCCGGGATGGGTGGTGGCGATGGAAGGATACAACTGCTTGCTCTTCCCAGTTACGGACTTCAGTCGTTCCTTCTGTCGTCGTTCCTTTGCTTTTCTTCCTGCATCGCGAGATGGCTGCAGAGAATTTCGCACAGACGAAAGGACACAGACCGCCCATATAAGAACTTGAGTGTCGTGTAGCCACCGCTTCCCTCTGCGCCTCGTTTTTCTGCTTCGTTTCTTTCCTGTCTTCAAGGATGCATCTCACCGCATCCATTCTCGTCTCCCTGACGACAGCCGCCTCTGCCGTGACGGTGTTGGCGCCTCCAATGATCTCGAACGCGAGCAATGATCTTCCGATAGTGAAGCTCGACTACACCACCGTCCAAGCCGTCGCGGGCAACGCATCCATCGGCTACTACAAGTTCCAGAACATCCGCTTCGCCGCCGTTCCCACCGGCACCAACCGCTTCGCCAAGCCCCAGCCGCCGCCCAAGGAAACCGTTATCAACAACGGCACCAATCTCGCCACCCAAGGCGTCGCTTGCAACACCAACGAAGACTGTCTCTATGTCGACGTCTGGGTTCCTGCTAAACGCTCCTCCAAAAGGCTGCCCGTCGTGGTGTGGACATACGGCGGCGGCTTCACTGCCGGCAGTAAAGGCGAAAACACGCCCGAAGGACTATTCGATCTCTCCAAAGACTTCATCTTTGTCGCCTACAACTACCGTCTCGGTATCACCGGCCTTGCCAACGGGCCCACGTACCTCCACGAAGGCGGCACTTCCAACCTGGCCATATGGGACGTCCAGCACGCTTTCGAGTGGACGAAGATGTACATTCCTAGCTTCGGCGGTAACGCTAACGACATCACCGCCGTTGGATTCTCGGCCGGTGCGTCGCAGATCATGTTCCAGATGACCCGGTTCGCTGGCCATGCGCCGCAGCTGTTCAGCAAGGCGTATATCATGTCGCCTGGGTTTGTACCAGGTGCCGGCCACCACCACGCCGAAGCCTTTTGGCAGAATGTGTCGACCGCCGTCGGATGTCCTGGAGGTCACCTGGCCTGTGTGCGCGCGGTCAACTTCACTGCCCTAAACACAGCCGCAAACTCCGTCGCCAGGAAATACACGTACCAATTCCAGCCGCGTGTGGACGGGGATATTATCGCGGACACCTACGAGGCGCAATTCTACCAAAAACGGTTCAACTTTGCTGGTCCGTGTGTTATCACCCATGAGCAACATGAAGCCAACTCGCAGGCTTTTGCCGGCGTCAACACCTCTGCGGACGTCGCTACCTACCTCAGCATATTCTTCCCCGCCATCGCCGACGACGTCGTCCAACAGATTCTGGATCTGTACCCAGAGAACGAATACCCATCCCCAGGCCTTCGTTTTGCCGACATGAAGCAATCGTTCGATCTTGCGGCAAAGAACCTCGCTCTCACCAATGCGCTCGGTAACAACACGTACAATGGCATGGTCGCGCTCGGCAGGGCTACCCACGGCACCGACCAGAGTTATTACTTCTACAGCAACTACACCCTCCTCCCGAAAGTCTCCGGCGCTGGCCCTGGTGGTCCTGGTGGTCCCGGTGGTCCCGGCGGCCCACCAAGTGGAGGTCCACCCGGCGACAACACGCCTATCGATTCGACGATCGCACGCACGATGCAGAAGTATCTCCTCTCCTTTGTTCTTTCCGGCGATCCCAACAAGCTGTGGCCTGCTGATAAGCTCGTTTGGCCGCAGTATGGGAGTGTTGGGTCGAGGACTTTGCAGCTTGTGCTCAATGACACTATGTATGTGGCGGAGGATGATTTGGCGAATGCGAGGAGCTTGTTTTGGAATAAGGCGCTTTGGTATTGAGTTGGACGATGGTGGTTGTGCTGTAGCTTGCGTTTTCGTCTCCGAAATCACCGTCGTCCTACATAGAGTTATGCACGGTAGAAATACATATGCACGTATGTACTTAGCTGTCCTTATACATGGCCCGCTGCACCTGGAAGTATCGCTTGGGTCTCTTTTCACTTTCCAGCGCTTGGGAGGCGCTTGTGTTTTGCGGGCGTGGAGAGTGGAGGTGGAGAGGGGAGGGAGAGTGGCGGCCATACTCCGACGATCACGTCAGCAAGTCCCACTTCTCGCAGCCGCCCTTCCCCCCCAGGTAAGCCTTCAGACGGTGCCATTTCACACATGCTCATGAGCCTCCTCCACAACGTCAACATCTATCTCGATGGTCCAGTTCCACCTCTCTCTAAGCATATCGTCCTCTGCCCCACGTACTAGTGCTATACAATCTGGACGCTTCCGTTGTTGCTAGATGTCGGTTGATACCCGCTACTCAGCAGCACGAGGGAGACAGCGAGCAGATACCCACGGCAGATTTTCTCCGCAGCCCTATAGAAGGACTGGTGTCACTGAAGTTTCCCTCGGTCAACAGCAACCATGAAAAGGAAACTGCAAGCCCAAACCAAGACTTTATCTCACCGAAAGCGGAGAAAACAGGGTTCGACCTTCTCTCACCATCGATATATATACGACGCCGCTCAGCTCGTCCTCTTTCTCACCAGTCCGATCGAGTCCAGCGACAATAAGGAGGAGGCCTCCACTCCGCAATACGTGCAACCGTTCGACGACAAGAAGGACACCTACCGCCTGGTGACCGCTTACGGCGATCAATGGGGCAATCGGACGTTCGTCAGGGTTGCTCAGAACGTCAAGACGGGAGATATTTGGGTTTGTTTTCGCCCGACCATACTGGGCGATCTGAACCCGACATCCTTGATATCGGAGAAGGGAGTTCTCGTCCGCCTAAGAAATCTTCTGGATATTGCCCATGCTGTTAATATTGCGGAAGTAGGACCTGATGGTCTTTCATCTGGTATCAAAGGGCTTTTGGAAGAACCCATGGAGAACACTGACGGGCAACCGCTACTACGCTGTCTCGAACGGGACGTTAAAAAGTGGAACGCGGAATTGCGAGGCGGCGCCAAGATTTTGTTTACCGGTTACAGTCTGGGCTCCGCCCAGGCATTGTGCGCTGCCGCCGCTATCGCTACACCAGTACATTGCGTGCAGCTGGCGGGGCCGCGAGTAGTGCGCAGGGAGGGAGTGGAAAAGATAGCGGGGCGTCTTGCCTCGTGCACCTATGTGGGGTTGGTGGGGGATCCCGTCTCACAAATGCCATTTTCTGGAGAGGATTTTGAGATTGTAGGAGAGCAGATCTGGGTTGATACGTCTAGGTGGCGGCTGACTGCGAAACCCGCCGAGAGCATGTGCCCTAGAAGAATGCTCAACTTTCTGGTGGGCGTGTACATGGGGTTGACGTTAAACTTGCGACGTGGGATAGGGGAGTGTGCTAGGGCCTTCTTGGATGTGCATTTGGAGGCGGAAGTAGACCTTTATCGTATTTTAAAAGGCGTATTAGGTTAATATGACAGACGAAAACTTGTTCCTGAAGGAACTTGAGGATGAAAACGGTTCGGAGACACCATCCGTTTCTCTCCGCGAACACCTCTTGCTGTGCCACCTTGTCTTTCACAGACTGCGTCAGGATGGACGTCTTTCGACGAATACAAGAGGGATGGATTGGAGAAGATGCCTATTAGCGCATAAAATAGAATCCACATGAATCCGTGTAAAGAACGTGGGATACGAGCCCAAAATTTCATTTTCAACTATCTAGTTCACACGCTGTTTCTTTCATTTTTCCTATCGTATTTCGGCCAATAAGGCTTGAGCTTGACTGATAACCGCTCAACCTAGGTTTGGCTTTCGAAGACGGTAAGGTGGTGATGCACCTCAAGCGCCAACGTCGAAGGGCGTCCGAGAAGTGACGTTCCTGCAGACTGAAATCAGCTAGGTCGATTGAGAAAAAAGCAACATCCGACCCGACGGCGTCCTGTTGTTTTCGGTTGCGCAGGAGGAGAGCGGGGGGGCCGGAAGGGTCGAGGGGCCGATGCATGTTGTTCAACCCAAATCCCATTGACGAATGTCCCATCGACCCATGGCCCGTCGATTCCTTTGATATATTCGTTCCGGAGCCAATGGTAAATGCGATCACGGCCCCCGCCGGACAGAGCAGCTTCACGGTAACCTGCCGGCCACGGTCTTGGGGCGTTGGCGTGTAGCCATTTGACAGTCTGAAGATTATCAGCCCTAGCTGCTTTCAAGAAAGCCTCCCATCGATGCTCATGTCGAGTTTTCCCTTCACAGCGAGCGTGGCGACGGCATCGTAGCTCGCGATGGACCGTCAAGTTTTGGAGCTCGGGACACGCACGTCCAGCCGCCTGCAAAATCGCTTCAGCCGCCGCCAACGTGTCAATGTCTACCCGATCATGCCCCAGCAAATATACCCATTCAACAAAATCGTAGCGCTCGCGCCTCGCTGCTTGCCACACTGCTGTACACAAACAGGGACCCAAGCCCCGCCGGATATCGCAGGAGGCCACAGCGTACATTTCTCGCACCGTCTCGAGGCGTCCCCAGTTAGCAAGGGTGGCGATAGCATTGTAGAAGGGTCCTCCGATTGCGGCCCCTTCGATTACGAGTCCTCCGACTTTGTATTTCCACAACCACTCCAAAAGCTCCGGATCTTCACGCAGCCATAGCCAACCAAGGGTGAGCTTGGGCAGGACCAGCTTCTTGAGACCTTCTCGTTTGAGACCGATTGCGAGCCTGGCGGCTTCGGAAATTCCGCACCTCAAGAAAATGGCGTCGATGAGCTCGGCCGGTAGCGTTGGTAAGCGTCGTAAGCCAGTAACGACAAGCCGGTTGGGTGCGGGGTGCTGTGAGTCCGACATTCTGTTGATCTGCGGGTGTAAATGCGCCTGCGTTGGCCTGCTGCCTAGTCTTTATAAGCCGCCCCACGCAGGCATTTGTCCTTACACCTTACTATCTGAAACCCTTGAAGAGCAACTGAACAAAACCCGCGTCCCTGCGTTGAAATTGACTTCCTCGCGGCCATTGACCAGAAATTGACGTCCTCTCACGTTTTTGCTCGAAAGCCGTGTCGAAAACAAGCGGGTCTGATGACATAAGCAACTCCGCTCCAAAGGCCCGCAACAGGGTCTTCTTTCCCCGCTGATTATGCCAAGCCCGTTCCCTTGGCGATGGTTTCGCTAAATAGTTTTTCTGTGCGCCTCATTCTTTTACGCTTTCCGTGCTACTACTAGCTGTATAAACGACGGCGGAACCTCCGCAGTTCTGTCCGGTGTTCGTCGTTACCACTGCAGGCCAACGCTATCGGCGTTCCGTTAAGTCACATCTATCCGGGTGTTTCACCAAGGGTCTCTTCTCACTTCATGGCATTTGCCGTGTTCCCGTGGCATATAACCGGATGCGCTGTTACCGTCGCATATAACGGTATGCGCTGTTACCGTCGCATATAACGGGATGCCCGCCGCCGTGGCATATAACGGGGATGCCATTTGTAAGGACTGAGAGACTATAGAGAAATTGAGTACCGTCTTGTGTAAGTTATACGCTAGTAAGACACGTTCAGTGTCAGCCGCTCATCTCACATAGTGGCCATTTCGATATCTCGCTCCAGGAAATACGCTCGGCCTTACCGTATACACACTTCCAATCATGTACCCGCATCTTGCAACAATTTGGAAACCGATCCGGCTTCACCCCCCATAGCTCACACTCGTAATCAAAATGCGCCGCGGTGACGATGTGTTTGGTGCCCTGCGCGGATATCGGCCCTTCGAATCTGTATTTGCAGCTCGTATGGCGTTGTGAGGGTTCAATTAACGTTGATGGGCGACCGTCAATCGGCGGCGGTACATGGACTTCTGTGGTCAGTGTGGAGCTATCCTTTGTCATTTCAAGCCATTTCAAGAGGAATATATTCAGAAGAATGTAAGGTATATGAGTAGGAAATAGAATAATCTATCTATCTATATGTTGTGAACGACGGAAAAGATTCAGAAAAGTCCACATACGCCCGTCCGGTTTTTCAAATGACCTCGTCCGTCAAAGTGAACACATCGCCATACGCGAATCGCACGGCAGCATACGCCAACGCCTTTGTACAGAACGTCATTGCCTTCAAGCTCACATTCTCGATGGTATCGCACGCCTCATGGTAGCACTCATCATGGGCAACTCCCGCAGTCCCACCAAAGATCGCCGCATTCTCCTCCGTCTTGAGTCCGCTCGCACCAGTCGCCAAGCCGCCGACGGGAATCCCCGCCCGCAAGAACGGGTCGTAATCAGAACCCCCCGACAACGCATAATCGATCACGGTCTGGTTGACCGATTTCGCGTAATCGCGGAACACGGTTTCGATCGCGAACGAGCCGGCCGGGATCGTGGATGGGTTGTTGCCGCCGGAACTGTTATCGCCGTCGTGCACGCCGAGAATGAAGTTGGGCGAGCCCGTCATGTCGAAGTTGAGGTACAGCTTTGTGGCGGCTTTTTCGCGAGGGGTGAGGTTCGCGACGTAGTATTTGGCTCTTCACGTGAGAGGGAGAGGAGGTGATGGTTAACATACGTCACCGCAAAATCTGCAACGATGGAGTAGGGGCGGGGGAGGGGGCTGTAAGGGGAGTGAAAACGGCCTCCATACCCGATAAGCCCGGCTTCCTCGGCGTTCCACCACGAGAACCGCAGCTTGTTCCTAGTCGGGTACCTTGCGATTCGCAACGCCACCTCTAAGATGGTCGATGACCCCGATGCATTGTCATTCAATCCCGGTCCCTCCGCCACGCTATCGATGTGGGAGCCCACATGGATGATATTCTTAGCATCACCCCATCGACTCGTCGCAATGATGTTGAACGTCTTCCTCCACTCGTTCAGGCTGTCGACATGCAGTGTGGCCTTCAAGGGGACACTTGACGCATTGATCTTCGTCAGCACCCGCTCAACGTGAGCAGGGCGCAACGACGCCGACGGGATCTTCTCGAACAACGAAGGCTTGGTGACAGCCGGCGGCGCCGGGTATAGAAGCACAGCGGCCGCGCCGGACTCTGCGGCGTTGCGGGTCTTGTTCTCCATAGGGCAAGGAAATTCGCGATCGGCTTCGCGGCGGATCAGCACGATCTTGCCCTTCACGTCCGTGCCGCGGAAATCGTTGAGATTGCATCCCGTGCTGGCGAGGGTTACGTTGTCTTTCTGCACGAAGGTGTCTGGCAATACGACCAATGACGCGTTGGTGATGTCGGCAGAGGGGCTGTAAAAGTGCCAACGCAGGTTGATCGGGGCGGTGTCGTTGCCGCCAATGAACGTGAGCGTGCTGGCGGTAGGCCCTTGGATCGAGTACAGATGGTCGAACGGCTGCAGCTGGACGTCCTATTGGCCCGTTTTGTTGAGCAGGCTTGTCACGTATTCTAGACTTCGCACGTTGCCGGGCGTGCCAAATACCCTATAATGCGAAACGATACGGGTCAGATAAAGTTCCCAAACCTCGCTTTAAGCTCCCGTAAAGGACATGCAGAGCGATATGCAAGTGCTCGTCGCCAGCTAAAAAAAAAAAGCAAGGCACTGTAGTGCGATGCCCTCATCAAACCCCCATCGCACTAAGAAAGCCAGAAGCATGCAATAAACCCACCTAGTCCCGTTGCCTTGATTCGCAGCGGCCTGGAAAGCCGTGAGGTGGCGGTACAGCGCCTTCTCGGTGATGGACTTTGCAAAAGTCTTTGCGAGCGTGGACACCACTGGACCGCTGCCAGGACCACCGGCGATGAGGGCGTCGATATTGCTGGGGGCAGGTTGGGCGGATACGGCGACCGCCAGTGTGAGGGAGAGTGAGACCAGCCTGGACAACATGATTGTTTGCGTCTGACGGACCCTGTACAGTGCCAAGGGGAGATTGCGGAGGATGGGGACATCGTCGGCAGGGCCCTGAAGACTTGGCTTTTATACGATGTTCCACCCGTTGCCTCACACTTTAGCTTCTATGTAGAAATTCAAAATCGGAGTGTCCAATATCTGGGCGTCGCGCTCGCCGGCCATATCCATCGCTTCCTCGCACGACGATGTCCTCTTGAGCTGGAGCGCGACACAAGATGGAAGATCTGATGGCAGATGCCAGGATCCTAATAAACCATGCCTGCCGTACTGTATATATCATAGTACGTACAGTACAGTACAGTACATACTGCTGCTCAGTGCTGACGGTGCCCGACTGCCAAGTCCGCCAAGTGTGGACGCTGCAGCTTTTCGGTCCTGGGCGACGCGCCCAAATCTCAAACTTGAGTGCCACCACGCGTACAAGGCTTATTAGTCCCTGTCGGCCTCATTGTAAGCCGACAAAACGCAATTGTGTAAGACCGCTACAACCGCACCCAATCTACTTGCACTGTGCATATCGAATGCCACTGCGCCTACATATCGAGGGTTGTCGACTTATGCTCTTTTCAACTCTCGGGGGAAGAAGAGAGACGAGACAGGGTGGTATATACAGTATGTGAACATAAACCTAGATACACCAGTGATTGAGTCAGTGTCCATGCGCAACTGCGGCGGCTGGGGCAAAGGGCTGGTGTAACAGGAGACATGCTGAGTCGGGGTTAGGGTTGGGGTGGCGCTCACAGGACTCCACGTGACGGGCTAGGTAGTTTAAATCCCTGTGGTATAAAAGGGTCTTTTTCGGAGTTGCCTTTTATGAATACATACGGGAGTTGAGGACGAATACTGTTGCATGGTAGCACCACTGAAGCTTGAACCTTCGGACCACTCCAAACCGTACCAAGAGACTCATACGATGACCGAAAGACGCTCCCGTTGCCTGCTCCACCGACTAGGCCAGAACGAACAAGAAGCCGAGGACCTGGCGGAGGCTCAGCAAGTCCAAGCGGCGGAGTTTTCCCACGAGGCAAGCGAGGCTGACGACAAAGCGCCTCCCGCCCTGGGAGATGACGCTGAAGCCGAGTTTGAATCTGACGAGGATTCGGACGAGTACGAATATGGCGAGAACCCAAGGGCCGGCTTGCGCTCCTCTTCTGAAGTTGTACAACTCAAGGAAGACGGCGCGGTGCTGATCGCTACCAACGAGTCGGACGCCAACGATGACGCCGCGGACCATGACGACAACTGTAGTATCGCGGCCACGACCTCAAGCGGCACGCCGGACCCTGAGGTGCAAGAACCGATCCTCCCCGTTCGTCTAGGACCCGTGGGAAAATCTCCCGCCAAGCAGCCAACCGACCAGGAGGCGAGGCCGCCCACAACCCCGCTCTTCAGCCCAAAAGGAGTCGCGCCGCGCAAGGTCTGCGTAGCAAGAACAGTCAAGAGGTCAGCGCGGCACCCCGATTGACGGCGGAGATGGAAGAGCTAGTGGCCGACCTGTTGGCGGACATAGAAAACAATCGCGAGATGGAAGCCAAGTCCCGTAAGCACAAGGAACCCAAACAAGTCCAGCCGCGCCCGGCTGCAAAGTTGACCCGCCCTCCGACCCCAGCGCCCTCGGCGGCCGAGTCCCACGACCCTATAATGGCAGCTTTAGAGGCTTCGTTGGCAAGAATCCGCAACCAGTTAGCCTCGTTGGCCGGAAAGGCACCCGCCGCTCCCGTGCTCACGGCCCCATTGCGACAGTACGTGGGTGACAACTACCTGTATCTGTCACCGGTTTCGGCTGGCAACGTGGCCCCGCATCAAGCGTCGGACCTGCCCCTCAGGGACCTCCGCGAGACCTCGTACGCCAAGGCACTTAGAGCTAAAGTCACTCAATACTTGGGTCGTCCTTGTACCGCGGCGGCTATGGAAGGCTTCTTGTCCAAGCTTACGAGATATATGCGTGCCGCCACCCACCTCTCGGAACCAGAGTGAGTCACCGTCGCAGCGTCGAACTTGACCAATGCGGCAGAGCGCTGGTGGATACGGGATGGGACCATCGAGGTGCACACCTACGCCCGAGTTTGAACAAGCCTTGCGAGCCCACTGGATTGACGCCACGGCCACAGAAGACGCTCGGAACGCCCTCGAGAACGTCCGTCAGATTTCTTCAGTCAAGCAATATTACGAAAAGTTCACCGAAATGCTCCTCGAGTTGCCTACGCTGTCCGAGGCCGAAGCGGGACGTATCTTTTGCAAGGGCTTGAAGCCCGAGGTCAAGAAGTTCATCCTGGTGCAACTGGACGCCGACCTTCTCACGGTGTCGGAGTTGTACACGGCGGCTAATCGGGTCGATAAGGTCAACTGGGAAACAAGCAAGGACATGAAACGCAAGGCGAGGACCGTGGAGGTGACAACACTCAGGTCAAACGTCAGAAACGCGGCCAGTATTTGAAGCTGACCGACGTTGAGCGACAAGAGCTGATGAGGCAAGGTGCCTGCTGTTGCTGTCGAGAACCTGGCCATGTTGCCCAGCTCTGTCCCAACAAACCCGGCCCCAGCCGCTCCCGTCCCACGGTGAACAACGCAGAGGCAAAAGATGTCGATGCGGGCCAGGATTTTCAGTAGGGTCAGTTCCCCCGGAGGCAGGAACTGACCAACCTAAGGCAAGACCGACCATCGAGTATCTGTTGGTTCGGAACTGCAGACCTCCCGACCCCAAGGCATTCCTACGGAATGACGAGACCGTCAAGATCACCGCCAGAGCGCTGGGACTAGCTCCGCTGACGCTACCGGACCATCCGTGCGTGGATGCTATACTAGAAGGCGAGACCAAGGAGCCAGTAAGCGAGATCAGGGCGGCCGCGATGGCCTTGACCCTCCAGACCAGAATAACAAGGCGGTAGGCGACGGCGCCAAGCCCAAACCGGTCAAGTACCCCGATCGAGAACTATTGGCAACTCTGTACGCTCAGTCCGCGCAGGCTAGCGAGGGGCTGAAACCCGTCCTAGTCGATCAAGCACTTACGGTCCGAGCGGTGATTGCCGGGCGCCCGGCCACCATACTCCTGGACACGGGCTGTAACACGTACATCCTGTCCGATCGATTCGTAGGAAGTACCGGCCTGCGCACCAAGAAGACCGATCTCCAGCTGAACTACGCCGCCAGGGATGTGCGCTCTACAAGCACTCGCTACGCAGTGGCAGTGTACACACTGAACGGCATCGAAGGGAAACTCCCTTGGGTGGCAGCGCCCATACGCTACGATGCCATTCTGGGGCTTCCGTGGTTTCTCAAGCACGCACCAGAGTTCGTTACGGCGGGACCCCGAGTTGAACTGCGAGTCCGCAAGTTTGGTCAAGAAACACTGATCCTCACAGAGGCTCAGGCGAGAACAAGAGATCAACATGAAATACATGCGGCAATAGCAAAGCCCGCGAGACAGAAGGCCCGATCGCCCAAAATCCTCTCCCGGCATCAGCTGCGTCGGGAGTTACGGAGAGGAGGCCAACTGATTCAACTGACCCAAGTCGAGGCCGAACTCCAACGCACGTTGGCGCAAGATCTAGAAGAGGTACCTAGCAAGGTTCGCGACGTGATCAGCAAGTACAAAGAGGTATTCTTACCTACCGACAAGCTCCCACCGGATCGGAACGTCGTCCATGCGATTCCGTTGAAGGAGAACGCTCAACCTGTCTACTCACAAACCTATTACATGTCTACGGACGAACTGGTAGAACTGCGGCGCCAACTGACCGATCTACTCGCGAAAGGGTTCATTGAGCCATCCACCAGTCCATGGGGGCGCCGGTGATCTTCGTACGCAAGAAGGACGGCAGTCTAAGGTGCTGTATTGACTACAGAGCCTTGAACGCATTAAACATTCCCGATCGTATGCCCATCCCCCACCTTGCTGAGATGCGGGATCGACTGTCCAGCGCCACGAAGTTCTCCATATTGGACATCAAGGATGCGTCTAACCGAATCCGCGTCGCCGAAGGAGATGTTGAGAAGACCACGTTCAGAACCCGCTTCGGACATTATCAGTGGAAGGTCATGCCCTTCGGGCTGATGTCGGCACCCGCGACCTGTACCAGATTGATGAATGAGATCTTCGCGGACCTCTTGGATCAAGGAGTTATCGTCTATATGGACAACATTCTGCTGTACTCCAAGTCGGAGGTAAAACATCGACGCCTCCTCGACGCCGTGTTAGACCAGCTCAAGTGACACCAACTCTTTGCGAAGCTCAGCAAATGCCGTCTTTATCAGGATGAAGTCCTATTCTGCGGGTCCATTGTCAGCAGCCAAGGCCTGAAATTGGATCCGGACAAGGTCGAGCATGTTCAGACTTGGGCAAGACCGACCGATCGCTCGGAGATTAGGTCGTTTTTGGGCTTCACCAACTACCTCTCCGGCAGTATCGAAAGCTATGCTGACATTGCAAAGCCATTGACGGATCTCCGATCCCCGAAAGTTGACTTCAGGTGGGGTCCGGAGCAAGAACGAGCGTTCGTCACCCTGAAGAATGCAGTGTCCAAAGCGCCCGCCTTGCAGTGGTACCGGCCCGACGCCCCACTTTACCTCTCGACCGACGCATCGGGCTTCGCGACGGGGGCTTGTTTGATGCAACCTCCTGCAGACCAACCTTGGGAAGAACCGAAGACCCGTCGCGAGCTTCTGCAAGCGTTGAAGCCTGTCATGTACTGGTCAAGGAAGCTAAACCAGCATCAAGTCAAATACTCCGTACCCGAACGAGAGCTGCTAGATCTGCACGACGCCGTACAAGCATTCGGGCTGTACTTGAGAGGTCGACATTTCAGTACGATCACTGACACAAGGCACTAATCTGGCTAAAGACACAGACTCATCTTTCGCGACGACAAGCGGCGTGGGTCGACCGGTTGCAAGAGCATGATATCTCGATAACATACGTCGAAGGATCTCACAACTTGATTGCCGACGCCTTGTCACAACGCCCCGACTATGCTCCGAAATGCGCCAAGTGTCGAGCCCACATCGCGAGCGTAGCGGCCGCAACGGGAGTCCAAGCCAACGCTATCCAGATCAGCACCCACAATGATTTGAAACGGCAGATAGAGGAGCAAATGGAACATGACCCTTATGTGATACGCATCCGAGACGAAATGGAACGAGAAGCTCGCTCCCCCGGGTCGATCAGCCAAGAATTCCGCCGGTTCACCAAGAAGGGTGACCATCCCAAGAAGCACCTACTGCGTTGGCAGGGCCGGCTATACGTGCCTGACGGGCAGTTACAAGACTTAATCTTGCACAACGTTCACACGGCGACCGCCGCAGGACATCCGGGTTGGAACGCGATGCTCGAAAGGATCTCAAGAGAATATTACTGGCCAAGGCTTCACCGAGACGTCAAACCCTACACCGAAACGTGTGATGCGTGCCTACGAGCGAAATCAGGAGGGAAGAAGCGTGGACTGTTGCACCCGCATGTCGTCATGCTCTCCGAAGACCGATGGTCGTGGGTGGCCATAGATTACGCCCACATGCCGCCCGACAAGGATGGTTACGACGCCTGCCTTATCGTAGTGGACATGCTCACGAAGCGAACTCACCTGATCAAGGCCACTACCAGGGACACGGCCATGATAGCTGCCGAGCGCTTCATCAATGGAGTTTTTTGACTGCACGGCATGCCAAAGGGGATCCACTATACTATTACACTGTGCATTAACCGTACCTGGCTCTACTTTACACTGTGCATTAACCGTAGCGGCTGCTGAAAGTGTTATGCATTAACCGTATTCCTGATGTAGGGTGTAATGTATTAACCGTGTATCCTACACCTTTGGTATTATGCATTAACCGTACCAGCCTATGAGCCATTAACCCGGAGTCGGGTAAGACCGTGTTCTTCAGTTCCCACGACGCGCTGTCAAATTCTGTTACTTTCCCTTCACAATCTAAGCCACCGGGACATTCGGATGTCCCCTTGCGCCGCAAGAAACATGCGTTATATGAGTACGATGTGTACAATGAGTATCAATTTGACACCTCCCATACCCATCCCTCACCGACTCTCACCATTTGTCTTTCTCTAACAAAAAGGTCTTTTCCGCCATGATTTCAACCACTTTCTCAAAACTACCCTATCTGTCGCGCGAGTACGATGAGTTATATGAATATGATGAGTATCGATTTGACACCTCCAATACCCAGCCCTCCCCGATGTACAAATGCCCAAACAATCACAAAAAGGTCGCTTTTGCCATTATTTCAGCCGCTTTCTCAAAACTACTCTATCTGTTGGGCGAGGAGTTATGTGAGTACGATGAGTATCATGAGTATCAATTTGACACCTCCAATACCCAGCCCTCCCAGACGCATAAATGCTTCAGAATCATAAATCGGCCCTTTTGACCGTGATTTCTCAAATCCGTATGTTCAGAAGCGTGAGTATAATGAGTACGATGAGTAGAATGAGTATCACTTTGACATCCCCGCTTCCTGATCCCGCACGAAAAAATGCGATATTTTGAAATGTCATTTTTGTCGTAAATTTCGGTTTTTTCGGCCCAAATTTGCAACTTTTTCCCCAGATTTCGCCGTTTTCTCCCTTTATTTTCTCACTTTTCTTTCATATTCTCATTTCCATTTTTAAAAACTTACCCTCAATTTCATTCCGTTGCCATCCATATTGGTTCGCCTCCATCCCCATCTACATATCCTCTTCTCTTCGCGTTTCTACCTCACTCCATACATCACTTTTTAACCGTTGCCTAACCTTGTGCGCCACCGATTCAACCACTTTCACTACAGTCCCTTTTCTCACCACTTTCCCCGTTCCCTCCATGTCTCAAGCCATTCCCGTCACTTTTCCAATTTTTACCCTCCATCTTTTATCGAAATGCCATCTGTAGTATTGTAGTTCTTTTTTTCAGAAAAACTATATTATAAACAGGCACCCTTAAAAAAAAACTCTCTCCGTCGCAAACTCTTTTCTTACCCCCCCCCTATTATACAGAGGTTTCTACCCATTTTCACCACTACAATGCTACAAATCCGCCATATACTACCTTTACACTTTTCACTTCCTCCGTGGGCGTCACATTTACACCCTGTCATTTTGATACTCATCATACTCATTTTACTCTCCTTACTCTCCTTACTCATCCGCCGAGTCTTCACATACTGAATACGATTGTTGCGGAAGCATCTCATATCGGTTCAATTTGATACCTTGGAATCCGGTGGAAACTTTCGACATCCCTTTACCGTCTACATATTTTGTAACTCGAAGACACTTGTTGTAAGTTATATCATCTTGTGATCTAGCATAGTTTTGTAACCATTTCAACATATCGTTTCGGTTAATGCGTATGTTCTTATTTTGTTGCCGTTTGGCCCACTCGATACATTCTTTGTGGATATCCTCCACTAGAATCTTGTTTTCAGGTGCATGGAGACAGCAATCATCAAAAAACGTCTGATAGATGTCGTTATTTCTCTTGTACTTGATCGTATCATCGAGTATGGATTGCGGCGTCTGGATTCCTTCTTCCTTATACAATTTGTAATATTTGATTAGAATGGACATGAAGTACGGTGCTTGAAACCCTCGGTTTCGTTTGGCTCCCTCGTCCGCAAGATAGATATGCTTGTCAGGATCGCATAATGCCGGATCTGTAACGAAAGTGCTTGTAAGCGCAATTATGTTGATCCGTCTCCATGTACCATTATCGACTTCTAAGATGACAGGTAGATCATTCACGGACAAAAACAGCAATGCTTTGATGACAAAGTTGGAACCGTTCTCATAGAGATTTCTCGCACGGACTGGATCGTAACCGGTTAGTTTTTTAACGTTCTCCATATTGAGGGCTTTTTCTTTCTTGTTTTCTTGGATCTCAATGAAACGTTTATATTTACCATCTGCCAACTCCGGGTTCGCTTTGTCCCCGTTAAAGTCGTTCACCAGAATGGATGAGTTCCAACTCGTTGCGTAAACATCCATACTTTCGGTCATTAATCCTACAAGGAACGATTTTCCTTGTGCGCCCGGGCCGACCATAATATTGAACTTATCGTTGTGATTACACCCCAGAGATGAAGCGAAGGTTTTCATAACATATTCCTTCTTTTCCGGAATCGGCAGAACTTTGTCAATTTGACTTTCCAAACGAACCGTTGTCTCATCATGCGGATCATACTCGATATAGTCATAGCCAATTTGCAGGAGACAATAATCGTTTGGCTTTCCATTCCGAAACTCCAATTTGTCTAAATCATAGACTCCGTTTCGAAAGCAAACAATATTTGTACATGTCTCTAATTTACGCTCAAACTGAAGGAAATCTTCCTGTGAAAAGTAAAGGGCCGAGGTTTTACAAACGTTGAGGTAAAACTGATATGTTTTGACACAGGACGACAGTTTCTTTAGCATACCAATTAAGCGCTCGTCGCTTTGATGACTTTTCCATTTTGTCTTTTCTTCCAATAGAGGCATCAATTCTGTCAAAAGGCGATGTTGAAAGAACTCGCCGGAATCGCAAGTCCACCGATGGGATGAAAAGTACCACCAGACTTTATTTTTGTAGTAGAAATCATCTCTCCACAAAACAATAAGAAAGCGAGCAACCGCATCATGACTTCTGTGGAGAATAGCGTTTTTGGCAAGTTGATCTAACAAAGGATCGTCAAAAAGCGGTAATCTAATGAGAGGCGCTGTCTCCTCCACACTATCGCTCTGTGCTACAATTGGTATGACTTCAAGTCCTAACTTCTCCAGGTAACTGACCTCGTAGTTCATTGGCTTTTCTTTGATGACGACGGAGAGGCCAGTTGTTTTGTTGACATGTTGCTGCAAGTTATTAATAAGAGTCTGGTCGACCGGTAAATTCTCTTCGTTTCGAAGAACTTGAAGGCCGTCGAATACGAGAACAGGTACTTCATAACCACTGCTCTCCAGGAACGCCTCCATTTCGCCAAGAATGATGTTTTCATGATATTGAAGAACTTTGCTGTAGAACGAACCATCCCTATTTCCGTCGTTTTTGTTTTTCTTGGTAATTGCCCAAAGTTCCTTGAATTCGGGCATTTCCTTGAAAGGTGGGAGGAAAGATTCGTATATAAATTTGTGAATGCTTTTGATGAACGGGTGACTGGGAACTTCATATGATTTGTTGAGCGCTTCCAAAACGGACTTCTTATTCAACCCGTATTTCTGAAGGATCGTATCACGCTTTCTAACGTACTCGGTTAAATTCTTGCATTTGGGTAATTTCAGTTTCTTGCTCAATTGTAAGGTAATGCTTGGAAATGCGTTTTCGATGTCGAGATCAATGTACAAATTCTCCATACTGTAACAACGTAGATTCCTCTCAAATCCTTGACCGCCGACAAGGTGGCGCGCATACAACTTGCACTTTGGAGACGTTTCGGAGTACACATACTGAACATAGAATTTGTTTGTATCGTTCAATCTCAAATCCATGTACCTCTTGATTTGATCACGAGTCGCAACATCGAGCAATTTACAATTCTTCAATTGAATGAGTCTGTTAACATGTGCAACTTCATGCTTTTCTTCTCTTTAACGGCCGTTTTTCTAAAGCGTGTGGATTCAATGATCTGTTCAGCCATTTTCAATTTGTGTGTGCTTAATGTTAGGCACACAATTGTTTTCTCAGGTTTCTAAACGCATTTTGGACGATGTCACAGATGCGTCTACGCATGCAGCAATTAAAGAAATAATGGCCTAATAGTATACAATTGAACTAAGGCGAACAAATGGCATATCAATATATTGGAACGTACGAAAAATATGGAATGAAACACGAATTCATTTCAAAGACAGTGCGGGATCTAGCGAAACAGATGGGGGTAAACCGAAATACCATTACTTCGATATCAAAATGCCCCGGGGGAAAACGATCAAGACAAATTTTACCAATAACGGTTCAGAAGATCACGATTCCAGACAACATTATGTCGACAAAGGAATCTCAAATAAGTCCAACTGAAAATGGCCCAAATCCGACAATTGGAGATTTATAGTTTAGGAGGCCCGGGAAAATGGGGGTAATTCTGATGCTCACGGTACTCACGGTACTCACGGTACTCATTATACTCAAAAAAGTATGACAAATATGTCCATTGAGAGCGACGCAAAAGCGACAATTGGAGATTTAAAGTTTAGGAGGCTCGGGAAGATGGGGGGCTATTCTGATGCTCAAGATACTCAGAGTACTTACGGCACTCATTATACTCTAAAATTTATGACAAAGATGTCCATTGGAAACGGATCAAATCGACAATTTTAGATTTATAGTTTAGGAGGTCTGGGTAGACGTGGGGTATTCCTGATGCTCAAGGCGCTCAAGGCGCTCTTTGCACTCACGGTAGTGACTATACTCCTGGGGAATCATTCCACCTCGTGGTGAGTTTTTACCATAATTTTCGTGGTTGTGGATTTGCTCTCCAAGGCTGCAATTCAAAATGATCCAAACTCTCCGTCTATCAAATGGATTGGAGTCTTCACAGCACCTGCACTCTAGGCAATCTGACGAAGTCTTGTGATATTTGTTGCAAAAATTGCAAATATAAGCGTGCTTTGCAACAAATCTATGTTTGAACATCGTTGCTTGGAACTGCTTCCAAAGTTTTGCGTCGTTAAACTTCCGGGGCAAGTATTCAAGAGGCTTTTTCAATAGGAACATCTTTTTCACATGAAACAAAGTCTCGTAATGGCCGGTTTTTTTGTAGGCTTCCATCTGCTCAGACATTCTATCTACTATATTTTCCAATTTTGTTTGGATCTCGTGCGGTGAAGCCATTGTTGAAACGATGCTCTTCTTGCTCACGTCTCTCATAATTTTGCTTATATGCAAAGCGCCCTTTCATCGGTTCCTCTTCTGTGAGATCATCGTATTGGTCATTTATCATCGAACTCAATCGCTATCGAAATTTAGACTCCAACCTTTTGGTCCTGTACGTTTGTCCCACCAACATTTACCACAAAGGACTCGTCTTGGGATAATTGGAATAATTTCGTCACAATCTTGACACTTTCGACACTGCGAAGGAATGATGATTTGTCCATATCGGTTGAATTTCTTTGTGTATGGTTTGAAAGTCTCTTCAGGCATTGTTTACTTTATTTCTGCAGATAACTTTAAATTAGTGAACCGCGCTCGTTGGTGGAGTTCAACAATGCCGCAACCTTCAGGAAATTTGACAGTTTCCTCTTTTAGTAACTCCTTATCGCGAAATAGAGTTAAGTTTGAAAACAATGGAGTGTATCCACCGCTGTTGACGCACCTATAATGTATCCGGAGGTGCGCTGAATATATAAGGTCGGGTGTCGTATGAAGAACCCCAGTCATCAATAATCCTACTATCAAAAATGCCTGCCGAACGACAACAACGCCCTGGACATCCGGATGTCCAGGAGAACAACAGCAGACGAAGGAAGCGCGCTCCATTGAGCGAAGAGGAAGTTCTGCAAAGACAGAAAACCCTTCAAGACACACATGCCCGACGTTTTGCACAACAGATTGGATTACTTCACCGAAAGAACGCAGCCGGCGTTCCGATTGAACCCGAAGATCCTTTTCTGGTGTGGAAAGATTACCACATCGAAACAACATTGCAAGGCGCACATGTGAACATCGACCCAATCGCTCCTCGTCAAGAAGCGAGTCGAAATAATGTTCCCGACATTGAACTCGATGTGTTCAAATTATTCATTTCGTCAAAAACCTCTGGTCTCGCGGAAAATTTCGATCGATTTGTTAATTATTACTATGTCGGTTACTACTACAAGTGGCTCGTCGATCAGCGAAGAAATGATCCCGCGAACGATAACGAGCAAAGCGAAGAAGCAAAACAGCAGTTGCGAACACAAATATTCAAAGCCAAACTTGAGAAAGAGAAGGGGATTCTTGCGGGCGGGTCGTCAAAGCGACAAATCAAATCGTTCAACCGCTTATGCACGAATATGCATATCGCTATCGACGAATTTGGTTGGGGCATTCTTACATGTCCTGCCCTACTTCGCTCGTCGAAAGGGAAAGCGATTGAAAATCTTACCGAGGCTATCATCAATCGAGTCTTGAAGCGTTTTGTAAAACAAGGCGCGCGGCAAGTTTCAACGATGTACGATGAAGACGTCCAGAAATATGTGGAAAAACGTTTTCGCCTATTGGAACCGGGAAAAGATGAACGCCTTGATATAACCCCCAAGCAAGTTCGTCTCAAAACTGTCAAGGAGAAAATGCGGGAGGTTGGGCACGCGCAGGCGAGACAGGAACAAGATTTGCAGAACGACGAGGAAGAGGAGCAGGAAGAGGAAAACGAAGACGTTGGAGAGGAGGAGGAGCAAATTGTGGAGGAGGAATTGGAATATGCTTGATCATGAACTTCGATGTAGTGATGTAATATCGATAAAATTCGATTCTTTTTTTAAATTGTTATTTAAAGAGTAAAAACGAGTAATGGTTTATGCACAACCAAAGAACGACACAGCAATGAACATTGAAATAGCCAAGAAACTTATCAACCGATATGCCGATACCGTCCATCAAAAGAATGGAACGATAGGATTGGCTGCGAGTAGTCGAAAAACGTACCTCTCTGCCTGCAATTCACTTGAAGCGTACGGAATCCTTGATCCTAAAGTTCTATCATCTCCGACCGATGTCATGAATATCTTGACGAAAAAATACTCTACAGACAATGGAGCGAATTGTACAAAGGTGTTGTCCGCTATGTTCAAAATTATGACAAACGAGGAAAAAATAGGATTGTATGATTGGTTTTCGTCTAGCCTCTACGGTCAAACTGCAAAGAAACGATTCCTAGATGCGTGCACAATGGACAAACTTACGCATATTGACGAAATGGGAGGTTTCTATCTCAAGATCAATAGCGATCGTTGTAAAGAGATACAAGCCCGCGATCTCGTAATGGATAAAGAATATGAAACGAAGCGCTTCATTGAAAAAGACCCTTTAA